TCTGGTTTATTGTATCCAGTTTTATAAATGAAAAATATTTCCACCCAAATATTTCCATTTTGCTGTGTGTAGCCCTGATCCAAATAATGGCCGCTACCATGGCCAAGAGGGAAGTTTGTTATTACACGTTTGATGACAAGGTGTTAAGAGATGAATTGTCTGACATACACACATACCTCACAAAAACCAACATTCTAGGAATTGGTAAGTATTTACAATTAATCTATAGCTTTTTAGATATCATGAGTAAGGTATGATTAAGTTGAATGTCTTTTCTTCTGTCTGTATGTCTGTCCCAGCTTGTGATAGGGCTAAATACATGTATTTTGTAATGGAGAAACATGAGCCGTTCATATCTGACACAGATTACTAGTAATCTTGAGAATTTTCATAACCATGAATCAAGGTCATTTGGACAAAGTCAATGTGACATGGATCAGTAATGTCTGTGCTATTACCAAGAAAATAAAAGACATCATTATGCAGAGGCTCATAAAGAATGGTTATCTTTTGATGATTTGTCCTTACTCTATGTCAAGGTCATGTGGACAAGGTCAACATCACAGGAATAAAAAAAGTGTGAAATTCCAGAGCAAGCAGATATAGAATTTAAGGCTGAGATTCTTAACTCAAAGTTGGCTCCTGAATTTGTTCTGTGTATACTTGGAACTAAGGTATTTAGATAAGGTGAAGGTCGGGAAGTGAAGAAGTGTAAAAATTTTCTCTGTATTGTTACATGTATTTTGTAATGCAGGGATTAGGAGCTCAGTTTTGACAATTTTTGTTGTAGATAGGTTGTATGAGTGTTGTTGTAAATATTGAGTTCTCATTTACAGTTCTACCTGCTCTTTTTTGTGTGTTTTCAAACTTTAGTATGGAATTCATATAAATGATATTGTTGCACCAAATGAAAATAATAAAATATTTAACTTTTACCTTTGAATGATTTTTACAGTATTATGTTGTTTGTCCTTCAGGAAATATCTTGACACTGATTGAACAATATGGTAAGAAGATCTCGGGGTCAAAAAAGACACAGAAATCTATGAACCTGTTTCAGTACATACCGCGAGTGTTTGACGGAACCCTGGAGAACACGGACAGTGAACCAGACAGCCCATCCATTCAACTGTCAGACAGTCTGGAAATGCAACACGAACATTGTATGGCTGACGAAGTCATGAACGATGAACAGTCCAATCACGGTGGACATTCCAAATTACAGAAATCAGAGTCAATTGACTATAAAGCCAATACTCCTTGACCTGGAAGTCCAACTTATTTGTTGTTAGTACATAAAGTATATGTGGAGTTACATTTATAAGATGAAACTACAAAGCAGATAATTTATAATTTTGTCGTAGTTGTAGACTTAGATTATCTTCTTTCATAAGGGCAGCAGATTCTGACATTGAAGCAAAACTTATGAAACAAACTCAGTTTGGGAACCAGTTAAATTACATACATTGCTTATTAGGCCAGAAAGAATTAATTTTTAGGTTCTCATTTCCTGAATTAAAAAAAAAATTAGTCAGTATAATAAAAAAGTTATTCGGTAAATCATTTACATCCTTTAATAAAATTTGTGTAGTTAATGCTGATAAGAATGCCTTATTTACACCTGTGAACATTGAGAATGTAAAAAAAACTCTGAATAATATATGTTTATACAAAATATGTATTGAAATTTGACAATACAAAATATCTGCCCACCTAAGGTTTGGAATCTAAAAATTAATTTTCTGTGGCCTTATAATTTGTTACGTCCACATACATTTGTGCAATTTTACTTCTTGGAAACATGAAAGTACTTCATTTTTCTAATATATTTTAGTTTTATTTATTATCTAATCAATTGAAAATTATTAATTGCATTAATGTTTTTTCTCTTAATGTTGTCACAATAAACTGAATGGTATGTTCAAGGATTTTCCTTTTCTGGAATAGAAAATGAAGAGTGCTTCAAATTGTGATAATTTATAACTTTTTCTTCATCACCAATGTTATTTTTATAAATAATGGTTCAATTGTCATTAAATTCTAGAAATGATTCAACAAAGTTTTTTGCAATTTTATTTGATGCTGAGAAAAATTCATTGTTTTCCCAATTTCTCATACATTTGCCCTCATAAATAAGTTCTGTCATTACATCAACATTTTTGTCTTTCTATGTTACAAGCTAAGGGTGGAGAAGTATTAGAAATTTAAAAGATACTGCTAATGACGATCGGCAGAAGCTTTGTCTTGACCTTAAGGTCATACGCAACGTAGTTTGAACTTTATTGGGTTCTTCCCTGGAGTTGAAGAGTTCCACTAAATCAAGGACCTGTGTGCAATATTTTTAATGTGTATTTTAACACCTCTTCTAAAACAAATTTTTATGAAAAAAAATCTGGAATTTATGTTTTGTAAATTTTGTACATTTTTCTTTGAATAATGCAAAAGTTTTCATAGTTTGATATCTTTTCCAAACCCCTGGTAACACATGCTGATTTTTTGTCTAAGATCATGTAATGGTAATATCAGTTTAAATTTAGAATATCTTGAAAAATTATCAGTAGGGAAGGTACCTTGCGTATGTCCTTAAACCAATGACATTTGGACTTTTACACAGCTCAACAACAAACAATTTCCTTTTCCTGCAACTTTGTACAGTGTATTGAAGATATAGAAACTTGTAGTTGAAACAAACTGTTTATGATCTGAACATGTGCATTTGAACTAATCCATTGATCTGATCAAGGTTGCAAAGAAGTTGTTTGGGTCATAACTATATTGTAGAAGCTAATGTTTGATCCTAGGTTGCTGATGGCAAGAGATTTTAATGAATTGCTCTTTTGATAAATTGTACAACCAATCGCCTTTGGCTCAGAAGAGCTAAATATAAGTGCCATGCTCTCTTTCAAGGGGAGATAATCACAGGCACTTGTTTCAGAAATAAATTTTGAACCCTTAGTACATTATACTGTGGGTTAAAAATTTATTACCAAAACAAGTGCCTGTGGAGATAATACAAAATTAGTGAAACTTAATGGCATCTTTTTAATTTCTCCATTTTAAGAATTACTGTGCTTGAAAATATGAAACTTATTTGAAAGCTTTATTGCATAGTGAAGATTAAAAAATTATTCCAAGTTGCTTCTTGGGAGGTTGGATGGGGCCACAAGAGAGGATCAACACTATCAATAGAAAAATATAGGAATTGATATATTACGACAATATACAAAACAGAAGTCTGTGCTTCAATATTGTTTATTTCATGTTGTACATAAACAATGATTAGAAGTTTAAATTTTAATATGTTAACTATATGCATGTAGTAAATTGTATTGTCAATCAAATCACCAACTGTTGCGAATTTATGTCCAAAAAGAAAATCAATTAAAAACACTGCAAAATGCAAAATTCACAACCCTTATAGTTCAAAACAATTAGTGGAAGACAGTCCTATGGCTTATAATGAAAACAAGACAAATTTACTTGAACAGGTTGAGTCAAAATGTTGATTTCAGGTTTTGACAGACGCAGAGTAACAGACTATCAAATAAAGAGAAAGATCTGAACTACGTATTATGATTAAAACCAACGAAATTGAAATTTCTTGACATACTGAATAGGGCTATATTTGTTGAAGGGGATAGACCCTAAGCTACTGTATATCCGTTTTTTTCGTATTGATCTATTTTCACTTTCTTTGCAATCATGCATTTTTAATTCACAAAATATAAAACACTCGGAAATTATGTCTGACAGCTATTATGTGACATAAAAACATTACCGTTTAAAACTTTTTTCTTCTTCAATCGTTAAAAATAACTTATGCAAATTAAAAACTTTACAAATCTACCCTTTTTTGCAAACTTTCCAACACCCGAAAAAACCCCAGATATACAGTACTTTGAAAGCTCTCATAAACTAAACCATTAAAACTCAAGAAATAATTTTCAGATAAAAAATAGATACTGCAATACAATCAAAATCTGCAAAATCAAGTGACACATTAGACTAAAGTTTAGAATCACAAAAACGTACAAAATCATAGTCCATGGTTTTCTTTCAAGCTTTATAACAAAATTCAATATAAAAATAGTGCTTCTTAAAATCAACATTATTCTGTACACCAACAATCTTCATCTGCCGATTGTCTGCTTTCACTGACAATTTAAATCACACATTATCTGCATACAGGTTCAAAAACAACACATCAAAAATACAGTTAAAAATATTAATTACATTTAATGATATACACAATGAGGGAGGCAGGTATCTAATTAGGAAATTAGCATGTTAAGATATTAATAACAATAAAACAAAGCCTCTTTTGATTAATTAAAAAAGATGCATGATATTAAATGTGTTGTTATTGTGACTAATGACTAGATATACAGAACTACTGGATGAGAGTTGTATGCCAGTATATCTCTCCATCAAAACTCTTCACAGGACAGCTGTGTTGTAACCTGCACATTTTAACCCCAACAAAGCGTTTCAATACACTATTTCATTATTTAAAAGACACACACATTCAATATAGGTATCTTAGATCAAACTAAGTATACAGTACTTTTCCTATCCCTGCAAACAATGTTTAGATATGAACATAAGAACATTTGATTTTATATACAGGAGTATTTCAATAGATTACCTTGTTATTACCCATCTAATGATAACCCTTACTGATGTTATTATGCCCACTGCATTGCACTAAACAATGAAACAGAATGTCCAGGATGATATCTTAAGCATTAAGTAGATTTCTAAGTAAATTATTGTGCGTTTAGCACTTTCTCTTTTTACGGAGACATTGGGGAAAGACGTTACTTTGAATTTCATGTCGTTGTAGAACAAATTATTTTAGTTTTCTACACAATAAGTTGAGATTTTTTTTTCAATAATTTTTTTTCTCAATTTATATGAGATTCTTTCCATTTTTGAAGATATAAAATAGCCAGAAAAATAACGAGTGAAAAAAATTGCTTCTCTATCTGAACTACCAGAACCAGAAGAATTGTGAACATGTACAGGAAGATAGAGAGTTGCAGGCTTATAATGGTGCTCAGAGACAAGACTTTCTCTCTCATACTTTCATTTACTTTAAAGTTAAATTTTTGAATACTGTAAACCAACTTTTATTCATGTTCAAGAAATTTTCATGAGTTTCGCAAGAGCATCAACATCGTGAATATTTCTCACCACGAACCGATCGTTAAAGTCTCTTTGTCTATCAACAACAGATACAAAAAAGGTTTGATCGCGAAAATTAATTGTGATGAACAATTTTACCCCCAGTAAATTGCGAAATAAAGTCGTCACGAAAAAAAGTTGGTTTACAGTAGCTAAATTTTACTGCAAGAGTTCAATATAGCAATACAAGTATTAGTAACATTTTATATAAGTATGTACATATCTCATAGTATTAGTAATATTATAAGCACACTATACAGAAAACTACATCATTACCGTACTTTGCAAGAAAAAAATATATTCTACACGAATATAAAAAAGACACTAATGTCAAAATATAATGCTTCAAGCTTTAGTCTTACAATCATTTATAAATGAGCTATCTAAGACAAAGCAGGTTTAAATATAAAGCAAAAATACACATTTAGGCAAATGTAACAAAAAGCAAAAAAAGAATTCCCCACTATTATACAGCTGGAAATTGAGAAATGTTGACAATATCATCATTGACACAGAATAATTTTTTGAAAATCAAACAATAATGTTTTATGTACAAATAGCCATAGGTATGAAAAAATCCCATAACAAAGTGTGCAAAGGGACTAGAGTACATTTGTACCCAATGACACAAATCTACATGTTTTACTACTTTAAGCATAACTTTGTATCATGGTAATTTTACTCACATATAATAAAAACAATACCGGTAACCATAATACAGATACTATTCTCTCCAATGATCATTTTTAAAAGCTCATTACAATGGACAAATCATTTTAAACAAGACAGTAAAACAAAAGTATCAAATTTTGTAGAATTGTCACTAATTGCTAGACAGTAGACAATGCTGGCAAAAAAAAATTGGAAAGCAAAAAGATAAACATTAGAACTAGTCAGAGACATCTCAATAGAAGAGACATATCATACAGTCAGAGACTGAGAAACACAGCAACAGATTTAGATTAAAAGCAAACTGCTTTTTTTTACATTAAAAAGATTATAAAACAGCATAAAGAGGATACAAATACACAGATAAACAGTTTCTATCATCAGTGTTCTTTGGAGGGGTGGATTTTCAAACTACTTGAATGTTTTTTTTTACATATATCACTATGAAAAAAATAATAAATATATGAGTATTTCAATCCAATACTTGTGATTATTTAAAAAACACAAAAAAACATATTTTTTTTTAAAAGTAAGAATCACTGAAACTATGCTCCATAAACAGCTCCCCTAAAGGTCATATGGAGGTCACTCAAGGTCATATCTAGCTGGAAACCGACCAGGATGGTACTGTAATCAAAAATAGTTCCAAGTTATCAACAACAGATTCGAATGGAATATAAACATTAAACTGTACTCATAAAGATTTTAAAAGTAAAAGATTCTTTGACATCACTTCCAGTTTTTTCTTCTTCACATAATTATATCTTTTTCAGTTATACACACTTGAACACATCCAATCATACAACAAATTGATATTTTTAAGTCTAGACACAGGATGACGCTGATAATGTTATGAACACTGCAATTTTGCATGGAAATGAAATTAAATGCTTAGAATCAGTTAAAGTGGTACCTTGTACATGGTACATTGCACCATTAATTAACCAACAAAACCCACACAGTCTTACATGCTACATGTAAAGGTTGTTTAAATGTGAATGACAGTTCATTGATATCAGACTTATACTAAAAAGTGACAAGTCAATCAAGGATTGCAGCATCTTTATCATCTATGAAATGACTATCTTTTATTAATTTTGGCTTTTGATACAATGACCCTATAGTTGTCTTCCTTTGATATCTTGAGTTTGACCTTTGACAGAATGACCCTTTAGTAATCTTCCTTTGATATCTTGAGTTTGACCTTTGATAGAATGACCCTTTAGTAATCTTCCTTTGATATCTTGAGTTTGTCTTTTGATAGAGTGACCCTATAGTAATCTTCCTTTGATATCTTGAGTTTGTCTTTTGATAGAATGACCCTTTAGTAATCTTCCTTTGATATCTTGAGTTTGACCTTTGATAGAATGACCCTTTAGTAATCTTCCTTTGATATCTTGAGTTGGTCTTCTGATAGAATGACCCTTTAGTAATCTTCCTTTGATATCTTGAGTTTGTCTTTTGATAGAATGACCCTTTGGTAATCTTCCTTTGATATCTTGAGTTTGTCTTTTGATAGAATGACCCTTTAGTAATCTTCCTTTGATATCTTGAGTTTGACCTTTGATAGAATGACTCTTTAGTAATCTTCCTTTGATATCTTGAACCTTTGTTGTATAAATCTTACTTTGATATCTTGAACCTTTGATAGAATGACTCTTTAGTAATCTTCCTTTGATATCTTGAGTTTGACCTTTGATAGAATGACCCTTTAGTAATCTTCCTTTGATATCTTGAGTTTGACCTTTGATAGAGTGACCCTATAGTAATCTTCCTTTGATACCTTGAGTTTGACCTTTGATAGAATGACCCTTTAGTAATCTTCCTTTGATATCTTGAGTTTGACCTTTGATAGAGTGACCCTATAGTAATCTTCCTTTGATACCTTGAGTTTGACCTTTGATAGAATGACCCTTTAGTAATCTTCCTTTGATATCTTGAGTTTGACCTTTGATAGAATGACCCTTTAGTAATCTTCCTTTGATATCTTTCTTTGATACCTTGAGTTTGACCTTTGATAGAGTGACCCTATAGTAGTCTTCCTTTGATACCTTGAGTTTGACCTTTGATAGAATGACCCTATAGTAGTCGTCCTTTCATTTAATTGTTGTAAACAATAAATCTGGTATAAAAGAATTCTAGTTATGGTATCTTAGAAAGTTTTCAAAGACAACAATTATCTTGACCTTTTCACCTTTTTTTCTGGTGACCCTTAAACCTGCAGGACTTTTTCTCTCACCACCTCTACATATTTCTTACATCAAATTAAAGAGCTGATGACAAAACAATGGAGAGATTGAGCCAGTGAATACTATACATCTCACAAGCTTTGCTGTAGGACCTTACTTATTTACATGCTATATAATCTGCCTGACCCTTTACAGACTTTATACATAATCTATACCTTAACTCAATAACACAATACATGTACATGACATTGTGCTCTACCACATACCACCCTGTCACCCAAGTCTTTATTCTGGTAGCTTCATCTGGTATATTTTACAATTTCATCATCTCTTAAATTTGACAATTAACTCTATAAAGCATTCTGTCTTTTACACAACGTAACATTCTTTTGAGATGATGGTTAATGTGCACACAATACCAAAGCAATCTGAATTTTACACAAACAGCCAACTGTTAAGCAAACATTAATGGTTCATTTCTCAGTCCTCTTTATACTTCTCTACTTACATTATAAAAACTGGCCTACAGGAGCAGAATTACAATATTAACAGTAAATAATGAATTGCCACATGTTTTTTTATTTAATTTTAGAATATTGCCTGAATTCTAATTTGTGGTCCCTGGACCACGGTTTTCTATGCTTTATTTTCATTGCAAGGGGAATCTTGCATAATGAATTTACAATCTGGGCTTCATTTTCATAGTATCTTTATCAAATATTCTCCTGTGTATAACCTTGACCCTTACATTACCCTTATGTGCATGTTTAAACCCCATATGTATTTTGACTCTATATGCATAAATTTGATCCCTACATATAGTTCTGACCCTATGTATAAATAGACCTCATGTATAACTTTGACCCTATGTATAATTTAATTTATTTTATCTACTATGTATACATGTAACTTTGACCTTGCCCCTTACATATAAATTTGACATCTTTTTATAACTTTGATGTGATGGCAAGGCAATATGAAAACAAGATTGATTTTTATCCTGTATATTCAAATGAGATGTTTATTAATGTTAACTATCTATTTGGGGGGTGGGTTTTTTTTTCAGAACTTCAGGGTAGTCAAGACTAATAGCTAAGGGATTTTAACACAATTCCATCACCATGGAAACTAAAATTCAAATAAGCCAATCAGTGAGCCTGTTTATAATCACCATAGTAACTTACAGCAGGAGGTGGTGAGTCATTCATTGGGACTCTCTCTTCTGACTGTAATTCATCAGCACTCCTACAATATACACATCAAATTAATCATCTTAGTCATCAAACTGCTTTATATATTGTAGTGATAATGGTTTTACAAAATAGTTCGGATTTGGGATGCATATATTTGTAAACGTCACAATCAGCTGATCACTGATTTACTACCAGTTGTGATTATAACCTGGATCAATACAGGCCTCTGTCCACACTGTCCTGTCCGAAGTCCACAGCTCAGGTGGGTTGTAACCTATGTTACCCCTCATCATTTTCACAAGTAATAAAATATTGTGCTCAATTACTAACACACTTCACAACATTATTAACATATAAATTTAACCAGCAGTGTAAAACACATTATTGTGAAAAATGTTACTGCTATGGATCAGAGCCTAATTTTATGTGCAGTTAACCTTTGCACTTTTAAGGTCTGAATTTACACATGTATCAGCATATTGATTTATATGAGTAAAATAAGCCTAATGCAGTTGAACATAAAAGACATCATTTTTAGACTTTAATGGGCCTCCAGTAGTTATACAGGTGACTCTCGATGGCTCGAACACCGATCTCTCGAAGTGAACCTCCGGTCCCGTTTTTTTCCTCTTTATAACTAAGCAAATTTACTCCTGATCTCTCGAAGTTCTCTATCTCTCGAACCAAAACCTTGGTCCCGTTACACATATTTCATTGAATTTTACTCTCTATCTCTCGAAGTTTTGATTGCGTATGTATACATGCCAATCAAGCGTAAAATTGATGCAGCCTAGCTGGACTTTTCTGGAAACAGTGAACGCAATGGGCTGGCATGGAGGTGTTAATTGGGTGTTTACACAGATGACACTACACCTGTGGGTCTTCCGTGTGTTGTTATAATTAATTGATTATTATTCACAGGGTAAATTATAAACCAATTCACAACTTATTTTGAATTGAAACCGAGACGATAATTTAAACCAGAAGTCTCTGTCAAGACTGTAGCTCTACTGGTTTGTACTGATCAAAAACCGATGCACAGAATTATGTATCTTACTTGTGTGATAAGTTATATTGAAATCAGACCAAAACTGTAGAAGGAGTAGCATAAAGGAATCCACAGAAAATTCTACTTTTAGTAACCATGGCAACACCGTTCATTGAAATCAAAAACCGATTATTATATGTAAATTAGTGTAGTTTACTTGTGTGCCAAGTGATAATGAAATCAGACCAAAACTGTAGAAGGAGTAGCATTTTAAAGGAATTTCTCAGAAAATTCTATTTTTAGTAAACATTGCAACACCGCTCATCGAAATCAAAAACCGATGCAATATTTTATGTATCTTAGTGTAGTCTACTTGTGTACCAAGTGATATTGAAATGAGTCTAAAACTGTAGAAGGAGTAGCGTTTTAAAGGAATTTCTCAGAAAATTCTATTTTTAGTAACCATGGCAATATCGTTCATCGAAATCAAAAACCAATTCACTATTTTATGTATCTTAGTGTAGTCTACTTGTGTGCCAAGTGATATTGAAATGAGACTAAAACTGTAGAAGGAGTAGCGTTTTAAAGGAATTTCTCAGAAAATTCTATTTTTAGTAACCATGGCAACATCGTTCAATCAAAAACCGATGCACTATTTTATGTATCTTAGTGTAGTCATGCCAAGTGATATTGAAATGAGACTAATGTAGAAGGAGTAGCGTTTTAAAGGAATTTCACAGAAAATTCTATTTTTAGTAACCATGGCAACATCGCTCATCGAAATCAAAAACCCATGCACTATTTTATGTATCTTAGTGTAGTCTACTTGTGTGCCAAGTAATACTGAAATCATACCAAAACTGTATAAGGAGTAGCATTTTAAAGGAATTTCTCAGAAAATTCTATTTTTAGTAACCATGGCATCACCGTTCATCAAAATCAAAAACCGATGCACTATTTTATGTATCTTAGTGTAGTCTACTTGTGTGCCAAGATATATTGAAATCAGACCAAAACTGTAGAAGGAGTAGTGTTTTAAAGGAATTTCTCAGAAAATTCTATTTTTAGTAACCATGGCAACACCGTGAAATCAAAAACCGATGCACTATTTTATGTATCTTAGTGTATCTACTTGTGCGCCAAGTTATACTGAAATCAGAAAAATTGTAGTAGCGTTTTGAAAAATTGTTTACAGACAGACGGACAGACAGACAGACAGACAGACAGACGGACGGACGGACGCCGGACGCATTACTATCGCATAAGCTCTTCTGGTCTCTGACCAGTAGAGCTAAAAAAAATTAATTTATAGATGTTCGTTTCAGTAATTTCCCATAGACTATGAACTTTCATTATGATTAATAGTCTGCATAATCCCAGTATGGGAACTATTACACAAGGAATTCCTTTCTCAAGGACAGAATACCGATTAAGAAAAATCTGAACACTGGTGAAGGACCCAATCAAGCCGCGGAATAGCCAAACCTACAATTGCTATTCGGGTTTCATGTAATCAAGAAATAGGAACAAATAAATATTGAAACTTTAGGAAATCGTTTTATTTATTCGAAATACAATCATTGTTGTTGATATCAAGCAAATATTACCTGTAAAATACGATTGAAAACGTGCAATGACATTATTTACTTATACTTCCGTTATCTGTAAAAGTAGAACTTTGATGATCGAAACTGAAAATTCCGGATTTTATTTACTTTCCATCTCTCGAACCCCTCGATCTCTCGAACTTTTCTTGCGGTCCCTTGAACTTCAAGAGATTGAGAGACACCTGTATTTATAAAAAAAAGTTTGGCCATCTAAGTTTACCTGCGAAGATCTCTGTAGTACTCTAGTGTGCAGCTTCCCCGGGCCCCTCCCCCACCCTCCATTGTTCCGTAACCATTATAAGGTGGTGGGCGGTGACAGAATGGATCCGAGTCATCTACAGGTCGATATCCTCTCCTATATACAGTAAACAAAGTAATTAACACCATCATAATTAAATTTTAGGTCATACAAAATGTTCACAGAAAGTCACAGATATTTGAAATGTCAGACATTTTACATGATTACCTTTTTCCTGCTAGATACCAGACCCTTGGTAGGAGACATTGGACAATGATCATGCAGATTCCAGCAAACGGTAACATTAACAGCAGAAGGGCAACGCCCACTCTATAAAAGTAAGGTGTAACCATTTCAAATAATGAGAGAAATTGCTGGAAAATGTATCACTGTATTTCTTCAGAAAATAATGACAATGCTTTAAAAATTGAAATTTAATCAGACATATATTATGACACATTGAATGATAATTTTAATCTAAAAAATTTAAATTTAATCAGACATATATTATGACATATTGAATGATAATTTTAATCGTACAATGCTGTTTCACAAACTCCTTCCACTGCAGACTTATAATCCTTGTGTAGGGTCCGACAGCCCAGCAGCTCCCCGAGGGCTGTCACATTCCCCACAGCATAGTCAAACAGTACCCTAATGTGCAGGACGGGCTTACTTATCTACAAAAGTAACAAGAGAAAAATCACCAACTAATCTGTCTGTCATTCTTTATTAGTTATGGAAACTGTGTGCTGGTTCATCTTGGTATACCCTGTAAGTATGGATGGGCTTTTCCACTGCCTCTTGGAGTATGTCTATTTTCTCTTTTTTTTAATTGAAATAACAGATCCCTTACATTGAAAAAGACAGACAAATGTATATATACAAAACTTACACAGAAAATGTAAAACACATTGGTAATATGTAGGTATTTTATTGTGCCTATAGATAGATTGATTTGACCGTAATATTTTATTGGGTTGCTTTATCCTTATGACTTAACAGCCATACCAACCTCACTGACTGGAATGAACTTGGAGCTTTCATTGATGAATCTATTTAGCGTAGAATTAGCTTCCGTTACTTCTTCAACTGCATTCTGGATTTCCTGTTAGCATAAAATACAAAAACTAGATATACTGATAATAAGGGTCTGGAATTACATTATCTGTAGTATGTCTCTTGGGTTTCCTTGGATGTAGCAGGATTTACTTACCTTCCTAAATATGCTGGGGACTCCCTTGCTGGCCTGACACTGGGAGTATTCCCTAATGACATCTATAAATAGATCAGACAGGAAATTACACATTAAATGTCAAAACCCAAATAGGTACAATATACATATATCTTGAACCCTGCTATCTGACCTAATAGTGAAAACACAATATCTACACTCTCTTAACAGCTTTCTAATTCACCTTACCTTTCTGTGTGTCATCTTTTCCTAGAGATTCTACATAGCTGTCTGGGTCATAACACAGATCTGACACTCCCTGGAAACAAAGACATAAAGTCAAAAGTAGGACATATGTCTCAGTATCAAATGTCATGTAATATTAAGTCATTTCTAAGAAAGTTATGTCATATAAATCTGTCTGCTACTTTTGTTGTCAAAAACCAATTTTGACTCATTAAAGAGATCACCAGAAATTCTTACCTCCTGTCAAAACCAACAACAGATTGACTAATTTGAAATGTACTCACCACAGAAACCCCAGCTAGGCCCCTACTTCCTGCCCAAACCAATAACAACCTCCACTTCCTATCGAGACCACAACAATGATCTTAAAGATTGATTTGAAATGTACTCACCACAGATAACCCCAGGTATGTCCCACTTCCTGCCCAGACCAATAACAACCCAAAGAATCCCAGAGTGACTGATCTGAAATGTACTCACCACAGATAACCCCAGGTATGCCCCACTTCCTGCCCAGACCAGTAACAACCCAAAGAATCCCACAGTGACTGATCTGAAATGTACTCACCACAGATAACCCCAGGTATGCCCCACTTCCTGCCCAGACCAATAACAACCCAAAGAATCCCAGAGTGACTGATCTGAAATGTACTCACCACAGATAACCCCAGGTATGCCCCACTTCCTGCCCAGACCAGTAACAATCCAAAGAATCCCAGAGTTACTGACCTGAAATCAAAAGCCAATCAAATCATTTGACATTCTGTCTCCTAAACATGACTGATGATTGAAAATCCTGTTTTATATTCAATTTTAAAATTTTTACAAAAACTTTTCTATGTGTGAAATACAGGGATCTGAATACATACGTCATTAGGAGACATCTGGACTTCTTATAACACCCGAGGCTTGTTGTTAGAAGTATGAAGAGGGCAAAGCACAGCAACACTATCGTGACTGTCCACCTAGAGAGACAACCAGTCACTTGGTGATTTTAATAATGATGTAGACTATATTTCAGAAAATTACTGTGCATAATCAAAGAAAAGCAAATGCTCTATGCACCTTACACAGACTGCATTACCTTATAAACTCTACATCCACTGCCTCCTTGGAGAACTTTTGTAGGAGGAGGCTTGGCACGTGAGATTTGACGTTATCGATGTCGCTCCGGGTTTGTTGAGCATGCTCCTCAATTTTGTTTAATATAGGAGAGAGTGTTTTATTGGCGACATCTCCAGATTTTCCTAGTATGTCCTTCAGTGCTTCAATTCCTGCTGGTCCGTCAACTTTGTCGACAACATCCACAAGCGTATCCAGCTACAAATACAACAAAGAAATCAGTTAAATTTGTTTTGTACAAACAAGGATAGAGCAAATTTATGCTTTAACCAATTGATTTTGGGTTTAAAGGATACAATTATAGCAAAATTCATATACTGTAGATCACTTTTTATTCGCCAGAGCTTTATTTTCACGTAATTACGCGAGACAGTGTGCTCGCGAAAATTTAATTCTCGCGTATAATAGTATTCCTTAGGATTATATAGAGCAGTAACCATCATTCATGAAAATTTTGTCTCACTAATTAAAAGACAATGACTATCTCGCAAAAAAATAACGAGTCACGAAAATTTAGTGATCTGCAGTATATCTTTCATACACAATTTTTGAAATACAGTGTAGATAATTATAATTATTTATATTGATATTTGAAATTTTATTATATACAGTGTAAAATGCTCAACCTTTATCATACTGTATTAATTTGCAAGCTTTTAAATTCATTCCTTATGTAAAACACAGTTTTATTGTATGATTTTTACTAGAAAACTGACAGTCAGCAAGGGGCAGACCAAGGGACGGAAGTCTAAGGGCTCAGCTTAAAAGATTAGAATTTAACTTAGGGAAAATTTTTTTTAAAAATACTGGTAACTGTATTTATATATAATTTGCATTTTGGAGATATTTTCTTCCTAAACAACAAATAAGATAATCTAAATGCATATTAGAAATTAAAAGAACCATAGTATAAATAAAGGGGTAAAAAAGATCATATCTAATGTTTCTATTTCATAAAATCTTTAATGCCAGCCTTTGGGAAATGCAAACATAACCCAGGCTTCTCCTTGATTTCAAAACAAGCATCACCTGCAACCAGAGGTGATAATCAATCTTAATGTGACAGACAAAAACTTTCATATGGGACAGACTGACCTGCTTTTCATCCTTTTATTCCATGATTACTACCTTTCATTCCAATTTTAGAATAAGAATATAATTTTCAACAATGATTGAATGAGGGTATTAATATGATACTTATTATATCCATAGTTTCATGGAATTTACATAAGGCATCAATAGACTAATATTTTTGTCACTGTCTTCTTACATAAATTGCTCACGAAATTATTCAATAAATTGTGTGTTTTCACCACAGTAAAGTATGGACATCACGAAAATCCATCCTTCTCTGAATGCATACATAGTCCTGGTACGGCTAATAGTTACTTGGGAATGGAATTGATCCTAAAACTTAAACCTGCTCACTCATCTAGAAAATGTAGGTCAGATCCAGAATATGAAGCAAGTCTGATAGTGCCCATCCTTAGATGCATCATTCATGCAAGTTCGGTCCAAGTAGGGGTTACAGTTACTTGGAAATGGGCCTAAAACTTAATCGTGATGCCAATTCCAAAGCTAGGGGGTATAGCACAGACTCATATTAACTTTTTTCTTTCAGTGACCTTGAACTTACCAAAATGACCTTGGTTAAGGTCATGACATACCCTTAGGTCATGAACAATCTTTATGTGGAGTAGAGGATTTTAAAGTTCCATAGTAAGAAAAATGAGGACTGGACAGGTTTGCACACACACCTAGCTAGACAGACAGACAGATGGGCGGACAAGGTGATTCCTATATATACCCCCCTTTAAACTTTGTTTGCAGGGGTATAAAAACTGATATATTTTTAATTATAATTCTGTGACAATAAACAGACTTAAAGTAATTGTAATAACTGGACAATAAAGTAAATTGATAAACTTGACTTGTGTAAATGTGATTAACACCTATTTGTGTAAACAAGGGAGATCATGCTTCTACCCTATGTGCCTTGCAAGTTGCAAGACACCTGAGTATCATAAGTTTCTCAGTCCAAGATCACTGTCATCACTTATGATCATTCTTGAGTTTAACCTGCTAGTGATGCAGTACTTATGATGTCCTTGACATGTTTGTTTATTGCTGACTGAAATTCCTCAATTTGATTTGTATCAGTTTACACTAGGAAGTGTATTGGTACTAACAATTATCAATGAGTATTCTCAGTTTTATCAGCATATACTTTGTACTTATAGGGACTAAAATGTCCTCATGTGTTTGACTTGTAATTAGTTATACTTTGTACTTGTAAGGACTAAAATGTCAAGTGTTTAACTTGTATCAGTTAACTTTGTATTTATGGGGACTAATTTGTCCTCGAGTGTTTCACTTATATCAGTCATACATTGTACTTGCAGTCCTCAGAAGCTTGATTTCTGTCCATTTACACTCTGTTCTTGCAGTGATAAAAATGTCCTCCAAGGTTTACCATGGTAACACTTTACACTGATAATTTGTACTTGAAATTTCCTCAAGGTCTGTATCAGTTTATGCTTATACATGTAGTAATGGGGACCATCAGTAAGGTTAGTTTGTATCAGTTTATACTTACAGTAGTGGAGACATCCCCTAGGGTTTGGTTTGTATCATCTAACGCCTCCAAGAATTGTTTAGCCCCTTTACTGGTCTGCTCATTGCCAAAAAATCCAACTGATATAGCTCCTCTGTTGGGAAAAAAAATCATTTTAAATCAAGAAATAAGAATGATTGCAATTTTTACTTCACAGAATTTACAAGAATGACTTGCATGTGTTTAACTTAATTATTCTTAAAGTATCCAAAAAGTGGTCTTTCTCAAATTGTTTGAGTTTATTCTTTTCTGCTTTTCCCAAGTAAAATTGAACCAATTCTTAATGTATTTCGCATACTGGACTCATACCAGATTACATGTACAAAAACTACATATAAAATATTAATTCTGATTTGAAATTAAAACATTATTAAACATCACAAATTTCTGAGAGGGAATTTTGATGACCCCTTTATTTTTGTGACTTACATGGAGAATATGATGAATATGGCAACCACGACTCTTAAACAGGTGGTGCGCGGTGGCTTCTGTGGTTTCTTCTTAACACACTGTATACAAAGACAGCAGGAAGCCAGGAACAGAATCACTAAAATAAAGGCCACCGGTGCCGCCGCCCACAACACGAGAGACTGAAACGGACAAAAAAATCAAGCCATTTTACAATAAGTAAAACAGACGAGAAATCTGGGTTACTTTACAAGAGACTGAAATAGACATGAAAATCTGGGTAAAACAGACAAGAACTTTACTTTAAGAGACTGAAATAGACATGAAATAGACAAGAAATCTGGACTGAAACAGACAAGAAATCGCTTTACAAGAGACTGAAATAGACATGAAAATCTGGGTCGCTTTACAAGAGACTAAAACAGACAAGAACTTTGGGTGATTTTACAAGAGACTAAAACAGACAAGAACTTTGGGTCACTTTACAAGAGACTGAAACAGACATGAAAATCTGGGTCGCTTTACAAGAGACTGAAATAGACAAGAAATCTGGGTCGCTTTACAAGAGACTGAAACAGACATGAAAATCTGGGTCATTTTACAAGAGACTGAAACAGACAAGAAAATCGGTTCACTTTACAATAGACTGAAACAGACAAGAAATCTGGGTCACTTTACAAGAGACTGAAACAGACAAGAAATCTGAGTCGCTTTACAAGAGACTGAAATGGACATGAAAATCTGGGTCATTTTACAAGAGACTAAAACAGACAAGGACTTTGGGTCATTTTACAAGAGACTAAAACAGACAAGAACTTTGGGTCATTTTACAAGAGACTGAAACAGACATGAACTTTGGGTCACTTTACAAGGGACTGAAACAGACATGAAAATCTGGGTCACTTGTAAAGTGACCAAATCAGATAAGAAAATCAGGTCACTTTACAAAGGAGTGAAGGGTAGCTGCAATAATGTAGCCCTCTCCATTTTTTTTCTCTCTTTTTTGGGTGTGGCATCTTCGCTAGCCAAGGTTTTTTGATACGCTACTCTCCTCAAAATCCCTTAGCATATGGAATTGATAGAATTTGTTTTTTTTTCTCAAGTTCTGATTGGGATTCCATACACCCGGTCGACCAATAAGCAATTTTTTTTTGTAAATGACGATATTTGCATTTGGGATACTTCTTGTCTCTTTAATCTCGGAAATGAAAAACGCAAGTAAACAACTATCTGTATGCAATTCTATGAATAGCTATGGTGTCATCCAATATCTTCTAAATATGTGATTAAGAATCTATATTGAAACTACAGATATGTACGAGGGTTGTCCAAAAAGTTCGTGGACAATGACGTGTTTGTGAAAAAAAATGGTTCTATATAAATCTTTTGTATATCAAAATATTTCTTATGAAAAAACAAATCAGAATGATTTAATTTTTGTTGATGGAACGTAATATTTTTGTAACAATCGGGGTCTTTAAAGGTCGCAGATAAGGCGCACGGACCAAGGTTAAAATGACATAAACTCTGATATAAAGTGTTCAGATTAAAATGATTTTTTTCTCTATAAGACAAGTCAAAAATTAATTCAAAAAATTGTGTACCACAAATAAAGAGGCTATAACCCTTTTATGATATCTTATTGTATTGCTTACTATATAGACAGTGCAAATACTAAACAAAAACCCTAACAAATATTGTCAAAACTCTACAAAAAAGGCGATGTTTGCCATCCGCACGGGGCAGCGTCCGATCAAAAAAATTAGTTTTTATATGGTTGAAACAACGTAAGAGATAAAATATTTGTTAAAACAACTCAAAATTACTGATATATATTTAGTGTATCAATTTCAGATGGGTATATACGATTTTTCAACGGTGTGTACAAATTCGAAGACATTACAAGAAATAAAAAAAAAACGTAGTTTACTGAAAATGGAAATTTCTATTCATGACGTTGTCATAAATCTAGCGCAGCGTTGGACTGGGCTGCGCAGTGTGTGTATACAAACTGTTTATTTAGATGACGTAAATTTTTGTGCATTGTTTTGAATTTTAAAAACTAAATAAATAAATTAAAATCTATACTTAAAGATTATTGCTAGCACTTGAAGTGCGTTGCGCCTTAAAAAAGAAATGAAGTGTGTGTCCATGAACGAATAAGATACAAGGAGCTCGTGTTTAACAGGATTTTATAGAGATTTATATAGACGCAGATCGTTACTCTAGACTAGCACCTCTTGTCTAAATATTAGGGATGTCAACGAGTACCCGGTTAACCGGGTACTCGATCGAACGTCCGAGTATCGAATACTAAAATCGGTACTCGGTTACTCGGATGTATATTTTTAAATATTTCTAAGCTTATTTATTATTGCATTAAAATATCGGTTTTAAACGTAAAATGTTCATTGCACTTGTACATACAGTAATTAGGGTTTCCTGAGCCTCTAAATGACCGTTATCGCCTGTGGCAGTGTTTGTGCAGTAATTACCGTGACCAAGCACCTGCTACCTACCTGGCTCTTCTCACCTTCGGCTGTCTTCTACCCTTATGTTTAATTTGCTCTAATTCTTTGTTTTCATTGAACATCGTTTAAGGTCTATTATATATGTTTAAATAAATTAGATAATTTTGTCAATTCTCCAGAAGCCGTAGATTCTCAGGGAAAGAGACAGACGATATTGCACGTGCGATTGTTGATATGGATGCGTTTGATTACGTGCCAATTAATGCAAATGGTTGAATTATAAGGTTTTAAAAATCTAATGTCCATCGTTGCACCAAACTACAACATACCGCCTCGTAATTTTGATGAAATCAATGATCGAAAAGTGTACGAAGATCGTAAATCCGCTCTGTTAGAACTTGATCAAGTTGATATTGTACATGTAGCTCTGACGACTTATCACTTGGACGTCAAACGCATTGATAGAGTTACATTACAATTAGGGAACAGATTATTTTTTTAAACAAAACCACTGTGAGCCATTTATGATTTTATTTCTCGTATTTATTTGATAAATAAATTGGACTTTAAAAAATGTTAGATTAAATTTCGTCTGGCATAAAGTTGACATGTCCTAATTGTTACAACACATTTACAGGTAAACCTCCCATCAGACCATGTGGTTTTATTTCAATGTTTTACATGTTCATATTTATTTAGACTTTTACTTACTCGATCTCCGAGTAACCGAGTATTAAAAATTGACCGATTTTACATCCCTACTAAATATTTATTTTTTACCGAACTTTACACAACAAAATAATTTTTCGTATTGTTTGAGCAAATAGTTTGGCCATCCAGAACAGCTGTGGCTTTCATTTTTACGAAGTTTCACAGAAATTACACATGGAAAATTGACTAAATTGTATTAAATGTGTGATTATTTTGTTAATTAAAATTCTCCAATGCCTAAGTAAATGCGCTTTTGCTTTATTTTAATAAAAATTGGATTTGAATAAAAAAGGCCACCATTTGGTAAGTAAAAAAGACACCGATATGGGCGATTGACCACCAAACGGGGGTTAAATGACCATTTTTTTTGCAAACAATTTTATATATAGTCAGATATACATTTTTGCCTTCCCAATCCCTAATATGTAAAAAAACAAAACAAAAATATATTAAAACTTGGTTATAGAAAACAAATTCCTGATCCAGGATTTACAAAGAAGTAGTTCATCCTGAAACTGAAAGTAAAGAGAATCTATTGTCCATTACATATTTTGGGTATTGATTGTTCATTGTTTTATCACTCTTGCTACATTGAGAACTTCAAACAAGATTGTTTAAATTAAATTTTAAGTAACAAGTGGTTTACCTCCTGGTAACTGGTGTTTTCAGGATCAAATGTTGAGTTTGTCTCGTGGAAAGAAAAGTTCAAATGAGGGAAATCGTGTAGTATCCTCACATACCACACATCCTTATAGGAATTCATTTTAGTCTTTTAAAAATGTCTTTTTTCACTGTGTTTCAGGTTAAAAAATTGTCTCATTCTACCTACGAAATTGGTAATTAATCCTGAGGAATGTGCACTTCGAGTCAGTCATTGTCATTCGCCATTTTGTTCTCACGTGACCTGAAGGCTTTGCCACAAGCGCTTTATATTTTGAATTCTGTTTAGATACTTTTTGAGATATAGTATTGTTGTTTTTAAATATTACAATGTAAAAATAAAAATGTTATAAGAAAAACTGAAATTAAATTAGACAGACAAATGCTTAGTAACAGTTTGATTGTTATTGTCTCTGTAGAAGGCAAGCCCCGTCTCTCTGAGTCATTCGTGACGTCAGCGGGTTTCCCTCGCACTAGCCAGGTTCATTGCAACAGGCAGTACCGTGACATCAAGGGGTTATGAAATTGCAGCAGTTATCAAAGTGTGCAAAAACTAGCATGCTTTAGCGGTCCAGGAGCTACAATAACTGTCTTTAAGGAAGCATTTAGCTGATTTTGAGGTGCACGTGTAGAAGACTTGTGTGATCAGGAAGGAAGAGGCTTGCAAAGTTCACCGCCCCGATAGTTGAATGAGTCGGGGATCATGCCAGGTAAACTAGCTGATAACTGTTTTGTTTCGGTGCACATTGCGTTTAGCATCATTCTTTAGCCGTATGGACTTGCATTTGAGCCATAGGAGTAAGGAATGCACGTCTCGTGGTTTTGTAGAACGTCTCGTCTAAGCCAATGACCTACTGGCCCACTCTCGAGCGTGCACTTTCGCAGAGCGATAGATCATTTGTGTATCATAAGATATTGGAATTTATATTTTATTTAAGTAATTAAGAAATTCGACGAGCTTAAGCAGAACCATTTAATAACCAAAAATGGTTTGGAAGTTTGCACCTAGTTTTTCTTGAACATTACCCTTTTGGAGTTAATGACCTTTGCATGATTAAAAAGTATCTAGACTAAAGGCTAATGTAAATTAATCTACCACAGAAGGGCGTATCTAAATATATACTAATGCTTAGAAATTGAAAGTATTTTAACATATAAGACATCAAACTTGTCTATTATTCAAGGTACAACTGGTTGTTTCCTACTAACGTGATGTCCTGTACCTTAAATATGTAACATTATACAATAATATCGTAAGATTATCTAGGAAACTTCAACATTAGGATAGAAAAATAATTTTTATATAGCAAATAAAATAAAATTCTATTTAAGGTTGCCTCACTGTGCATAAATAATTTTATAAAAAATTTCGGAGGTATTCACTTAGACTTCCCTAATTTGACTGCCTCAGCAAATTTGCAAAGTGCAAAAGAAAATTGTTAGCATTTAACATTAAGATGATATAAATATTAAAAAGGAATGAACTTTGACTTATCACTAAAAGTGCAGGTGTCTGCATGGAAAGAAAAAAATCCCCTAGAAAATAAAGCAAATTAGATAACCAGGTCATACAAAGTTTAATTATTATTAAACTTTAAATTACATTATATTTTAGATAAATGAAAGATATTTTTCATAATTATTATATATCATACTTACTATGAGTTTTAATTGCAACCATTAAGCAGTTGCCAGTATTAGTAGTGTCAGCTATAGCAGGAACAGTAATCATATAAATATAAAAGATCTTCAAGAAGTACAGAGTGAAGTTTGTTGAAATTGGGTAGGAGAGAGCAAAAAAGGCTCAAAATTATACATCTGTATAAGGAATATAAAGAGGAACAAGCTAATTTAGAGAATCTGTGTCCCAGAACCTGTTACAAAAAAAGAAGAGCAAATGGGAAGGGGGGGGGGGGGCAAGGACAATTCAAGGAGGGCAAGTCTGGCTATAGGGGGAAACAGTATAAAAATTGCATTGCAAAAGCTTGAAAGCTTCTTGAGATATTATCCTGTAAATGAAAGTTTTACACACACACAGAGAATGAATTTACAACCTTTGACCTATTGACCTCGAAATAAATATGGGTTGCCCTTGGACCATAGGAACTTAAATTCATGTTATGGTATAAAATCTCACTGCAAAAACTTCTCACGATATTTTGTGGAAACAAAAGTGTTAAAACAGAGAGAATTTATTACCTTGACCACCTCTGCCCTTTTGACCTCAAAATAAACAGGGGTCTTCCATGGGTCATAGGAAGATATGGTATGAAATCTCACTGCAAGAGCTTCTCAAGATATTGCCTGGAAATGAAAGTGTTTAAACAGAATTTATGACCTTGACCTTTTAAACTCAAAAATCAAAAGGGGTCTTCTTAGGCCATAGGGAGTTATTGTGTAAAATTTCACTGCAAAAGCTTCCAAACATTGAGATTTTGCACAGAAACGAAAGTGTTACAGACAGACAGATGGATGGACAGACAATCCGAAATTAATTTCCCCCACTTTGTGAAAGCAGAGGAATAAAAACTTGATAAATATTTTTCTTCCCCTAAGGGTGATGTTTTGTCATATCAACAGAATTTATATACAAGCATCCTCAAGTTCTGCAGGTAGAAGTTTGTTCAAGTTATGTACCTCTGGGTAGGTTGGGTACAAAACAGGACCTGATTAGTGAATTGTCAATTTTCTATTTCATGATGGTCATAAATGTGCAGATTTACAATTAAAATCTGTTCAAAATGGGGTTAAAAATTGTTTGGAGTTCTTGTATTGCCATTGTTTGCACATTAAATTAAAAATCTAAAGAATATTTGTGTCCACATACATAGTGTAAATAAATCCCATGCAGAAAAATGTATGTTTAGTATAGTATTCATATGCAACAGTACTATCATCAGGTTTTGAAGTTTCTTCAAATCATTGCAACCAGGAGTCATCTATCTTGGTAGGTATTGTTGCCCACGTGGCCCAATGGTTAGAGCGTCTTCTCTATAGTCGCGAAGTAAGGAGTTGATCCTTATGTTGAGGGTTCCTATCCCACTGTGGGACGTAGAGACCAGTCCTTTGAATGAGACTGTATAAACAGAGGTCCCGTGTCACAGTAGTAGCTGGCATGAAAAAGATCCCTCATTGCTCAATGGTCCTTAGTGCCAAGCATAGGACAAACTCTCCACCAGCAAGTGGTGGCATCTCCATATGAGTGAAAAATTCTCTGGAGAGACATTAAACAACATACAATCAATCTTGGTAGGTATTTGGGGTCACAACGGGATACAGATTTTCATTGGAATAAATATGGAGGAAAATCTTTCAAGCAAGACCATTTATTCAATAGACATGTCAGTAAAAAAAGCACCTTAGGGAATGCATGTTCGAAATTAACAACCCATGGAGCCAGGGTTAGGATTGGCCACCCTAATACTAAATAGATAAATACTTGCATGGAATTTTAATTAATCTTTCTATCACAAAATAAAAGAGAAGAAAGGCTTTCATATTTTACATGTTTATAAACTGTGGCAAGGCCTTTCCAAAATGCTGTATGATTTTTACTCCATGATGTTGACTTTAACTTTTTATACAAGATGTGTTTGTGAACCACTGATGTCCCATAAGATTACATTAGGCAAAGGTCAAAGTTTTTCAGATGCAAGTCAAAGTCTAAGGTCGAAAGATTAAGAATTTCGGTTTAATACCTAAAGAAAGAAATAGTTGTCTCAATAAATATACCTGTGAAATACGAAAGCCAACCACTAACCATTCTAAAGTAAAGTTATATAAAAGTGGGTCAAACTCCAAGATTAAGGTCAACAGATCATATATGTTGGTACCCAAAGAAGATGTTGTCTAAAAAAATAAATAGACCTGCATGTAGACATGAAAGTCATAGCATAACTTTTAAAAAGTTATGGCCAAGGTTAAAGTTTTGTAAATTTTTGCAAATGTTGGTCATACCTCAAGGTCAATAGGTCACATATATAAAGAAACATCTTGTCAGGAGTAATACATAATATATGAAATAAGAAGTAATCAAAAGTAAAGGGCAATGTTAATGCAAACAGGCAGACAAACAGACAGACAAAGCAAAATTATATCCCCTAAATCTTCAATGTGGGGTGGAATAAAAAAAAAATAACATTGGTAAATACATGTGAAGTAGAGAAAATTGGTATATCTGATTCTTGGCCTTAAAGTTTAAATAAATGCAGTTTTAATTGTTTCAGAAACTCTAATTTTAGCAGTAACATTAATTTAATTATTTAATTTTTTTGGAATGGAGGACAAATACAGATGACAGTTACAATATGCCAGCCCATAAATAGTTACTGGTACATTCCAGTCACTGAAACACCAGAAACAGGCAATCTCAGTTATTAGAATTAGAATTTCCGTGTTCAATTTAGATATAGGTACATGTACAAAAATTTAAAATTTCTAATTAATTAAAAGGTAATCAGTTTAAAACATGGGTGAGTTGAGTGGGCCCGGATTTTAGCAATATTTTCTTTATTTCAAAATTTCCATTTAGCACTTTTTGTGCAGGTCAAATTTTCATAGGCTGGGAAATTGTCTTTAATATAACTAATTTGTAAAGCAACTAAGCATACTTAATAAAGTGGTGAGAGATGTACATGTAATTTAGAATAATAGCTATATACATGTAGTACTTCAATCTCCTAAATTGTAAAAGCAGGACTTCAATATTTTGCCCTTTACTTGGACTGTTGATGTTTGTAAATAGTTCAAAGTTTGTTACAAAAATAAATGTGATCACATCCCCATAGTCCATGTGATAAAAACAAACTTACACTTGAAACTCTAATATCATAGATATAAATAAGCTATGGAAAACCCTTAATATATAATATCATTTCTTTTTAAAAACCCTTGCAGTCACAAATCTGAAACAGAGAAACTATTGATTATACTTTCATAATTAAAAGTTAATATTTGGAAAATCAGAAATTTTACTGTTTATTTTTACAAAGTCTATAATTTGAAATCAGAATTTTTTCGTTTTTCAATAAGTTTTCGTCAGTAATTATTTAATTAATTAAGAATTTTGGTATGAAAAATGAAAAATATATAACATATATATTTATTTGGCGTAATCTTTTAATATAGATTAATTGTGTTTGTATTCTATATAAATGAGACAAATTTATGAATATGGAGTTCTCTAACTTTTCATTCTCTATAGATTTATCAGCTAACAATTCTATTAAATTAAGACATATCAAATTTGGGACTTAAATATTGCCTACTCCCTTGGGGAAGGGGGCCCGGGGTGTTCTGTAATTTCTCATTTTTCTTGGTATTAAGAGCATTTAATGTATTATGATAGTCAAACCAAAAAAATGACAATCTGAGAAACTGACAAAAACTCTATTCTACCGTGTACTACACTCTTATATCAACACATTTTCAGTCTAAATTAAGTAGGCTTAACATGCAGAATTCGGAGCTGCATGATTTTTAAAGAATGTAGATTAAAATTGACACTGCACATGTAAGATATACAGGGATATAATTACTAAATTTCATTAAATGCATATTTGCTTCAATCCAATTGTTACATATTCAAATTTTTAATGCCAAAGAAAAATTTCTCCTATTAAATATCCACAGAAAGGTGTACGAGGATAATGTATGTATGTTAATTTCAAGTAAAAGCCATGTAGATAAAACATGACTCTCACTATATATACCTGAAGATATTTTTATATCAATGAATATTCATGAGAAGATTGTTTTGCCTGTCACCTAGCGGAGTACGAACACAGCAGTCACGATTTGGGTAGTCCCCTTTATGTAGTTTAACCTTTATAACAGCCAATCAAATCACAGCAACCTGCTGACTCATGCCTCCATATGAATGAGCAGTGTGATCAAGGGGAAAATAATACTCTGTAGATTGACCAATAGTATTTGATGATTCATCCGGATATGATCATGTGCTCAGTGCCAAAATCTATTGTAAACATGCATGCATTCCTGGAAATTTAGAAGAAAAATATTTTTGTGTATTGATTTCCTAAGGGCATTTTTGGGTTGAATTTCTGTGAGAGTGAATTGGATTGTTTATGTGATTACTGACAAGCAAAATGATGGCTAACCCTCTACCAGTGAAATATAATGCTGGGATTAATGGGTCACCCAAGGATTCTCCAAGAAAAGGTACTGGTCATTGTCACAGGTAGTTTGTCTCTCCTAATGTCAGGTATCCTAGGGGGAGGGGGTCAGGTGTGTTCTGTGTCCCCCAGTGGAAGGCCAAATTGTTATTAAAATTGTTAACAAAGAAACAGGATATATATACGTACACTCAATGAATTTGCATTTAATTAATGCATGAATTTAATAATTTTATATTATGCATTTCGTAAAACATAGAAATCCTGTGTATTGAAGTGTATATCTTTACAAATAAGTATCAAAAGAGTGCATATAGGTCAATATCTTAACATCATATATTGATAAAATAATGGTGTCATTTTTATATAACCTTTATATAAACAATTCATAACATTTATATTAATTGGACATTCCATAAATGCCATGCATGCCTATCATAGTGTGGTCTAGGGTTTTAAACCAGTACTGCTCTAGATCATCCACTTTCCTAAGTATGGGGTAAATGTTTTGTTAGCGATACAGTTAAAAGCTTTGTCTGAATTTTGTACCTGGTCACCTTTCTCCCAGAAGTCGGTCTCAGTAAACATGTCTGGGACATTGGGAAATATTTCGTTGCCACAAAGAGTAAACAGTTATAAAAACTAGACAGTAATCAGGATGTTTCTCTCACTATTGTGATCTATTGATCGGGGTTAGTGGGGGCTGACATATAACACTTGTATCATGTTTTCCCCATCAGCACTCCTACAAATGCTGAAGGTCACAAGATTTTACGTACACAAGATTTTAGAAACTGCTATCTGGGTTTTTCCCACCTATTAAAAATGTGGGCCTATCAATTTATCACAGTGAAAAATACACAACACTGTCAGATGAAACATTGCAGTGGAGAAAAATGAAGTGGAAAGGTAGTGTACATTAATTGTACTTTTGTTGCATGTTTATAACCAGGACATGGTTGGTATGGGCTGAGTTTAATAATGAGTGCATGTAAGTGTATGTATTTGTATTTTTTTTTTCCAGGTAAAAGACGCCCTCCAGGCCTAACAAAAATCTCCATGCCAAGGGAGGAAGAGCAAACTCCAGTTCAGGTGTAAGTAAATCTAGGCCAGAGTGACATACATTCATTACTTTCGGTTTTCACAGTGTTATATTTCCTCTTTGATGTGAAAGTAGCTGAGTTAAGACTTTTGTATAAGCATAGACAATAGTAATGGGAAACAGGCTGATGCTTTCTGTAAATTTCCAATCTTGAATTTAGCCTGACTTCCTTCTCTGATCCAGGCAAATTTTCTGAAGTCTGGAAAAAACAATAGTTTGTGAAAAATTCCTGCAGTAAATACCAGTGGGCACCTGTTAGGTTTTCTAACATGATTTTTTAATGTACATGTATTATTAATATTTAAAAATGCTGGGAATTTAGCAAATCAAAAGAAGTACAAGTTAATGTTTTGCTCCCAAATTTTAATTTAAAAGATTTTCCATATGAAAATATCAGATTATGTACCATGAGTTATCTGATATCACTTGTCAACATGTCAAATAAAACTTTAAATAGAACGATGGAAATATTTTTCTGATAATTTATGAAATTTAGAAGATAATCAAAATTTATATGGACATCCTGCTTTTTTTCCAGACCTGGAATTCCAGATTCCAAAGTGAAAATCCAGATTGAGGGAAAAGAATTTGAGATAGATGCAGGGGATCTTATTACTATCAGAAATCTGGGACGTGGTGCCTATGGCATTGTGGACCTTGTTCGGCACCGCCCCAGTGGTGCCATTCTTGCTGTCAAGGTATCAGTTTCTTTTCAAACTATAAATGATTGATGTGTCTGTAGATAAGAATTGTGCTCAAAGGATAGCATTTAATGGCACCAGTACCAAGTTTCTATTCTTTACTACAGGTAGATGTATACCTCTAAGTATTTTAAGATTGTAGGAATGTGCACCTTAACTGAAATCTTACCAACTGTTATTATCTGACATTACCTGCTTTTATCAGTTTCACCGTTGTGTGCGAGATATGCTGCCAGGAAGCGTTTTTAGCTGGCTTGAGAATTATATGACGTTTGTCCTAACTGACCTCTTTATTGATGTCCAGAATTTTATACTTCCTTTTAGATTTCCCGTTTTACTATCTTTTATGGAATAATATTTACTGATTGCCAAAATTCAATGTTTAAAGAATAAACACAAGCTTTCTGTGTGAGAGTGTTACCTCTGTAGAGCATTAGTAATGTGTGCATTGTAATGGTTACAGAGAATCCCTATGACAGTGAATAGTCAGGAGCAGAAGAGACTGCTGATGGATCTAGATGTCAATATGAGGAGTGGATCCTGTCCCTACACTGTCACTTTCTATGGGGCCCTCTTCAGAGAAGTCAGTTCAAGTTTTGTTTGAAAATTCAAATTATGCTAGCCAAAAAAAAGAAAAAAAATTTAATTGATATTTTAAAAAGATCCCTTAAAAATGTTAAACACACTATAATTATATTTTCATTATTGTTTCAACACCAGGCAGGGATAATTTTAAACTTTATGTATTTGATATGTTAGGGAGATGTTTGGATCGTTATGGAGGTGATGGATGCACCACTTGACAAGTTTTATAAGAAAATCTATGAGAACAAGGACCGTATCCCAGAGGACGTGCTCAGTAGTGTAGCTTTTTCTGTAAGTATATACATATTTAAATGCAGGTGCTTAGCAGCCCATAGTGTACGGGATTGGGTGGGACCTGTCCCTAGGCATTTGTAGGTTTTCAATAATATATATATTTGTATTTATCTAAATTAATGCATATAGTTTTACAAAATTCCCCATCCACTTTGACCTCATTATAGGATACTTCAGTAAACACTTGATCTCACAAAAGAGCACACCTTTCTACATTGACCTGATCAAAGGACACAATATGCTAAGTCCTAGTGTCCCCCGCATTATTTACACACTCTGTACTTGTAAAAGCTTAGTGGGGTGGCTTGTTTGCCCCTCCTTTCAGATAATTTCTGTATTTTCTGCTGACCTATTTTTGCATTAATCTCAAAATTCAGGGACTGATAAACAAAATCAGCAAGAATTTTAAAGTCATTCAGAAGAGAGCATTGCAATTTGGTCTTCAAGTTCAAGTTACATTTCCAGCAAACACCCCCCTTCCAGAAAAATTAAATGCTGTACACTTTCTTAGTGGTTTTAATTTCTATAAGTCTCAGTGTTAAACCAGGTCTATTAATCAATCTGTGTTTATTTTTACCTGTGCAGGTAGTTAAAGCCCTGCATTACCTGCAGTCTGAGCTCAAGGTAATCCACAGGGATGTAAAGCCATCTAACATCCTGATCAACGAGAAGGGGCAGGTCAAGATCTGTGATTTTGGAATCAGTGGTTACCTTGTAGACTCCGTGGCCAAAACTATTGATGCTGGCTGTAAACCCTACATGGCAGTAAGTCTCAGTCTTTTTAAATGACATAATACTTCACACTGTTTTGAAAATTTCTTCAACCCTTGTTGTAAAATTGTTTTTAATTTTAAGTAATAATCTTCAGTATTATCAGCTTCTTCTAAATGTTAATTTTGTTATTTCTCAACATGTGCATCCTGTTTTTGTTTTTTAAGGAAAAGAAAGGTCAATGTATCAAAATAACCAAAATATCTTTATTGTTGTTTAGTAAATGTTATGGAATAGAATGAATAATCACTATCTAAGCTTACATGAAAGAGAAATGGTTAAAAACTTTATATTTGTTGCAGCCTGAGAGAATTAACCCAGAATCTGGACAGAAGGGATACGACATTCGATCAGATGTGTGGAGTTTAGGAATTACAATGGTAAGGAAAGCAATAGACAGATAAGGGGGGTTCTCTAATAGTAAAATGATTTAGTAATGATCTCAGTGAGGTGTGGAAAACAGAGAATGCATGCTTTATATTTTATATTTTACTTTAGATTGAGTTGGCCACTGGTCAGTTTCCCTATCCGACCTGGAAAACGCCATTTGAGCAGCTGAAACAGGTTGTTCAGGACCCTCCCCCCACTTTACCCCCAGGGGAATTCTCAGCAGAATTTGAGGACTTCATCACTAAATGGTACATTTTAGTTCTTAGATCTTGACATCATACCTGAATCATCTGTATATTAATGCATTTGAAACTTTGATAGGTTGTTAATGATTTCGACAGATATTCATTACAAGTTAATTTTATGATTTGTTTTACAGCTTACAAAAAAGTGTAACAACTCGCCCCAACTATGTGGAACTTCTGAAACATTCCTTCATCAAAAGAGGGGAAGAAAAACAAGGTGAACTAGCAGACTATGTCAAATCAGTCTTTACCAAGTATGGCAACCCCACAGCAGAATCTATAGAAAAGTCTTAAATTAAGTCCAATGTAGTTAGTGTTGCCAAATGACATGACAATGGTCATTCTCTCCCCGGAGCACCTGCCCCCAGCATTCGACACCATATCATGGCCTGTGTTCTACTGCACAACAGTCATATCCATGAGGTGTCACATGCTCTTACACTAAATGGAACAAGGGGACATAACCCAGTCATTTATAATTTAGTCATTTAGTCTGACATGTGATGTCTGCTAAGATCAGCTGTTTTAAGATGAAAACCCTTCTTATAAATATGCTGGCTTCATTGATTGTATATCCTGTGTTATTTGGACTCTGACTGATGCATGTTGTTACTGTACTTTTAGTTGTTAACTTTTTACATGTACATAGTCATTACCTCAACACTGTAATTTATCAATGAGATATTGAAAACAGACAAATGTTGCATTATTAATTTATTGAAATAATGTTATGACAGTGCAATGTGAAAACACAAATTTTTATTAGTTTGATATAATGTACACCATTTTAGATATTTATTGTACAGTTTATGCCGAAATTTGTAGAAATCTACTTTTAACATTTTATCAGTCAGTACTGTTTTATAATCAGTTTATTGACTTTTTTTTTTAGCAATAACATTGTTATCATATTGTGAATGCTTTCAGTGAAAATATATACAGAAATATTTATTTGAATGAAATAGTATATATATGATATATATATTATATGTATTTGGAAAACTGCGATCAGAAAGTGCTCAAGATGAATTAACACTTTTGTTCTAGGAATGTCGTTGTAATAGGTGTTATTTATTAACTGCTGTCAAAAATTAAGTTTGCTGATAGTTTCACTTCAATACATATTCAATATTTATTGTCAAAAATAGGACAGACTTTGATATAGGGGTTCAGAATTTTCCTCACCCTCATATGTAGAGGAATTTTTTTGTTTGAGTGTGTCTCGCCTTAATTTGTATCTCCACATCGCTCCTTATCAGTTTTAGAGGTCATGACCTTTCACCTTACTCAGTTTGTCTCTCAAGGTCATGACTATTTACAGACATAGTCTTTATATTAGTCAGGTATTTATAGAATCTAATGGTGAACAAATATTAATGAGCATCCATATGACCAAAGGAGAAGGCAAGAATACCAAATAATATTATAGTCTTGAAATCATCAACTGATGTCTATTACTGTATAAATAGAATGTATTGGTTAATGTAACTTGTAAATAAGAATGGTCTACTGACTTGTTAGATTTCTATACTGTTAGTGAGTGGTACAGGTCACTCTGAGCGAGAGAGCTGGGAGTGATAAGGCCTGGTGTGTTTGTGTGTGTGTATGTAGACCGTGTCTTAGAATTTTCCCCGGACGCTCAGGTTAACTTAAAGATGAGCAAATAAGTATGTTATCACGTATATCAATATTTGTTATGATCATTATGTTGATCATGTGTAATGATTATTTACTGTGTTGAAATGATAAAATAAAGAAAACAAGCAATGAATGAGTTGTTTAAATATTAAGCCACATCTGAGGAAGATTAAAATAATAGAGACAGGTTTGTGTCTCCAGATGGATTTGAACCCTGGTAGTACTTCTTGCATGACAATTCAGTGCTTGACCAGTTGAGCTGAAGGGTTTACCCACTTGCCCAAACTAGTAGGATGGCTTGTATCTTTAGCAAATACATACAGTCAAACTTCAATATCTCAGACTCTGTGGGATCAAGAAAAAACTTAAGAGATATCCAAGGTATCAAGATATCGAGGGTATAATACTCAAAGAAGAAGTGGTCTGGACTCAAATATCACTTTGACATACCCATTTTATTTGAGGTATGGGTGTTTGAGATACCAAATTTCAACAGTATATATTTGTCCATACAGAGGGATATCATAAGATGATGGATTAATAAGAGAGATATGTACCAGTATATCCACTATGTTCTTGGTGTCTCAAAGGGTTACATGTACTTCAGCATAATTTGAATATGTATGTCAGATGCTAATTTTTGCAAATGGCTTCAAGAAAATTCTAATTCCATTATAATGTGTTTGTAATTTGACACATCTCTTATCTCTAAACCTTAAAATCTACCTCGAGATTCCTGGATACAACAAAAAGGACAAATCATTTTCTCTGATTTAATTAAATTTTAATGAGGCTTTAACTAACATGTTTATATTTGAAATCATTTGATACAAGTCTGGCTTCCAAATTTTCCTTTGATTTTTTTGAAAATTGTATTTTAAGGAGATAGGTCGAATAGACAATATGACATAACATCAACAGCAGTATTTTTAAATTGGTAGAAAAATCCATTTTCTTTGACAGAAAAAGTAATGATCATTAAATTTGAAATGATTTGGCTAGTAACATCCTATGATTTCAAAAGAGGAAAAACATTAGTTTTGACACACTAATACATTTCTTCTAATTAAATCTAAGAAAAAATATAAGTTAATTAAAAATAGTTTTTAGCAAAAACCTTGGTGATTTTAACAATCAAACCAGTTTCTGAGCATGCATAAATTGAACATTATTTACAGTTGTATATAAATTATTTGATTTAATCATTAAATATATAATTATCATAATTATAAGTCAGAATTCATATTACATTTGCCTGATTGTGACTTTTAACGTGTGAAATGCGTATTTTTAAAACCGCAACATTTTAATCCACTGAAATTTTCATTACTGCTACATAGTCATTACCGCTACAAAAACGTTACTTTACCACTATATATAAAAGTATACATTACCGCTACATTGCTTCTTTCGTAAGCCAACTACTTATGATGGAGGTGAAAGAAGGACTTGAGCAGGATGTTTTATATTATTAAAACTTTTTTTATTAAAATCTATTTTATTTAATAAAACACTTTAAAAATTCTAAAATCAAGCACTCTTTGTAGATAAAACACACAGTCTTCACACTGTCGTACTGCTGTATTGTAAAGTAATCCGGCATTCCCGCGATTTGTTACAAACTTTTTAATAGTAAACATAATGTTCAAGTGTCATTAAATAATTACATTCCAACTAAAGAAATGTATATACTCATTCTGATAAGAAATCAAATCAAAATTGTACTTCACTCATAGAGAGTGAATTCTGTTGACTGGAACTCATATTCTGTACATGTGTACCATACCTGGCTGATTCGATATCTAGCGCTAGCAGTAATGAGTTGTTTTTGGCCAAAAAAAAAATGAAGCGGTAATGATCGGTCAGAATTTTGAAAAAATGTAGTGGTAATGTGTTGAAATTTTTGGATATGTAGTGGTAATGTTGACCTCCCAGAAATATGCAGTTGGTTTTTCTTCATATAAGTGTGTAAAATTATACAACAGACCCATGGACCACAGGACTGACCTGAGTCACTATAGCCCTACTGTTCTTCATCAACATTTTCCCCCCTCTGTCAATATTCTAATGTAAAAATTTGATCTCCTATCCTGACCCAATATTATCTCTATGGGGTAATGATTATAAATAAACTTGAATCTTAACTACCTGATGATGCTTCAGTATTTATTAATATGACTAATTATAGATTTCTGTTTTTGAGTAGACAATTTTTTAAAGATTTTCCCTATAAATTCCTATATAAAAATGTGCTAACCCACACCAAGGGGTGGAGAGGGGGTCATTACTTGAATAAATTTAACGTTTCCTTCACCAGGGATTTTTTTTTTTTGAAAAGATAAAATAGAAAAAAATCAGTCCTGTGTTTTTTAGAAGTTTAAAATGTGAAAGACAACACACAACAGATGCTGGACACACTTTTATCAGAAAAACTCGCTGGCTCAGTTAACCAATAAAGCAGAAAAAGGAGATCATCAGCTCTTGTTCAGAAATTTCTTGACATTTTCAGCACCAGCTTTGCCTATTATCACGGAGAGTTCCTACAAAAGAAAATGTAATCATTTATCAAGTAACAACTTTTTCACAGTTGAAATGGGTTCTCATTTTAAGCCAGAGGCTATGAAATTCACAATTTTGAAAGAGACATCTTTGCTCATCATAACTTTATGCCTAGCTTATTTAGTTAATATCCAAAAGCAGAGCAAAGGATTATCAAAGAATTAATGAATTTTCACTATCTAATCAGTAGAGCCCTCACCCCACAGGAACCCCTGATTCTCAGATGGTTTTTGCATATCATAACTACACATTTATTTTGTTTCTTAATACCAAAGAGCAAGGGAGAAGATATTCAAATCATTTAGCATTTTTGATATACTGTACATGTAAAATCATGTAAAACCTGACCCAGGGGCTACATATTTCATAATTCTGGACTAGAAACCATTGGTCATCATAAACATGTACTTAGTTTATTGTTTTATACAGAGGAGCACTTCCAAAGAATGAATGCATTTTCATTATGTATCAATACAATTCCATCCTAACACCAGAACACTGACCAGGGGCCATAAAATTTACAATTTCGAAGAGGCATCCTTCCTTGTCAGAATCATAAACTTCGTTCATCGACTTAATTCCCAGAAAAGAGATTTTTCAAAAAAATTAATGCATGTTTTACTTTGTAATCAACAGAACCCCACCCTAACCCCAGTACCTCTCACCCAATTTTGGTAGAGGGCTTAATGCTTATTACAATCGTGCCAACAGTTTGACTGCTTCATGTCCAGAAGTAAATAAGATTTTTAAGGATTGCATTAATTTGAATGGTTTTAGCCCCATCCCTCAAGCTCCAGAGTTTGTGGGCATATTTCAATAATTTTAACTCCCCTTCACCCATAGATGCTATATGGTTGAAAATGGTGCAGTGGATCCAGAGAAGAAGCTGAAAATGTATAAAATATTAAAACCTGATGGATGACACACAATGATTAATAAAAACACATAGCATATTGGTCAACTGAGTAAACCAAGGTATCCTAATTTAAGTTCAAATTATCTCAGTGCAAAAGGGATTGCTATCACTGTACATGCATTTTCATTATGTTAAAGTACAATATTTAAATAAGAGAGATAACTCTTTCATAAACGTTGTCTTTGGAATTTGTTGTAAATTTAAAATAAAATTTTCTCTCTCTCTTTACTGTGACTGATCTTCTAAAAGGTTAAAAAAGATATTTCAAAGTTCAAGTTAAAGTGGGGCAATTTGTTTACCGTTTATTAAATGAACTAAAATAAAAATAACAAGAGGCCCAGGGGGCCACATCGCTCACCTGAGCAATTGGATAGGAAAAAGCACATTTGAGATCAGAACTGAAAGTTTACTGAAAGGGTGGGGGGGGGGGGGGGGGGGGGGGGGGAGGGGGTTTGAATTTTAACCCCCAGGGGTCATGATTTGAACAAACTAGAATCTACACTACCTGAGGATGATTCCCTATAAATATCACTAAGCATGGCTTTGAAGTACTTGAAAAGAAGATTTTAAAAGGTTTCCCTATATATTCCTATGTAAAACTTTGATCGGCCATTAGGCCCCACCCTACCCCCAGGGGTCATGATTTGAACAAACTTGAATCTACACTACCTGAGGATGATTCCACAAGAGTTTCATCTTTCATATTGTCTCAATGGTTCCTGAGAGGAAGATTTGTCCAATATATTCCTATGTAAAACTTTGATCTGCCATTGTGGCCCCACCCTACACCCGGGGGTCATGATTTGAACAAACTTGAATCTACACTACCTAAGGATGATTCCACATGAGTTTCATCTTTCCTGGCCCTGTGGTTCTTGAGAAGAAGATTTTTAAAGATTTTTCCTATATATTCCTATGTAAAATACTGATCAGCCATTTTGGACCCAACCTTCCCCCGGGGGTCATGATTTGAACAAACTTGAATCTACACTACCTGAGGATGATTCCACATGAGTTTCATCTTTCCTGGCCCTGTGGTTCTTGAGAAGAATATTTTTAAAGATTTTTTCCTATATATTCCTATGTAAAATACTGATCGGCCATTTTGGCCCCAACCTTCCCCCGGGGGTCATGATTTGAACAAACTTGAATCTACACTACCTGAGGATGATTCCACATGAGTTTCATCTTTCCTGGCCCTGTGGTTCTTGAGAAGAAGATTTTTAAAGATTTTTCCTATATATTCCTATGTTAAATTTTTATCGGCCATTTTGGCTCCACCCTACCCCCGGGGGTCATGATTTGAACAAATTTGAATCTACACTACCTGAAGATGATTCCACATGAGTTTCATCTTTCCTGGCCCTGTGGTTCTTAAGAAGAAGATTTTTCCTATATATTCCTATGTTAAACTTTTATCGGCCATTTTGGCCCCACCCTACCCCCGGGGGTCATGATTTGAACAAACTTGAATCTACACTACCTGAGGATGATTCCACATGAGTTTCATCTTTCCTGGCCCAATGGTTCTTGAGTAGAAGATTTTTTAAAAATGCCATTAATTTTTCTCTAATTCATAATTATCTCCCCTTGGAAAAGGGCGTGGCCCTTCATTTGAACAAACTTGAATCCCCTTTACTCAAGGATACTTTGTAGCAAGTTTGGTTGAAATCGGCCCAGTGGTTCTTGAGAAGAAGATGAAAATGTGAAAAGTTTACGACAACAACGACAACAACAACGACGACAACGACAGACGACGGACAAATTTTGATCAGAAACGCTCACTTGAGCCTTCGGCTCAGGTGAGCTAACAAGAGGCCCAGGGGCCACAGCGCTCACCTGAGCACATCAGGCTTGAATTTACTCCACCCCCCCCCCCTCCAGGCGTTCATCATTTGAACAAACTAGAATCTACACTACCTGAGGATGATTCCATATAAATATCACTAATCATAGCTTTGAAGTACTTGAAAAGAAGATTTTAAAAGGTTTCCCTATGTATCCCTATGTAAAACTTGGGTCGGCCATTTTGGCCCCACCCTAGCCCCGGGGGTCATGATTTGAACAAATTTGAATCTACACTACCTGAGGATGATTCCACATGAGTTTCATCTTTCCTGGCCCAGTGGTTCTGGAGAAGAAGATTTTAAAAGATTTTTCCTATATATTCCTAAGTAAAACTTGGGTCGGCCATTTCGGCCCCACCTTTGCCCCGGGGGTCATTATTTGAACAAACTTGAATCTACACTACCTGAGGATGATTCCAAATGAGTTTCATCTTTCCTGGCCCAGTGGTTCTGGAGAAGATGATTTTTAAAGATTTTTCCTATATATTCCTATGTTAAACTTGGGTCGGCCATTTTGGCCCCACCCTACCCCCGGGGGTCATGATTTGAACAAACTTGAATCTACACTACCTGAGGATGATTCCACATGAGTTTCATCTTTCCTGGCCCAGTGGTTCTGGAGAAGAGGATTTTTAAAGATTTTTCCTATATATTCCTAAGTAAAACTTGGGTCGGCCATTTTGGCCCCACCTTTGCCCCGGGGGTCATTATTTGAACAAACTTGAATCTACACTACCTGAGGATGATTCCACATGAGTTTCATCTTTCCTGGCCCAGTGGTTCTGGAGAAGATGATTTTTAAAGATTTTTCCTATATATTCCTATGTTAAACTTGGGTCGGCCATTTTGGCCCCACCCTTGCCCCGGGGGTCATGATTTGGACAAACTTAAATCTACACTACCTGAGGATGATTCCACATGAGTTTCATCTTTCTTTGGCCAGTGGTTCTGGAGAAGAAGATTTTTAAAGATTTTTCCTATATATTCCTATGTAAAACTTGGGTCGGCCATTTTGGCCCCACCCTTACCCCGGGGGTCATGATTTGAATAAACTTGAATCTACACTACCTGAGGCTGATTCCACATGATTTTATCTTTCCTGGCCCAGTGGTACTGGAGAAGAAGATTTTTAAAGATTTTTCCTATATATTCCTATGTAAAACTTAGGTCGGCCATTTTGACCCCACCCTTGCCCCTGGGTTCACGATTTGAACAAACTTGAATCTACACTAACTGAGGATGCTTCCACATGAGTTTCATCTTTCCTGACCCAGCGGTTCTGGAGAAGAAGATTTTTTAAAAATGCCATTAATTTTTAACAAATTCATGATTATCTCCCCTTAGAAAAGGGCATGGCCCTTCATTTGAACAAACTTGAATCCCCTTCACCCAAGGATACTTTGTGCCAAGTTTGGTTGAAATTGGCCCAGTGGTTCTTGAGAAGAAGATGAAAATGCGAAAAGTTTACGACGACGACAACAACAACGACAACGACAGACGACGGACAAATTTTGATCAGAAAAGCTCACTTGAGCCTTCGGCTCAGGTGAGCTAAAAAGATGTTTACCTGATCTGAGGCACTGCATATGTTTTCAATACCTAGAAATAAAGAAGGATCAACTGAGCTAAATTCAAAGACTACACAATATGAAATAACATGCAGTTAAAGCATGCTCTATCAACACCTGCAAGGTTATGCAGGAAACTTTTACTTTGTTAAGTGCAACAACTTTATGTCACTCATGGGAATAAATGGTTCAGCTGCACACCTCACTAATGACACATGTATGTTGGTGAAAAATTTGAAGGTTATAGGCAATTAAATCAAATCAGAATTTATATTGTTATGCTTCTATAAAAAGAACTTTAATATGAGATTATTATAAACACTTACAGCTCTAATTATTTGACAATTTCTCCTCCGGTTCATATATATGTCTTATATATATAGATGCCCTTACTTTCTTTAACATTATAAATGTTATGTATGAACACGGTCTATCAAAAAATGACAGGTGCTAAATAGGCCATGTACCACAAGGCTCACCTGTGACATATTACACTCAATTGTACTGTACAGTGAGTGTTTCTACACATGTTCAATACTGAATATCAATGTACAAGATTTGAGGACATGCAACATCAGCACCAACTACTTCAAAATTCACATTTAAGTCTTGAAACATAATCTCTTACTTCCCAATCCCTCCAGCAGAGCCCGAGCTTTGACGCCCCCAAGGCCTGGAATACATTTGACAGTGGCCAGTAAGGCTTCATCTAAAGGATAGATCTTCCTCCTCAGAAATGGATTGGTATTTGTGTGGCTCTCACTGACCACCTAGAAAACAATGAAAGCTACCAATAAGGAACTCCTGACTGGCATACACATGCTTAAAATTATGCATGCTAGCTATTAAAAAAAATTTCCTCCATAAAAAAACATAAGTAATCAGAGATTACAGAGCTCACCTCAATGAATGTTGTCTTTAAGTAAGGCAAATTAAGTCACACAATTAACCAACAAAAAGTGTACATCCAAAAAAGCAAAATTTATGCAATTTTGATACTTTGGAATAGACCTATATAAAAACTTAAAACTAGTTCTTCATCATGAAAATGTAATTAAAATCCAGCATCTGAAGCAAGATTGAGAGTTTTTATCCCTTGATGCATCATTTGTGCAACTTTGGTTTATATAAGCCTTATAGTTTCTTGGTGATAGACCTGCACCCATAACTTTTACGAGGTCTATTATCTGGAAAATGTATGTCGAATTCAGCATCTGAAGCAAGTCCATTAGTGTGCATCCTAAGATGTATCATCCATGCAAGTTTGTTCAATGTAGAGCTCAAAGTTACTTGGAAATGAAACCTGTATAAAAAACTAACCTTTTCACTAATCCGGAAAATGTAGGTCAGATTCAGCTTCTGAAGCCAGCCTAGTAGAATGCACCCTTAGATGTACCATCCATGCAAGTTTGGTCATTATAGGGCTCCTAGTATCTTCGAAATGAAATCTGCACCAAAAACTTTAACCTGTTCACTCAACCGGAAAATGTAGGTCAGATTCAGCATCTGAAGCAAGTCTGGTAGTATGCATCCTAAGATGTACCATCCGTGTAAGTTTGGTCAACATAGGGCTTATAGTTACTTGGATATGAGACCTACACCAAAAACTGCACCAAAAATGTTAACCTGCACCAAAAACATTAACCTGGTCATTCCTTTGCTGAAATTGCAGCATCTGAAACTTTGACTGCTACAATGAAACACATTAGAAACATCTTCCATGCATGTCTAATCAATATAGGACATAGAAGTACTTAAAAAGAAAACTGCTCCAAAAAACTTAACCTTAACCCGGGACGCCGACGCCGAGGGTATCACATAAGCTCCCCCCAACTTCGTTGAGGTGAGCTAAAAAGAAAAGAAAAGAAAAACAATGTTATGTTGGTTTTAGTACAATGATAAGTCCATGTACCCTGTCACATGTGTTGAGTATCCTACTTGAATGAGCATTTTTTGGTCTTAAGAAATATCTTAACAATAATTTTACAACATGATTATTTTTTTTATCAATGCAACAGTCTATGGCATTGCTGATCTTGCAGGATATTTGAGGATTTTTTTTTTGGATATTGTGAAGTTAAAACATTGTTGTGGACCATCTCTACTCTGGAGCCAAATTTGAATAAACATAAATACACATGACGGTGCTTGCTATGGCTATAAGAATTTCAAGCAAAATTTCACAATTCTGTTACTCTTTGCTCTAGATTAGTTAATTGAACAGACTTGATCTACCCTTGCTTGTAGCCCTGCTGTTCTTGAAAAAGAAAGTTCTACAAACGAGGAAAGTATCTCTGGAAATACTGGTAAATTTTAAACATATCAAGCACTTTCACTAAGTCCAAGACCTCAAGAAATTTATACAGTTAAAAGATTCTTGTTTTTTGCATGAATTCAAACACCTGTGAGAAGATGCTAAGGGAAATTTCTAAATGAATATACCAGTCTTATCCCCTGATTGTCTTCTCTTGTGAAGAGGCTTGTACATTTATTTAAATAAATTATGTGAATCCCTTTTAAGTAAGGATGCTTTAAGGTGGGTTTGCTTAATTAAATTTGGTCATGAAGTTTTTAAATGAACATGATAAAGTTAATGTATCTTTCTACATTAAAAAAGTTATGGGGCCAAGTTTTACCAATGACAACAGAACACTAGGTAACCTAAATCCCTATTTACTAGGGATGTCAACGAATAGTCGACTATTCGACTGTCAGTCGAATGGACAGACGATCGAATAATGAAACAACATTCGAATATTAAATAAATGCAGGAAAAAAGGGGTGATAATGAAATTCTTATCTCAAAATTGAAAAAGGGTCCTTCCTCAAACTATAGAGCTGTATCGTATACTTCCTCAGAAGAATAAAAGCTCAAACACAGTCACAGTACATAAATAATTTTCCTCATTGTACATATGGAAAATACAGTAATTATATACCGCGATAATTATTTCTCAATCACTTACTTTTTTGTTATTGTACGTAGTAAATTATGCAACGCTATACTGGACTATGAAATTTATTTAATTGACTTGTACCAATCATATTTATAACTCTATGATTTCAATTTCAAATGCTTAGGAACATTTGCATTTATGGAACAAACAGTATTTAACAATTTCATCGGAGGTGTGGATAGTGGGTGTTTTCAATTCCCCATTTCCAATTTATTTCAATTTTCCAGTTTATCTTAAAAAGATTTCAAAAACACGCTGCTTTAAAAATTCTCCGAATAGTCGACCATCGTTCGAATAATGCAATCGAATGTTCGACTACGGAAAATTAATATTTTGACATCCCTACTATTTACTATTTTGTAGAAATTTGGACTAACCATTTGTGATAGTATTGAGGCTGCCTCTTTTTGAGTTGGTACTGGTATGACGGAGAAGCCTAGATCCATGAGACAGAACTTCTGGACCTCTGGGTAATACTGACCGCTGGTGGGGGTCTTCTCAGCAAGGACCACCGCCTGAACACGGTCAGCCTTAAATCATAATAGTATGTATCAGAGTAGCTTAGGGTCATCATCTTTATTTCATAGAAATAACAGAAGTTCTCAATACAAGTATTAATTCATCTTTGCAGGATGACAACTGGATTCTAAATATTCCAAAAACAAGTTATTCTTTTAATTACTGATGAAAAAAATCAAATTGTTGAATGTATCCAAAAGATGCAAATGAACTCCATGTATGTAAAATCTTGCCAATTTTTATACTACAAACTATAAATATTTCGACCTAATAATTTCCAGGCTTTAATAATTTCTTGACCTTAAGAAATTCCAATGAACTAATATGTTACTCAAAAGCACCGTTATTTTTTAAAGCAGGATATACTGAGTCATTTAAACATGGACTATTACTTGTTCATAGAGTCTCTAAAAGGGGTGATTAGAGACCTTAGGATTCTTGCTGTTTTGCATGTGATTTCTAACCTTTCTTAGCTTAGCTAACTTCTTCTTTTGGCCTGAGAATGCCACTAAGTCCGGTTCTGTGAGGTAGACCACACCAAGTCTACTGGAGGGAAAAAAGTCTACAACTCCAAGATCATCCTCAAACAGGACCTGTACATTACCTACAAAATCATATCATTCAGTCAATATAGTACCAATTAAAAGATTTTTAGTCCATACCAATGCTTAAAAGGGTAGGTAAGTAAAGCTACATGGGTAATTCTAGCTATGTAGCAAAATCTAGTGATTGTACTGGATCTGATGTATATTTATATGAAGTTTTCATTCAAATACATAAATCTTGAACCCTGGAGTTTTCATGGTTAACTACCCCCACCCCACCTACACACCCCGCCCCTCTAAGAGAAAACAGAAATCTCTCAAAATGGCATGAAGAATCATAATATTGTGGTCTGACTTCAGAGAAATTCTGCATTTCGTGTGAAAGTTGATTTATTTTCTTACTCTGTAAACTGTAATGCAGTTCTGAATTCCTCCATTTCTGAGAAGCAATTATGTGACCAATAGGTACATTTATGTTACGAGTTTTTTCCACAAGAGAGGAAAGATCTAAGTCGTTATCCATCACTCCCTTTTCATTGCCATAAAACTACTCTGCATACCATCCACAGCAACACAATCATAACATCTAATTTTCCATTTTCCCGCAAAATGGGGTTTTAATAAAGTGAACAACGAACCCAAAATCAATGAAAAACAAAACGTTGACATGTGAACGACAAATTTGTTTATTCTACCGAAGTTAAGTATTATGTAGATATCTTATGAATATCTGTTCTATAAAATAGATAGAATGAAAAACAATTCTATTTGAAGAAACTAAATTTTAAAAGTCGGGATCGGAATTTGAATAGATGGGCGGAGCTGAAGTTTATCGTTTTTGGTAAAAAAGATGATCTGATATTTTGCATAGAAAGATATAATAATGACATCAGTGAAACTTGAGGGAAGACTAATTACTCCGGCAGTTGTCCAAGGTTTAACTGATGTATTTTCTTCGACGAATTTTACTCTTCTGAAAAACAGGTACAAAGCAGAAGATCATATCCTACTTTCAATTTCGATCTGTCGCATCCTTTCGTTTTTCCTGGCAAGTGACTTGTACATAAAAGAAAGTCAGAAAGATGTAAATTTGATTGAAGAAGTATTTTTTATTTACAGATGGATATCAGATGATGAAGTGTCTGCTTGTCAGTGGTGTAAAAACAAGTTTAATCAGCTGAGAAGGAAGCACCACTGCCGCCAATGTGGAAATGTTTTTTGCAGCAAGTGCTGTAATGAAAAGGTAAACATGGCCTTTATTACACAGTGTAAATTAACAATTTTTGTTCAGATCATAACTCCAAGGGATAGGATGGGGTCACAATGGGCAAGCAAAGTTTTACACTGGTATACAGAGGAAACATTTCCCACAATTTTTTTGTGAGCAGTATACAAGCTTTGAAATGTTTTGTTACATGCTTCTTTGACAAAAGACAGTTTTATAAATGTACATGCAGCAATGTGATGAATTAAGTTTTAAGATAGTTATTTATAATTTTTGAGAATGCTTTCTGTACTCAAATCATGAATGATAGCTCACTGCGAGCTCTTAAAGCAAGACTTTGCACATTGATCAAAAAAAAAAAAATTTTTTTCGCAGTTACTCTGGACCCACAATGCATCGCTTGTTAAAGCTATGTCTTGTGAGAATAATGGGAAAAGTTCAACAAAATGTTAACTCGCTAGATTTTTTTAATGGATATATTTTGGAGATAAATAGTATATGAAATGTTCTTCGTTGACTTTCAGGGCTGTTCAGGATTCTTTTTGGTAAATGCAACTTACATATGATACTGTACAGCAGGAAATTAACTCGCGGAGTTAATATTCGCTATATTCGCGGAAAAAGAAATTCCGCGAATTCAACATACAGTGAATAGTTCTTGAAAAGGTTCATAAGGATAAACTGAAATTTTATTATCATCTGTAAATTAGATGTAGACTACCATTATAATTATGAGAGTGTATACAAACACGTAGTTGTTGGTGTTTTGTAAAGCTTATTTATTGCTAAATTAATTTCTATACGATGACGGTAGTTTTGCCATCTAGTAGACGTGCAATGTAATTATTTAATTAAACAAGCTTGTATAATTTCACCCATGCCTATCAATCAGTCATTACCTTTAATCAAGGCACTTTCGAAGTAAACAGGGTAAAGACAATTAATTAATTTCAATTATATGATTAAAAGTTCAACAATTTGACTACTATATATTTTTTTTTTATTTGGACTTGGAAATAAAAAATATTCTGAATGCGTAACATTATTTTGCCTTCAAATCTGGATCAGTCCGGTGTTTCATTATTATTTAATCAGGCTCAAAATTGACACAATATATAGACTTTCCTTTCCTGTCTGATATACTCTATATACATGAACAGACTTTCGTAAGATAATACTAAGATATAGACTGAAAATAACAGTTCACACAATATATACGTAAAGAAAAATGCTGGCAAGTACTATTAAAAAATGTATGATTTTTGCCTTTCCGCGAATTCAAACGACCTCGATTTGCTGAAAATTGAACAAATCGCGATCTTTTCCGACCGCGATTTTAACCTGCTATACAGTATCATGTGACATCAGAGTCTAGATGCACCAAATTTCATGTGCGGTTTGATAAGCCTGATCTAAATTAATCTGTGCTCGCCTTAACAGTTGCAATGTCAACATATTATTGATGAATATATACAAATGCTGTCTTTACAGATTCCCTTACCACAGCTTGGTTTGGAGGATCCAGAGAGAGTGTGCGAGTCTTGTCGTCCTGTGACAGAATTCATCACAAAATCACTCTCACCTCTACAGGTAACTGTTACCTTAATTACTTTCTACATACCTGGTCACATGTAACAGAGGTCATCACAAAATCACTCTCATTTCTACAGGTAACTCACCTTAAACACATTCCACACACCTGGTCACATGTGACAGAGTTCATCACAAAGTCACTCTCACCTGTAGAGGTAACTGTCTCCTTAAACACATTCCAAACACCTGGTCACATGTTACAGAGTTCATCACAAAGTCACTCTCACCTGTAGAGGTAACTGTCACCTTAAACACATTCCATACACCTGGTCACATGTGACAGAGTTCATCACAAAGTCACTCTCACCTCTACAGGTAACTGTCACATTAAACACATTCCACACACCTGGTCACATATGACAGAGTTCATCACAAAGTCACTCTCACCTGTAGAAGTAACTGTCTCCTTAAACACATTCCACACACCTGGTCACATGTGACAGAGTTCATCACAAAGTCATTCTCACCTGTACCAGGGTTCGACACTTACAGTAGCCCGCTGGCACGGGACAACTGAATATTGAGGTCGGGCTACTAAACATGCCTTTAAACTTACCCTGCAGGACTACTGTAAATTTTACCAAACACTCAATCAGAGTAACAAAAATATTTATAATTTACGCACAATGTAACTGATCATTGTTCAATTTAATTTCAAACATATGTTTTATCGTCATACTTCATAGAGTAACAATTTTTATCCAAAATACAGCCAGAATGCAGGAATTGGCATCTCTATTTTAAAAATTTCCCGGGGGAGGCCCCCCGTATCCTCACTAGCAGGAGGGGGAAACCCCCTCCCACACCTATCCCCCTCGTCGCTTCGCGACTCGGCCACCAGCCTTTGGCTGCTGGACAACTAATACATGAACAGGGCTAGTGGAAATTATTAATGGCTACCACTGTTGACAACTATGGTTTTAAAGTTCGTGTCGATCCCTGTGTACAGGTAACTGTCTCCTTAAACACATTCCACACACCTGGTCACATGTGACAGAGTTCATAACAAAGTCACTCTCACCTGTAGAGGTAACTGTCACCTTAAACACATTCCATACACCTGGTCACATGTGACAGAGTTCATCACAAAGTCACTCTCACCTCTACAGGTAACTGTCACATTAAACACATTCCACACACCTGGTCACATATGACAGTGTTCATTTGAAAAGTCACTCTCATCTCTACAGGTAACTGTCACATTAAACACATTTCACACACCTGGTCACATGTGACAGAGTTCATCACAAAGTCACTCTCACCTGTAGAGGTAACTGTCACCTTAAACACATTCCACACACCTGGTCACATGTAACAGAGTTCATCACAAAATCAATCTCACCTCTACAGGTAACTGTTACCTTGAACACATTCCACACACCTGGTCACATGTGACAGAGTTTATTACAAAGTCTCTCTCACCTCTACAGGTAACTATCACCTTAAACACATTCCACACACCTGGTCACATGTGTCAGAGTTCATCACAAAGTCACTCTTATTTCTACAGGTAACTGTCACCATAAACACATTCCACACTCCTGGTCACATGTGACAGTGTTCATCACAAAGTCACTCTCACCTGTAGAGGTAACTGTCTCCTTAAACACATTCCAAACACCTGGTCACATGTAACAGAGGTCATCACAAAAGTCACTCTCACCTCTACAGGTAACTGTTACCTTGAACACATTCCACACACCTGGTCACATGTGACAGAGTTTATTACAAAATCAATCTCTCATTTAAAGGTAACTGTTACCTTAAACACATTCCACACACCTAGTCACATACGCAAGTAAGTTAAGGCTAAACATGGACATTTTTATGCAAATGAGCAATTAAAAATTCATAAGTTGTATAATTTATGTACAGAGACAGTTCAAATTGATTTTCTTAAACATACTTAGTACCCACAGCATATTTATACTAGTACACATTATGACGTCATATTATGACGTCATTATTCTCTCCCATTCAAGGTAATAAAATACATCAACAAAACCACGTCGGCGCAAGGGCATATCCTATCTAATTTAAAATAATTAGTGTATAATATTAAGGAGAATATTCTTGAAACTAATAAAATTGCTGCACAAATCCTATGCGCTTTCTAAATCAATTAAAATTTTATAAAACTTACTCTGGACTGTGAATTTTTACCCTATATAAACTTAAAACTGCACGAATAGTAACTAAAAAATTGCAGTCCCAACATTTGTGCAGCAATATCTTAAATCCTTGGAATATCCTGCGTCTTTTTATACCTTGTTTCTGTAAAACAAAGTAAGGTATGCCCTTGCGCCGAAGCGATTTTGTTGATGTTTCTTATAAACGTGTGTAGTAGAGGTCGATGACGTCATAATATGACGTAATAATGTGTACTGGCTATCGCATGTCTTGGGTACCAAGAATGTATTAGAAAACAAGTCTTAACATTTTCTGTGCGGTAGGTAGAGCAATTATCGAATTTAATTAGATATTTTGCATAGAAACCTCTATATGTAGCCTTAACTCACTTGCGTATAACAGAGTTCATCACAAAATCAATCTCTCATTTAAAGGTAACTGTTACCTTAAACATATTCCACACACCTGGTCACATGTGACAGTTTTCATCACAAAATCAATCTCACCTCTACAGGCTACTGTCACCTTAAACACATTCCACACACCTGGTCACATGTAACAGAGTTTATTACAAAGTCTCTCTCACCTCTACAGGTAACTATCACCTTAAACACATTCCACACACCTGGTCACATGTGTCAGAGTTCATCACAAAGTCACTCTTATTTCTACAGGTAACTGTCACCATAAACACATTCCACACTCCTGGTCACATGTGACAGTGTTCATCACAAAGTCACTCTCACCTGTAGAGGTAACTGTCTCCTTAAACACATTCCAAACACCTGGTCACATGTAACAGAGGTCATCACAAAATCAATCTCACCTCTACAGGTAACTGTTACCTTGAACACATTCCACACACCTGGTCACATGTGACAGAGTTTATTACAAAATCAATCTCTCATTTAAAGGTAACTGTTACCTTAAACACATTCCACACACCTAGTCACATACGCAAGTAAGTTAAGGCTAAACATGGACATTTTTATGCAAATGAGCAATTAAAAATTCATAAGTTGTATAATTTATGTACAGAGACAGTTCAAATTGATTTTCTTAAACATACTTAGTACCCACAGCATATTTATACTAGTACACATTATGACGTCATATTATGACGTCATTATTCTCTCCCATTCAAGGTAATAAAATACATCAACAAAACCACGTCGGCGCAAGGGCATATCCTATCTAATTTAAAATAATTAGTGTATAATATTAAGGAGAATATTCTTGAAACTAATAAAATTGCTGCACAAATCCTATGCGCTTTCTAAATCAATTAAAATTTTATAAAACTTACTCTGGACTGTGAATTTTTACCCTATATAAACTTAAAACTGCACGAATAGTAACTAAAAAATTGCAGTCCCAACATTTGTGCAGCAATATCTTAAATCCTTGGAATATCCTGCGTCTTTTTATACCTTGTTTCTGTAAAACAAAGTAAGGTATGCCCTTGCGCCGAAGCGATTTTGTTGATGTTTCTTATAAACGTGTGTAGTAGAGGTCGATGACGTCATAATATGACGTAATAATGTGTACTGGCTATCGCATGTCTTGGGTACCAAGAATGTATTAGAAAACAAGTCTTAACATTTTCTGTGCGGTAGGTAGAGCAATTATGGAATTTAATTAGATATTTTGCATAGAAACCTCCATATGTAGCCTTAACTCACTTGCGTATAACAGAGTTCATCACAAAATCAATCTCTCATTTAAAGGTAACTGTTACCTTAAACACATTCCACACACCTGGTCACATGTGACAGTGTTCATGAGAAAAGTCACTCTCACCTCTACAGGTAACTGTCACCTTAAACACATTCCACACACCTGGTCACATGTAACAGAGTTTATTACAAAGTCTCTCTCACCTCTACAGGTAACTATCACCTTAAACACATTCCACACACCTGGTCACATGTGTCAGAGTTCATCACAAAGTCACTCTTATTTCTACAGGTAACTGTCACCATAAACACATTCCACACTCCTGGTCACATGTGACAGTGTTCATCACAAAGTCACTCTCACCTGTAGAGGTAACTGTCTCCTTAAACACATTCCAAACACCTGGTCACATGTAACAGAGGTCATCACAAAATCAATCTCACCTCTACAGGTAACTGTTACCTTGAACACATTCCACACACCTGGTCACATGTGACAGAGTTTATTACAAAATCAATCTCTCATTTAAAGGTAACTGTTACCTTAAACACATTCCACACACCTAGTCACATACGCAAGTAAGTTAAGGCTAAACATGGACATTTTTATGCAAATGAGCAATTAAAAATTCATAAGTTGTATAATTTATGTACAGAGACAGTTCAAATTGATTTTCTTAAACATACTTAGTACCCACAGCATATTTATACTAGTACACATTATGACGTCATATTATGACGTCATTATTCTCTCCCATTCAAGGTAATAAAATACATCAACAAAACCACGTCGGCGCAAGGGCATATCCTATCTAATTTAAAATAATTAGTGTATAATATTAAGGAGAATATTCTTGAAACTAATAAAATTGCTGCACAAATCCTATGCGCTTTCTAAATCAATTAAAATTTTATAAAACTTACTCTGGACTGTGAATTTTTACCCTATATAAACTTAAAACTGCACGAATAGTAACTAAAAAATTGCAGTCCCAACATTTGTGCAGCAATATCTTAAATCCTTGGAATATCCTGCATCTTTTTATACCTTGTTTCTGTAAAACAAAGTAAGGTATGCCCTTGCGCCGAAGCGATTTTGTTGATGTTTCTTATAAACGTGTGTAGTAGAGGTCGATGACGTCATAATATGACGTAATAATGTGTACTGGCTATCGCATGTCTTGGGTACCAAGAATGTATTAGAAAACAAGTCTTAACATTTTCTGTGCGGTAGGTAGAGCAATTATCGAATTTAATTAGATATTTTGCATAGAAACCTCTATATGTAGCCTTAACTCACTTGCGTATAACAGAGTTCATCACAAAATCAATCTCTCATTTAAAGGTAACTGTTACCTTAAACACATTCCACACACCTGGTCACATGTGACAGTGTTCATGAGAAAAGTCACTCTCACCTCTACAGGTAACTGTCACCTTAAACACATTCCACACACCTGTTCACATGTGACAGAGTTCATCACAAAGTCACTCTCACCTGTAGAGGTAACTGTCACCTTAAACACATTCCATACACCTGGTCACATGTGACAGAGTTCATCACAAAGTCACTCTCACCTCTACAGGTAACTGTCACCTTAAATACATTCCACACACCTGTTCACATATGACAGAGTTCATCACATAATCAATCTCTCATTTAAAGGTAACTGTTACCTTAAACATATTCTACACACCTGGTCACATGTGACAGTGTTCAGCACAAAATCAATCTCTCATTTAAAGGTAACTGTTACCTTAAACACATTCCACACACCTGGTCACATATGACAGTGTTCATTTGAAAAGTCACTCTCACCTCTACAGGTAACTGTCACCTTAAACACATTTCACACACCTGGACACATGTGACAGAGTTCATCACAAAATCAATCTCTCGTTTAAAGGTAACTGTTACCATAAACACATTCCACACACCTGGTCACATGTGACAGAGTTCATCACAAAATCACTCTCACCTCTACTGGTCTACAGGTAACTGTCACATTAAACACATTCCACACACCTGGTCACATGAGACAGAGTTCATCACAAAGTCACTCTCACCTCTACTGGTAACTGTCACCTTAAACACATTCCACACACCTGGTCACATGTGACAGAGTTCATCACAAAGTCACTCTCACCTGTAGAGGTAACTGTCACCTTAAACACATTCCATACACCTGGTCACATGTGACAGAGTTCATCACAAAGTCACTCTCACCTGTAGAGGTAACTGTCACCTTAAACACATTCCAAACACCTGGTCACATGTGACAGAGTTCATCACAAAGTCACTCTCACCTCTACTGGTAACTGTCACCTTAAACACATTCCACACACCTGGTCACATGTGACAGAGTTCATCACAAAATCAATCTCACCTCTACTGGTCTACAGGTAACTGTCACCTTAAACACATTCCACACACCTGGTCACATGTGACAGTGTTCATTTGAAAAGTCACTCTCACCTCTACAGGTAACTAGCACCTTAAACACATTCCACACACCTGGTCACATGTGACACACAGTCACTTTCATTTCTTAATTCTGAATAATTAAAAATTACATTAATTAAATGTAGAGCTTCAGGTACCACTATTATTTACGTGCACAAAATATTTGTAGAATTTTAAATCAGAAGCTGCCAATAACCTTGTCAGTCAGTGTGGAGAAATCACAGGCCTCTGTAAGGTAGGACTTAGATTTATCTTTTCTTTCATTATATCCAGACATACATAATCCTAAACAATTAAGATGTTATGCAATGTCAAGTATTATTTTAAAGATTGACAAAGTTTTTGAATTCATGTACTTCAGGTTGTTGAACTTGGTGGTGTTCAGGCATTAATAATGTTAGCAAAGAATGATCACCCTGTTATACAGGTATGTCAGCAATATTTAATATTTAATTACTTAATGTAACAAATTATACATAATTCTTGATCATTTTTATTTCTGTCAACATGTATGTTTCTTAATTAACACTAGTTTAAATTTTATCTTTTTTATTTTGCATATATTGTCCTCTAACTGGACTTTCTAGAGTTGTTGCCTTTTAGTCTTCAGCGGGCTAGGTTATAAATGACCTTGAGATACTGGCCTTTTTTCAGTAGGTTAGGCTATCATTGCCCTTAATTTGCTGGCCTTTATATTTCAGTAGTCTAAGGTTGATGTTGACCATTATCTCCCTGTAGAGTAAGAATGGACTTTTTTACTGTAGAGTAAGGTTGGACTTTATTATACCCCCCGCTTGAAAAGCGGGAGGGTATATAGTATTCCGTCCGTAGGGTAAGGCTTTGGGGTACCCATCTCTTATCCGCAACTCCTCTCATACCACTGAATGAAATTTGATGAAACTTTCACAGAATCTTTATTACATACATGTATTGCCATTGTGCACCTCCTATTTTACTTTTTGATCCGACACATATTTTGGGTTTCACGGCCACAGCAAAACATGGACTTTGCCATTATAGCTATGTGGAGGCCGGGGGTATCATTTAGTGAGCTCATCGCTCACAGTACCTCTAGTTTTTTATTTTTCTGTAGGGTAAGGTTGGAGTTTATTTTTCTGTAGAGTAAGGTTGGACTTTATTTTTCTGTAGGATAAGGTTGGAGTTTATTTTTGTATAGGGTAAGGTTATCCCCGACTTTTATTTTTCTGTAGGGTAAGATTGATCCTGGACTTTATTTTTGTGTAGGGTAAGGTTGGACTTTATTTTTCTGTAGGATAAGGTTGGAGTTTATTTTTGTATAGGGTAAGGTTATCCCCGACTTTTATTTTTCTGTAGGGTAAGATTGATCCTGGACTTTATTTTTCTGTAGGGTAAGGTTGAACTTTATTTTTGTGTAGAGTAAAGTTGGACTTTATTTTTCTGTAGGGTAAGGTCATTGCTGGTCTTCAGATCCTGTCCACTCATCAACCCCTACACAGATACCTGGCAGATGCTGGGGCCATCAAAGCAATCTGTAGGTAGGAACGTTTAGCAGACCTATTGAACAATTATTACCCGGAATTCTTTTAAAATTTTGTACAGTCAAGGTCTTCCGAAGATAAAGTTTTAAACAGTCAATATATGATGTATTTACTTTAGCATTTTGAACTCTTTAATCAGTAGATGTAATGGGAATAGAATGATATTCTGTGTTTCAGTGATTTTGTGCTGTAAATTTACTAAATTATGGTGTTATTGCAGCATATTGTCAAAGACGGCGTTGACCTGTGAACAGACCCTAGTGGAGGGGATCAGTACGCTGAAAATCTTCTGTAGACTCCCTGATCTGAAGAGTAAAGGTATCGCAGATTCTTCACTAAGTAAATGTTAAGACTTCACAAGGTACTGAGTTAAAATTCAATAGAAAATAATGCTGAAAGTACAACTTTTGAAAGTTAAAAAATGTACAATTTTTGTTCCTTTAATGCTTGCTTTTGCTTTTTGTCAGATGAAAATTAACAGAAATAAGGTTAGCCATCTTTCCTTTGATTTTCATTTCTCTTTTGACAGCCCTGGAGGATGGGGCCTTGGAGCCTGTTCTTCGACTGAGCTGTACGTCTGACTGTAATGCCGTGTCACTCGTAGCCGTGAGCACACTCAGTTTGATTGCGGAGGACACGAGTACACACAATAAAATCCTAGAGAGTCCACTGAACGTCTTAACTTCTGTATGCTCACTGGCTGGCTCAGAAGATGAACAGGTATAACATGGCACATAATTCTACCATTTTGAATCCATTAAACGTCACACTTTTCTTAACAAATGAAAGTGGCTTCTTATCATCAATCAAATTGAATCAATTAAATTCGAACTGTTATATTCCTTAATAGTATGCATGGGTCTTTAGAGATCTCAACAAATTATTTTAGAAATTTGTTACATTTACACCCCATATATTTCCAGTGAATCCAGTATAACATGCTGATCCACCCAGAAGGTGAACAGAATTGTTGTGATTGGCAAAAATATTTGCTTCTAATTTTTCTCAATTTCATCTTTTAGTTTGAGTTACATTCTTGTTTTTTATGGGTTTTATCACTAGTCTAGTAATACCATTTAACAATTTCTTTAGCAACCAGCGAAATAAAGGGCCTCATTCTTAAAGTAAAAAAAATTCCAACCCAGAAATTTCTTGACAAGCAAAAAAAGAGTAAAATCCTTTCCAAAATGTTTAAAAGCTATTTCGATGATGGAGGATGTTAGTCATTGACTTTTCAAGTTTCATACACCTAGGACTTTTCATACCAACTTAACACAGATTTGGATTTTCAAGAAACGGTCTACATTTTCTACGTGGGGTCAAAAGTCATTTTTAGTTGGTTTAGTGTATTAATTTAATAACTCTGCAAATTCCAGGGAGAGGGGGTCTAGACCCCCTTGATCACCCCTCTAGATCCTTTTTTTCTATAAATTTTAACAAATTCAATTTTTATGATCCAAGTCTATTTTAAAAATAACAAATTAAGGTGGTTGCTAAATTGAAATTATACGGTAATTCAGTAAAAGTTACTGGCTTTTGAAGTGATTTAATTTTTGGCTTGATTTAATATTGCAGAGTGTCATTTTCTGTCTTTTTCCTATGCTGCAACTATTGGATTTAATATTCTATGGGTTTTTTGGTTCCAGATCACTTATCTTTATTTTGATTTTCTAATATTTATATGCATGTTTTAATTAAATAATGCTGATACATACATGTAATAATGATAAACTGGATTTTAGTTTAGTTGTTGTTTACTTTCGAAAAAAATATGAAAATAACAACCTATTTAACTTTTACAATTAGTGATCAAATATTCAAAGATTCTTAACCAGTTATTTCTTAACTAGAAATATAATTTTAAGTTTTATAAATGTATATCAACAGATGCAGGAGGTGGCATTAAAAACCATTTGTTTCCTTTCTTTGGGTTCAAACTGGCAGAAACATAGGATTGTTCAGGTAAACACAAAAAAAAAATCAAAAAATTTAGAGAGGTAAATTAAATGCTATTTTGTGGTAAAGTTGGTTTTTAGCATCTGTGTGCTGTAATTTGATCATAGGAGGACTTCACTGCTGGTCGTTCCATACAGAAAGCCATCAGGGGGAATCCCAAAAACAAGCAAGTGCTTTGTAATGCTGCCTGTCTCATAGCTAACCTGGCTACAAGTAGTGAAGACCAGGTAATCTTCTCCTTACTCTGTAATGCTGCCTGTCTCATAGCTAACCTGGCTACAAGTAGTGAAGACCAGGTAATCTTCTCCTTACTCTGTAATGCTGCCTGTCTCATAGCTAACCTGACTACAAGTAGTGATGACCAGGTAATCTTCTCCCTACTCTGTAATACTGCCTGTCTCATAGCTAACCTGACTACAAGTAGTGATGACCAGGTAATCTTCTCCCTACTCTGTAATACTGCCTGTCTCATAGCTAACCTGACTACAAGTAGTGATGACCAGGTAATCTTCTCCCTACTCTGTAATACTGCCTGTCTCATAGCTAACCTGACTACAAGTAGTGATGACCAGGTAATCTTCTCCCTACTCTGTAATACTGCCTGTCTCATAGCTAACCTGGCTACAAGTAGTGATGACCAGGTAATCTTCTCCCTACTCTGTAATACTGCCTGTCTCATAGCTAACCTGACTACAAGTAGTGATGACCAGGTAATCTTCTCCCTACTCTGTAATACTGCCTGTCTCATAGCTAACCTGGCTACAAGTAGTGATGACCAGGTAATCTTCTCCCTACTCTGTAATACTGCCTGTCTCATAGCTAACCTGACTACAAGTAGTGATGACCAGGTAATCTTCTCCCTACTCTGTAATACTGCCTGTCTCATAGCTAACCTGACTACAAGTAGTGATGACCAGGTAATCTTCTCCCTACTCTGTAATACTGCCTGTCTCATAGCTAACCTGGCTACAAGTAGTGAAGTCCAGGTAATATTCCCCTAACTCTATGGAGTATCTTAGCTAGCCAAGGGTTTCTGATATCCTGTTCTCCTCATTAACATTGGGTTTATGAGGAGAGAACAAGAAGCGTATCAGAAACCCTTGGCTAGGGAAGAAGTCTATGAAGCTAAATAACAAAATCTGAGTACATCCCTTCAGTATTGCTTCCCTTTGATTGATGCACTCAAATGAATGTTGTCTTGGTCTTTCAAAATTCTCTAAAAATCCATTCTTTTAGGGAGGTTTACAAGATTTATTAGATGGCCTGGGAGAGCTGCTAAAAAGAGATGACACCAACCCAGACTTACAGAGTCACACCGCCAGGGGACTGGCAAACTTCGCCAGGTTTCAGCAAAATGCCAGCAAGATTGTAAGATTCTTTCAACACTATGCCTTAGATGAAAAATTGTTAGATAAAAAATATACCTAGATTAGCCTTATCTTTCAGAAAAACATGTTACCAGTGATAATATTCAAATGTTTGAAGTCCCCTAACAGTCATGTCAAGATGCATGCAATGAGAGCCATCTTTAATGTGATGTCTATCAACCCGTCAGACACTTGCAGTGAACTTCTCAGGTACGTACCTCAGAACTGTTCAAATGTTCCTCAAAGTTTTCACTTCCCTGGTTTAATTTCTTCTTTAACTTCTAAAGCTTTTACGCAAATGGTTCTTTTCTGATATGGATGACTTATTTAATTTATTTTCTTATATTTCTTGCTTCTGAACTTGTCAATACAAGCACATCATCTTGGGCTTTGGCAGAGTTCGGAAAACATGTTTTTCTGCATGTTTCAAAGGTCTAAGAAGTTGTCATTGTTTATCACTATAATGTATTTATAAAGTTTGTCTACTGATATAAAAAGAGAGTGTGTATAAATAGGAGGTGCTTATAAAAAGATACGGTGATTTTTTCACCCAAACCGGCTGAAAGCTTATTTTTGATTATTTATATTTAAAAAAAGGTTTAAAAACAAGAGTTTTCTTTTTTTTCCCTATAAAACCATTATTGGAAACCCATGGTCTGACCAACCAGATGCTATAAAACATGAGACAAAATTACTTACCACAATTTACAATCATTAATTGATCTAACAAATACTAGTACTTGACAGTAATCTCAAATGGAAAAAAATGCAGTTTTACCCTTCGAGACATTTTCGCCATTATTGAATTTTTGGTGCATTTAGCAACACTGCCCTGTGCATGATATAGCTGGTTTACACCTTTGCTCTTGATTATGTGAAGGTGTACACATTGTGTCTAGTGTAGAAAAATCAAGGGCACCCCTTGCAGGCACGTAGCAACAGAGCCCTCCCCCCCAACACACACACACACTTTTTTTAATTTAACTTTTTGCTGTTGGAAATGTTCACTGAAAGTCTGGTTCCATATTTCTGTTTAAAAGTAGTCAAAAACGTGTTTTTATAGTAGTGTTTGAATAAAGTTTGGTACTGAAAGAAGTTGGAACCTACCCCCCCCCCCCCGTTGTTTTTTTTTTTTTTTTTTTTTTTGCAAGTAAGTTCCCCCCCTCCTTTTTTCTCTAAAATGATGCTATATCCCTGCTTTGTTTCCGTTTTGTAATATTTTCTCTTTTTTAGGAGGGAAGGGGTTTGTTCAACTTGCAAGTCTGTCTTCGGTTCGAATCGATGATATCTCGCATACAAGTAGAACCGATGTTTTTTTTTTTTCTTGTCTGATTTGGTAAAATTATATGACAGTAAGCAAGGTGACATCATTTTTTTAAATATGAAGGATGGACTCACGCAAACTTGCCGTAAATTCCGCACGGTTTACGGGAACTTTGTAAAATGCGTATATCACCCATAATCTTTCCGTAAAATTTGCACAAGCCTTCCACAATCTCACTTTTATGGATGCTTAGTAAATAAATCCTTATATATTTACTGACTTAATAGTAAATAAATCCTTATATATTTACTGACTTCTTAGTTGTTTTTTTTTTAAACAATAAACTGTTATTGGATTTATTTCGGCTGGATATTTTGACTGACACGGAATCTCAGCATAAATAAGTAATAGGTATTTGTCTCAAACCTTAATCTCAAAAATTGAAAAAATATGTTTGTTTCAGAGACGGGGCTGGTGAGTTGTTGGAGGGACTGTCCAGACTGAAGGGGCTGACCAGTGCTATACAGGACGCTCTGCTGGCCCAGGCCCCGGACCTCGTCAGACCGTTATAACCAAACCAAGCGGGCACTTGGATATGGGGTGTGTTGGAAGTGTGATAACACCAAGAGTTCGTTCATTTGGTGCATAGACGTCATATTCTTGCATTTTACTGAGGACATGTTTTTTCGTGATTTATTTGGATGATAATGTTTTAGAAAACAGATGTTTGACTTCTTTAGCATATATGTACTATTTGAAAAAATAGTTCATGGACATTTTGAATTTATCATAATATAGTTAATGCATTGAAATGCATTTTGTTGTGTTTTACGTGATAAAGAAGTAAATTAAAAAAAAAAAAAGTATGTGTGCAACATTATGATGAAACAGGTCGAGGGAGTTAATTAAAACAGGATCTGGTTCATTAAGTAATTGTCCCTTTGATATAAAGACTAATACTGCAATATTTTGAAGTTTTATTGACTCTTTTATTTACAATGTTAACTGTGAGTCGGAGCTGACCTGGGAGTCCACATCCCAGTCCGACAGCTGGACGTCCTGCATTAGTTCATCGTCGACATACGCCGCCACCTCGGGGTCGTGGAACAAAGAAAATTCTGGGTTATGGTTCTTAAGTCTCTGTGTCAGATTTTCTATCAGTTTATTTCTACGAAACAGTGTCATCTCCAGCTTCATTATTCTGGTTTCAAATATCATTTGTTCTGGGGATTTTCCTGACGCGGTAATGATGCCAGAGTCCAATTTACTTGTATCAGGAAGTGCCGCCATTAATTTGGGCGTGCGTGTTCGAGGAGATTGTGCAGAAACTTGGGCGACAAGCTCGTCACGCTCTTCTTTCATCTGATGGAAGCGCATCCATGCCGAGCGCAGTCTGTTTTGGTTAGCTTCGTTTTGTTTGACCAGTAGTGCCTGTAACTGTCGTTTTTCTCTGATAAGTACCTCATATTCGGATTCACACAAGGCTTTACCATCGTCCACCATCGCTAGCTGCGACTTAAGGCTGTTGGTCGTGTCTTTCAGGACTTTCAGCTCTCCCTGAAGATTCGCTTTCTCTTCCTTGTGTTTATCAATGATTTCTGTCAAGTCTTTTACTCTTTTATTCAGCATCTCTAACATGTCTGTTGTAAACGAATGTTTTGTGGTAAGTGCCCTGTAATTACTTAAAGCCACAACCAACTCCTTTTCTGATTCTCGATTGGCTGCATCAAGTCGCTTGTTCTCTTGCTTCAGATCGTCATTTTCAGCTTTTAGACCTTCGCCTTTCTCTTTGATAAGGTCAGAAAGTTGACGTTCTCTATCGCTGGACATTAGCAGACGGTCCAACTTCCCCTCGAAATTCTCCACCATTGCTTTGAGGAGTTCAGTTTCCGTCTGCATTTTCTCATAATCTTCACCATAGACATCCCCCTTTTCCTGTCCCGTTCGTGAACAGAGAAGTCGCTTTATTGACGATCCTTTGCTACGTGACATCTTTGATTGGAACGTTGAGTTTTGTTTTCAGCCACTATGACGTCATGACTCTTTTCGCCAAAATTCGCCCTCGGTTTTGAACCAAATTTTCACAATCAAAAAACGTAATGTATTGTGTAAAAATGAAACTTTTTTTATTGACTGTAAAAACAAATGGTCAATCCCTAAAAATTTCATTCTTCCTAGGTTTAGAAAATTAGAAATGTTTCAAAAGACATACATAAATGTCATTCCCCGTCATTCGTAATCCTCTACTTTTTTTTTACTTTTGTATCGGTATAATAAAACAGTTAAAAAGTATATACATGTAACTGAGGGAGTTAGCAAGATTCCAGTTCCCCTCGACCAGGACTATTTCCCGAGGCGCACCATGCAGGACAATTTCCCTCGGCTGCGCCTTGGGAAATAGTCCTGGCCTTGGGGAACTGGAATCTTGCCAAGGCAAAAAAAAATAATAGTCTTGTTTCCTACTACCCTATTTTTTTTTTTTTAGAGGATTACGAATGGCAGGGAATTAGCTTCAAGACTAACGCACGGAAATTAGTCCATTAACATATCAGACTGATTCAAAAGTAAAATAGAGAGGATTACGGATAACCTGGAAATTAGCTTCCGAAGCAGGGACGGAAGCAGGGATTAGCTCATTTAACTAACGCACGGGGAATTAGTCCATTCACTGAGATTTCTAGGGAATTATTCACATTTTACTGCATAACTTTTTTATTGTAAGAAATCGGTAAAGGTAATATAATTATAAAAAACGTATTGAGTGATCAATGAACATCAATTGTATCATGTAAGATGTAAAGTTTTACATTTTTATGTTAAATAAAGGAATAATAATATTGTATGGTTGGGGTATAATGGGGAAATTGCATTCTGTAGCTATTAAACATAGTAAGATTCCCGACATTATTTCTTTCGTTGTGTCCATATCATTGTATATGGATCCATTTTTCTGAGATGGGTGGTGTTCAGGACTATGTCAGAGACAGTTTTTCTTCCGGAAAAAAAAATTACACGGAAAAACCTAAACTAATTAAACCTGTTATTAAAAGCACTGATTATTATAAATTTTATCTTTGTAGAAAATTACATTACACTTGCAAAATCGAAAGCCTAATTCATGAACTCTGGCTTAAAATCCCAACTCCTGATAAATTTGGCTTCGTAATTGAGACTTGGCATCCCGAGATAAAACTCAGACAAGACACTTTCCATTTGCTGTGAACAGACACGGGGCCATTTTTTTAAAATAATACATGTGACTTCTATTTGAAGAAGTAGCTCTTTATTTTTTTTTTATCAATTAATAATAATTTACAAGTCAACTTAAAAACTGATTAAAACGGTCGTATGCAAAAATGATACTTTCCGTATTGGGTGAATGTACAGCAAAACTCGGTTATAACGAAGTCACTAGGACCTATGAAATTACTTCGTTATATCCGTAATTCGTTATAACTGTATAAGAAATTCATTAAATTTATATAGCTGGAGATCCAAGATGACTTCGCTATATCCGTTAATTCGCAATTAATCCGTGTTCGTACTAAACGAGTTTTGCTGTACTCCCAACTATATATATGCAGATGGCATTGGTTCTGTGAATCTAAAACTAATGACGAGGATCGAGAGCTTCAAAATCAAGAGCTTGAAAATGTTACTTTGGCACGTCCATGAGGGTTTTGTTTGATGTATTTAACAATTGATACATTTTTTCATGCATTTAGCGTCCGCCCTCTTCTTTGGACACAATTCAGAGAAACGACAGGCCTTTAGGTCGATCTAATCCCACTAAAAAAAAATCATAATTGGGGTGTTAAAAAAAGTAAAGGTATGGAACTCCTTACATAAGGTACCCACATTAAAAATAAAATATTTAAACATCAAATTATCATGATTTTCACTTTCTATTCAAATCCATTTAAAATATAAAAAATCTACATTACTACCAAAGTTCACTCCGAAATTCCTTATACTTCCCGTGATATGCTGAGAATCGAAACTAAATTGACCTACATGTATATTTTTTTAACGCTTTGAAATTTCAAAAGTAGGACCCGATGAACTAAATTTTATTTGACACACCAGAAAGGTTCAAGATGCATCGAAAGTTGAACGAATTTAATATAGCCATGAAACTACGAAATTTGGTCCCTATCAACACACTCCAAAAACTAAAGATACAAAACAGAAAAAGTTTGACGATTTTAGGTCAATTAATATCTGAAATATGCAAATTTTAAAGTAGGTTGCAGTGACAAACTTTTGGGTTGACATGCTGGAGGGCCTAACATTCCCCAACTAAAAAAGTTTGATATTGTGCCCCAGCGTCCAAAATATACATCTAAAACAATTTCAAATTCAGGTCAGTGATCTACTTTTTAAAAATTTGTTTCAAAGCCCAAGTTGCATCAATTTCAGTATTTGATTAATAATTAGAAACCTCTCAGTATCCAAAGCAATGATCTTGGATATTTTGAAATGATCAAGAGAGTAGGTCAAGGTCAGAAAAAGTACACTACAGATGATTTATTTTGAGGTCAAAGTTCAAGGTAAAAGAAATTAATATAGGTATTACATAAAGTGGTTTTCAAATGATAATTTCCTTTCCTTGTGAAGCACATGCATGTGTATATGCAATACCCTACAACTTGGACAAAGAAGACCCTATCAATTCCAGGGTCAAAATATCAAAGTCAGAAATTCCAATATTGGAGAAAAAAAGTTCTCAAATGATTAATCAAGTTCTCCTTAAGCTTTTGTAATGAAATCTTTGGCAATCATTGATTTTGAGGTCAATGCTCAAGGTCTGAAATGCCTTAATTGGATTATGTGTTTTGGGATAATTTTCCTTCGAGTGTTTGCAAAGAAATTTAAGGTGCTGAATCTCCCTACCTTAATAAGAAAGTATCCTTTTGATTTTAAGGTCAAGGTCATTGATTCTCATCCTTCTGCATCTGCATTTCTGTATCTTCCCTTTAGATTGTTTTTTATTTGTTTTTCACAAAACAATCGATCTTGTACAAAAAAGAATGACAAACATTTTTAAAGATCAGAGTTTATTTTAATAGAAAACAAGTGCTGCCAGGTAATACAACCTCTGAATGTATAAAAGTTATAATGTTAAAATAAGACTAGAATTTCTCTATCTGAACACAATCATACACTGTCATACAGAGAGAAGGGACTGAAAATAGTGCAAAATGAAAACAGTTCAATTCCTTATTAAGTCTGTATACTATTATAGATATATAAAAATGAATTAAGAAACATATTAGCACCAAATTAAAACAAAGAACTATAACCCCCCCCCCCCTTTTTTTCAAATACAATGTAGAAGACTTTAATTTTCTTATGGTCTTTTTTGGTAGATTTGTCTAATGGTTATTTTCAGTGAACATTTAAAGATTGAAGAATAAGTGTTATATATATATTCTATACATATCTTCTCCCTGATTGTCTGAGCATATGGAGGAAAATATTTACTCAGAGTACTCAAAATTTGAGGGCGAGTAGTACCTCAAGATAAATATGGTTTATAAATTATAATTCCTAGATATCTCTATTCAATGCACTTATAAGTATAGCAAGGACAATTAGGCCTATAACTTCTTTAAGTAGCTGCCCTAGCTGGAATATCATGATACCAGGTGTTAAATCTCCTTGAAAATCATAAAAATGTCCTAAATACATGGGAATTTAATAATAATCTACCTTAATTGTGGCATTTTTGTAAAGAAACTCTCAAATTTTACCCAAATATGATAATACAGCAAAGTAAAAGATTAGAGAGGACATAATAGAAGGAAGACTACTTTTTCTTTTGGAGTTTTTGAATGTCTATCTGGTCCTTGAAGGCGAGAATACCGAGCTGTGCGTGAGAGGCCTCACTAAGGGACTTGGACCGGATACAACCCCTGTACTGGTCCGCAGACAAAGTGACCGGACACACCTTGTCATGCCACAAGTGAAATATCCCTGGATCTGTGGCTCTGACCACTATCATGTTGCTGCGGACGTACTTTTTGTATAAAAACACATCCTCCCCACCCCAGCCTATTATCCCCTCACTGAACCCCTTCACGGCCTGGAAATCTGAGAGGTACTGGCATGTCATTCCGTAACCAAAGTCCCTCCAAAACCCCGTCGTCTTGGAGATCACTAATTGTCTTTTGATGGACGGAATTGTTCTGTTTTCTAGAGAATAAACCAATTTTGGATTAAATAAACTGAAAACAATAGGATAGTAAACTTTCTTCTGTTTCTCGGTATTAAGTCGACACCTTTCTAAGAATTCAGCATTAAATATGATATCTACATCACACATGAATATAACAACATCCTTACTCCTCCAGGTTTCTATTCCAATCTGAAGGCCCCTTCCCCGCGAAAATTCTTCATTCACGTTGATGACTCTCATGAACTTATATCCATGGGTGTGACTGACGGTTTTAGTTATATTTTTCACAGTGTCCAGCCCCTCCTTCCCAAAGTAAACAATAGTTAAGTAAATATGCTTGTCAATTGCAATGCAAACATCTACAAAGTTTTTCATAAATATTTCCAGAGAATCCAACCTTCCCTTTAAAGGGAGTATGATATTTATCCAGGTTTCCCTGGTTCTGACTGTGGTGTTGATGGCAGTCATTAATGGACCAAACGGTTTAAGAATAGCAACTTTTGAGTATCTCCCCGATTCCTTAGAATTGATATTTCTGAAATAAAGTTCATAGTGCGTCCCAGAAGCAGGGTCTGTCCTGTATATTCCTTCTATAAAATCACTAGCAGTAAAAATTTTGGACATGTTTTTGCGTTGTTCATTCAGTATGCTGACACTATAAGAGATGACGTCGTACAAGTCCCTCCTCTTTGAACCTATCGGTTTCTCCACTACTCTCTTCCCCAGCCCTGGGTCCACCAGATAAATCCTGTTCAGTGTAAATCTGTTGAATGCCGTCATCTCAAATTCATTTTTCATTTCCACTCCATGAAGGATTTCAGCTGCCTGAAGTTTCTCACTGAGGTACTTGTGTACTTGACTACTTTGACTCTCGGACTCATTCACGCTGGCCGTTACATTTTCCCGCTGTAACCTCTGGGAATCGAGAATCCCCTCCAGGTCTCTGATTCTACTTTGAAGTTCCTCAATCCTGTTCTGATGTCTCTTCTCTGATTCCTCGATGGCGGCCTGGAATAATTCTCGGGTGTGGCGGGTTTGCTGGGGGACTGTTGTCGAGATGTTGTCCATGACGAGACCCCATCTAGTGATGACGACCATCGTTAACACGGACAACAGAAATAGGAGGACCAGTACGCGTGGCATGGGCTTCCCCATCCTGGTTCCCTTCTCTCATGTCACCAACCCTACAAAATAATATCCATGAAAATTAACGGAGGTCATTTAGATATCCCCTTACATGAAATTACATTATTTTACATCTAAAATGAATAATTTTCCGAAGTATGCTTTGACCCAAAAATAAAAATGACTTTTTAATGGGATATTTTCATGTTTCCATATTATTAACGAGTCATTCCAAAGCTAAATCTTGGAGAGTTGTGCCAGTTACCCATGTTCCCATGCGTACAATACTCTCATTAAATATCATTAGGGGACATTTTCAAATTTTTTATATCCTTTGATATCTCTCCTTCAAGGTTTTCAATATAATTGCAAAACTGTATTGTCAGTCTTTACCACAAAAAAGTCAGCTAATGCACTGCAGTTTTTGTCAACACAGTGAGAAGATCGGGGATCAGAGATTTAATTTGGCTCGTGATCACAATCATCGTGCCCCACACCTCAGACAATCACCAGTAACCCCTTTATTACATATGCTCAATAGATCAGACAATCTGTCAACCAGTTCTATTATTCTTCTCTTATCCTAAATTCAATCTTTTAAAAATAATTTGAAGAATGTCAGACTTTTAAGAGTCATTCTATTCCTTCCTGGTATTTATAAAATTAAAAAATAGTATCGAATTCTATATTTGGATTATTCTCTTCCAAAAATAATAGCAAAGACGGATCATGTAGATAGTTTGCTACCCTAATTAAAAATTTCTTAATATCTGCAATATATCAGTGACCAAATTTCAGTTTACAGTTCAATTTAAAAGAAGTAATATGTTCCAACATGGAGAATATTGAAAATTAAACTCATAATAAATCACAATTCATTATACTAAAGTACCTGTGAAATAGTACAAGTTTCCCAATTATTTAGATCAATTTATCAGTGTTCTCCTAAATCTGAAGGAGACAACTTCTCAAACCTTTAATTGAGTAAGCATGTCCCAAAGAAATGGATTAGACTATGTGCTTATAAAATCAATTTGCTAAAATACAATTTATCAATAATTTTACATCTTTCACAGCTTTCACAATTCATAACCGTATACAGATTTCATATTTTCAGTGGTGTATTATGGAGGGAGGGGATAGGAAAGAACACTGTATTAGTAGTTTATTCAGAATATAACTTTGGGCAACACAGCCCATTAGTTTACAAAAATAGCAAATACCATTAATGTGATTGATGATTCTCATGAAAACCTTGTCAAAGGGTCCTATATATGGTTTCTTGTATCACTGAACTTTTTTTTTAAATTAATACCAGCACCTCCCCACCAAATTGGAACTTTTGAATCCATCTAATAAAGCAAGAAATCAACCCAGTATATTTGTTAACACTAAATCTTTTACAGCCAGACTTCCAAGAAAACATTCATCACATTTCAACAAAGTACACATGTTTTCCAGATGTCTAAAACTTTCAGTACAAAGAAAAAAAAATTCTTTCATCTGCCAACTCAAAGAGATGAAATGTCATAAACTTTTACTCAATCTTGGGACCACACAAATCAGAACCCAATCAATCAAGCACATTGCTGGAGCCAGAGGACCCTTTCCCAGGTGAGCTTCACTGGCTTCTCAACTCTCCTGTTGACTTTTCATAGCAACAGAGACTTGCTGCAGTAAAATATTTTGACAGAGAATTTAATGAGTGTCAGCTAATTTGTCACCAACATGTCAATTCAAAATAAATCTCCCCTGTCTGCCACAGTAGTCAACAAATTCTCATTTAATGAAATTCATTCTCGGTAAAAGATAAAATCTGTGGCATACCCCAGTACCCTACACAAGGAAGGCCGATTCTCTTCTAACATGCAATGATAACATTACAGTCACCCATCACTACAGCAGAAAGTCGATTAAATCCAAATTGTTTTTCTTCATTAAAGAAAAAAATGGAAAGAAAAAGGACATTCTCTGGCATGTTCCTCCTTAAGTATGATTCTGTCAAACCGAGGGGTTCTCACTGCCACTAATCGGAGTGTTTTCAATGAGACAATTTGTATATTGCTTATTGCAGGTGAGTTTCCCGGGACTTCACAAAGGGAACAACACAGACTCCGGAAGCACTTGCATGTCTAGCCTTGAAGAGTGCTTCATGAGATCCCTACAGAGATTAGAATGATTTCATCAAAGGTATCCTGACAGACTAATAGCTGATTACAACTAACAACAACAATTCAGGACCTCATATTCCCTCCACATCAAAGAATTTCCAGCTTTAGTGTGAGTCTGACTCCGTATATATATGTATACATAAGAAGATCATAATACATGCACCCTCAAATTTTACACCTTTAAATTATTATTATGATACAACCATCTGCCACTAAGCAGATTAGAGTTGGATCCTATAACGCACAGATCTAGTTCACCTGTTATCAGAGAGTGATCTCCCCTGAACTCTATAGACTCCCCCCAACATCCTGACCTGTCACTTACAATTAACTTTACACCTAAAGATCAAGTAGCAATAAATGTATGGATGTAACCTAAGAATAAAAGTCAGAAAAATTAATTCTAGATAATCCATGAAAATTCTAGAGCAGCAAGACAGAAATTTAAAAAAAACAAGTACAAGAACACCAAAATTAATTTTCCTCCTAGCTTCTTTCTGAAATCTGTGCCTTCTCATAAACATATTTTTAATAGCCAAAAAATTCAAAAACAAACAAATAAAAACAAGCAAACAAGACAAATTAAGCAAAAAGTAAATCTTTCATTAGGAAAATAAAATCTTAGACTGCATATGCACAAACTGTGATGCATACCGTAGTTACTGCACCATTGAATACTTGTAGCACTGCAATGAATTGAAGAGCTAGGTGGTCATAGGTAAAAAATATTCAGAATAAAGCCATTATATCTAGTCCTGTATCAATTACACAGAATACAATATTACTAAAGGATTTACCATCCTCACTCAAAGAACATCAAAGAGACGATATATCTCAATGCATGTTATCAGTCTGTTATCAGTCATTAAAATAGATACAATGTCTGTCTCTGTGTCACAAGCTCAGTTCTCAGAATCAAAGGAAGGAACATGCCGATTTCTGCCATCCCTGGTGTCTCGTGTCCCCAGAATAACAACGATCTTACTGACACTTAGAAGTATAAGATACGGTCTGATATCCAAGGCTCCCCTGATATGTCGAAACTCTAAAACTCTACCGATACACAAACAAGCCAGAAATCCTAGTCATCATGCAAAATTCTGGTCAATGTAAAGTTGCCCTTTCAAATTTACAATGATATATATTATTATAAAATTTCAGTACATGAAATGCATGTTGATTACTTTAATTTGAGAGCTGAACAAAAGAAAATTCTTTTTATGACATTCAGGCATGCAGTTTAAATACATTCAATTGATATTGATTAAATTTCTACTTAACTACCAAACATTTAATAAGTGCAATTACGGGAATGGAATACTAAAACCCATTTAAAATGAGCATTTGTAATTTTAACTTTGATATACCATGTATAAATAACATGCCTATACTCCGTTATTAAAAGAATCCAAACTATATAACATGAACAAAATTTCAGTGGATATTAAAATTTAAATTTTTTTTTTAATTTCAGAGAAAAAAATGTCATTAAATTAGATAAAAGCATTGGCATTTGATTCAATTTTTTCTCATTTCAAATATCTGAACTAAGTCTACCTGAGTAAAACCCAAATATCCTGCAGGTAACGCAACTGACAAATTACGAGAATATATCAATGGGTATTAAAAATTCCATTAAAAAAATACATAATAAAAAAAAAAACATCAATACAAATCTTTAAAAAACCTTATATCTATACATTTTTAAAAAAAATCAAATTTCAAAAAGAAAGTAATTTTAAAAAAGTAGAAATAGTAAAAATTTGAACTCACTGTATTTGTGTTTATATCCTCAATCCCCAATGTGCGCTATGCTGCCCACGATCAGAGTATCAGGAGATCAGGCAAGCCCACACATTCAACCAATCAGCTAGCTCCATTCCACTTAGTGTTCCCAGGGTAAGCCTGTATGTAAATGTTTAATATCGTAATAAAAAAAAGCTACAAGATTCCCTCTGAGCTTTAACAAAGCCGACCTATTACAACTTACTTAAAATGCCTCTTTAATTGTAAACACTGTGACTGTGTATTTAAATAACCTCAAAGTTCAAGGGGTTACAAACAGAGAGTGGTTTTTAATCTTTCAGAAGTATTAACACATTTAATTTGTTTCACAGTTGACAAAAAAAATTCTGCATTAAGCACTCTAACCCTATATTTGATAAATCTCCAAGAGGTGAATTAAGAGATGTAACCAAAATCTCCAGTGAAATTAGAGGGAGCAAGCAACAAATTACAGTGCAGTGGCATATATTAAATGTAACAGTATCCGTTAATGAAAAAGATAAAACACCTTTCTTTTCATACAGCTTAATTAAGCATAAACTCACATGCCATGATATTCTATTATACTTTCACTTGATTATTCTTTAAATGTATTAGATGTTGACCAGAGTCTTTGTCAAAATGCTTATTTATTACAATCAAAATGAAATACCGTAACAAGAAAAATTGAATTTCTATAAGTCATGCAACCTATTTCGCTGCACATGTACTTAATTTCTTTAAACTTAAGTATTAAATTCTCATAATTAGAGCATTCCCAAGTAACATTGTTAAATAAAAAAAACAGTGCTATACGAAGTCTTGGTTTGACATATATTTGCACCATTATCATGATTATAAATTATTATTTAAGAAATAATCTGTGTGCCCTCCCATACATGGCAGTAAAATTGTTTTTCATGCTTTTTTCTAAAGTATGATTTAATTAAAATTTTTTCACAGAAAAGAATGAGGGACCACTGAACCTAAAACCTACAAAAAATGTTTGAGTGCAAATAAATATAGTACTTGACCTTCCCACTACAAAAGGGTGCCTCCTCATTCAAGATCTGTTCTCAATCAAGGCTCATACATTCATATGTTTTTATGAATCTGCTTGAATACAATAGTACATGTACTCATATAGTTTATAAGGGTTAAGTGTTAAAGCTGTCAAACATTTGTTTACTCATGAAAGAATATCAATTTTTATGAGTTTTGAAGGTAATAATTTTTGCTACTTTTCCCTATTTTAGTTAATCCCTTTGTAATATAGGCCTGGGCCATCAAATCCAACTGACTTTATAAGGTTAAAATTGCAGCCCCATAAATCTTAAGTATATTTTCAATGGGTGATAAAATTTGATCACTAAACAATTGTTAAGACCCTTAACCACATTTTATATTTCACTCATCTTACTGTTTCTCATTTCTAAACTGAGTGTTCAACCCCTGCTTTCATTGCCGTATTTGTTTTCTCCACAGCAACAAAGTTGCTTTTAATGGTCACTCAAGTATCACCAACCACGAAATCCTGTTACAAATTAGAGACAAACTTTGGAACTGGACCTTCTATTCTTTGTTAGCATGAAAACAGGGGGATTTAGTCCCCATTGAGGAGGCATTCACCCTGTGTTGATGGGCCTACAGGTGAAGAGGGTTATAGCCTGCTGGCAGAGAATCACGCACCAATAAGGTATCTGATAGTCCATTGTCACCCATTGTCCCCAGAGACTGAGAACAGTTATACTGCACCACAGGGTGTCAAACAGGCTTTCTATAAAAGGTCACACAACCCAATCAATTTTTTTTTAGTCAAATTTATTATTTTACAAGGAAAGGACATTTATAATGAACCATATCCCTGGTGGCATCAATGAAAGAAAAAGTGGAAAAATATGTTAATTTAATCTGATCCCTATTCAAATATTTGAAATATTTTTTCCCTCAAAGTTTAAAAAAATTATTTTATATATTTTACATCAATTAGCCATGGGATACATTAACTCCTCATTAAATGCTGTTAACAGTTTTGAGTGCAATCAAAAGCTGAGTCATTTTAAATACAAATGCATGTACTAGTATGAATTTTGGCTGAATTATTACGTCAATAGGTAATATCGCCTGATCCTGCTAGCTAATCAAACTTACCTGCTGTAGACAATTTTTATAATAAATAAAAACCATACATCATGTTTTAAGCAGAAACTCCCATTTAAATTTCATTGAGAAATATTTTGAAATTTAATAAGCAGGAAAGAATCGCTTTCATTTAAATAATTCAAACCTTTGTTGTGAAAATAGCCCCAGACCACTTGACAATCTGACCATACACAAGAGTACGCCACCCTGTGTCACAGTGTCAGAATCTCCTTATCAAGCTTTGTCCAATATTTACCAACACGACATAAATTGGCCGGGTCGTGACCCCACACTCACCAGTTCACCAGCCAGGCTGTCACATGTTTCCCATCCTAAAACAAACAAACCAATGCTTTACCAGTTTTTCATCACAAAATGAGACTAACAGTTCCCGAGCTCTGATAAACCAACACCGATCTGTCTGCAGTATAATAGCATGTCAATGTTTTTCTTCAGAAAACTGACTCTTAAAATACCCAAATTAATTTACCATGCAGTATAATGGTACACAGAAACTCTGCTAAACATTCATATCAGCTTACTCTTCCCCTCTGATGAAGCCCGTGCAGTAGGATTCTAAATATTCTTTCATCTGTTGATGTAAATTAGTAGTTCACTTTACGGTCAACACAATTATACCATCAGAGACCTTGACTATACATACAAATCAAATTTCCTTTTTCCTGCATCAATTTGAAGAATTATCCTGGTTTTTGATGATGAAGCCAGATTTTAAGATAATATAACTAGCTATTTTGGCGAGTGTACCTTTAATATAGTTAATCACTTATAGCATTCAATGACCTAGCTGTGATAATTTGTCACCTTGGAACAACTTTTAATGATTCAATAAAGTTTTCACGCTTTTAAATACAAAATATTCTGGTTTTATTCTCATCTATTTAAATAAATGAAAAAAGTATGCCTTGATCATCCCACACAATTTTTAATGCTCAATTAATCCTTGAAGTTGCATTAAAAAGCCTGCACTAGTATATAAAGAGAATTCAGTTACTTCCCCTTACTTAACTGTACTACAGTGTATCTGATGCCAAAAAGATTCAGATTTTTTAGTATGGCAACATATTAAATTTAAGACACTGGTAAACTAACAAAGACTGAATTTATAAAGCATAAAAATAATTCATATAATTAACATTTTTGACTGAAAATAGCTGTTTGAATTGAGGTCTTTTTCTGGCCCATATCTAAAATCCTCATTTCATGCAGCACTATTAAATATCTATACATTTTATCTCTTAGGTAAGATTTATAGGATGTGTGTTGTGTTCATTTGAGACTGGTCAGGATGATCTATGACCTTTTTATAAGCAACTCTTGAACAATCCAGGCAACTCTTGAAATGCAGTATTTAAACCTATTTAAACTTCTATCAGTGGGGCATTTCATGGTAAATATCTATTTGCTTAACCCCCACACTCCTGATAAATGACCAGACACACATGTTAAGCTTTATATTATATTAAATTCTTTTCAATTATAGGGTATTTTTTTCCTCAGTGTTTCCACAATTTATAAATTTAATTTACCCCTGGAAAAAAAAGACAATTATAAATCACTAAAATTGCTGACTTCATCAGACATTTCAGACCTTCTGCAGGACCAGTGGTAATCTTGCTTGTCAGCCTGATCACTTTAAGTATTCCAATCAAAAGCATTCTAAACGAAACAGTAATTAATTGTTAAAATTTTTTTTTTTCAAAGTACATTCAGTACAGAGCATTGATAAATGTTTCAAATGCTATTCAAACATGTATTTGCTGATGCTGCAGGAAATTTACCGGTATTAAATGATTTAATATTATTACCTTTTTTTAAAATCTCACAATTTAATTAAATTCTCTTTCACTAGTGCTGAAAGTATTTTTAAATCATTATATGTATTTAAATCTCATTATAATGGAACAGCTATAAACTTACAATAAAAATATGCTATTAGAATTTCCATATTGTGCCTTTGAGATTACTACGACTTTAACAAGCTTTGACATGGAGAAATACTCACCAGTAAATCGTGAGAACTTGTTCTGTGCACTGTAGAAATATGTAGGCTTGTTCTGGTTGAAATGGAAACTGCAGGTGTACGGGGAAATGACCTGAAGTCACACCGGAGGCTGGCCGCCCAATCAGCAACATCTGTCATAACTGTCTATACATTCCGTCTGAAAATACCCCCAACAATGTAAATAAACACGCCCTATTTAGGGAGGTTATAACTGTTTTTTAAACATTTCATCAGCTAGCACTAATGACTCTTGTGAAAAAATTCCATTTAACCAAAATATATTGAAGATCAAACAAAATGGCTATGTACAAAAAGCAAAAGTCTGTAACAGGACTGAAGCTCTATTATTTTTACTTAACAAAGGGCTTAGAACATGCAGGTACAAGTGGCAGTGTAGTCAAAGAAGGTTAAGTGGTAAAAAAAATTGGTACTGAAATAAGTTTGATCCTACTCCCCCTGGTAACTACTGAAATCTGATTAAAATAGTAGGAATTGCAACTTTTAACACTTCTTCCTCAATCAATGATATATCCCTATACTGTGAACAACATGTAGTTTAAACTGCGACTTGAAAGCATTGTATTTTTATCATAAGATTACATGATAAGCAATTCAAGTTACTTCCCATTACTATTAAAAATATTCTGGACTGCAGGTCTCATGAAATTTACTCAAAATAGTGTGACAGATTAGGTTTATTTACGTTTTCATAATTATTACATTTCGATCCCGATGTAAATTGTCCACGTTTTATTTGGAAACGCCCACTTTTATCTTTCGGCCAATAAGGTTTTTGACAGTTTCTTTTGTTCCTTTTTCATATATAAAGCTATGCAACTATTAGATCGGGGAGGGAGACAGCTGGTTTCGCTAGCTAAACTCTTCATATACTGGAATCGTCCCTTGTTCATCTGTCTTAATTAAATTATATTACTACTTAGGTTAGACTATATTTGGGTTAAGTTAGGCCATATTTGGGTTTGGGAATTAAGGTCTTCATATTGTGTACTATTATAACGTACTGTAAGATTGGTAATAAATTGTAAAGTCTTGTTAATCTTATTTTCTTTTATAGTTCATTACAATTTACAAATATTTCCAAGGTATAATCTAATGTAGAGGTCTTATATTCAGAAAGTCGTCTCAAAACAAAAAAATAAACACAACGCGAAGTACAGGCTATATGAACACCAGACCTGCTACAATAGTATAAAACAGGTTATTTTTAATAGTGACAGGCAAGTAAAGCAATCTTATTTTAAAATTTTAAGTGGGTATTTTTCTTCAGCAAAAAGTTAAAGGAATTTAAGAGGTAACTCTATTTTTTTTTCTTCACTATTACTGGTATTTAAATGAATTATTCACAATTGTGAAGAAATGTTTTTATAGTTTTGTTCATTTCAATACAAAAATAAGATTTTATAACCATTTCAAAATATCAGTTCATGACACATATCATATTCTGGCTCAAATTTTGTGAAACATATTGATATTTGAAAAAAAAATGTATAAGTATCATCCCAGTTGCAGCCCTCTTAGGCCTTATAATTTCCCAGATGTTACGCTTCCTTGCAGTTTTTCCCCATCAGTACATATTTGACATCCACATGCATCCTACTCATTCTGTTATCATTATTAGCCTAGATTTCAGGAAGTTGGGAGACTTCATGTGACAATATATGTTAAATTTCTAAAAAAAAAAAAATGTCTATCATCATATTTGTTCCCCTTCATTTATGAACAGGAGAATACTTTTTAAATGGGAATACTATTGTCATACTTAGGTGTACAAAAAATAGTCACACTTTCAGATTTCAATTGACTTTTGCTAGAACTCTTGACTTTTATAATCAACAGCTTAAATTTAGACTAATATGGGTCATTATAATGTATGAATTTTCTTTTGTGATATAAATACTTAGCTTAAAAGTTAATTAAATATACATGTATTATATATCAAGGAAAGAAAAACCATCACCCTATCCTCAACCCCTTTTCTTCCCATCTCATCTAACTTCTGCTGTTTTTCTTTCAGAATATTTTGTTCTGCACTTGATTCCTTTAGAAAATGGAATTGAAAGCAGACACTTTAATACTATCAAATGAAATATTTTAAAGTTATATAATGTCTCCTAGCAGATTTTCTGTGTTCTGCATATAGGTAATTCATGTTACTGCCCCTAACAGCATAGCTCCATCCACTATAAGGTTTAATTATCTATTATCAGTTCCTTACCCCTGTATATAACATATGTTTTTAAAAATCTCAAAGTAAGCTGTCGACTGTAAACTTCAGTGCTTCTTGCAAAAGTCATGTATTATAGCTTTTTGTTTGAAACAGTTGGGACATAATAAAGTGTGTCTCTCCTAATTTGAGATGGAGAGATATATACAGACATCTGAGGTGGACAACAGTTCAACTGAGTCTAGATGATCCATAGGCAAATGATAGGGTAAGTCCAAAATATGACGGTTTTTTTAGGCTTTTTTACGATTTTGATATTTTACATGCCTGGCACATGAAATATCAAATTCATTAAAGAGCATGGAAAATGTCAGATACTAGTATTTGAGAATAGGCAAGCAAATTGAAAAGGGGAAAACAAACAAAAAAGGCAAGCCTATATGTATATTGTGTCTATCTTTTCAAAAAAGAAGCTCCTCCCCTTTAAGGATATGATGTCTGTGTGATCTATATAAGTGAATATACAATAGGGGAAAAATTACATGTTAGTGCACTCTTCAAAGCATTTCATTCCCAGATATGGCAGCTATGGAGTTCCATAGCAGTGCGTCTGGTCAAGTGGTTGCCCTGTCACACTTTCCAAAGTTTGTTCCAGTCATTTTTGTCAGACTGCATGAAAACAGTAATGTCCTTATAAGTTTCTTCAAATAATGGAGTCCTTTAATGAGACCTACTGTCACAGCGGTTTTAAAGGAAATTTTCATCTGTAGCATGGCAGTGTGATGACTTTAAAACAAAGCGCGCAGCAGAGCTTGATGTTTTCCACGTGACCAAATCATCCAATAGAAAGGAAAGGGAAATTCCCTAATTTTGGGATTTCCATATGCTTTTAAAAGAAAGATATCACGAAGGAAAACAACGAAAACTCAAAGCTTTAAATGACATATACTGAAATTTCTTTCGGTATTTAGTTAGAGGTGAGTCCTTTTTAACATTTTAACCACAATTCATCGCGTGTTAATCAGACATTCAAGCCTAAAACGCACATTTGTAATAGCTTGTGAATCTATTTATAGCGCATCTTGTAATGCACATCGATCAGTAAGAAAACAAGTTCTGTATATTACTAGAGGGCAATATTTATAATCTTAACGGATTAATAATAATAAACAACGTTTCTTTCTGGTTCCTGTTTGTATTTAAGCATTTAAAATAAGACAATAATGTTACTTTCAAGGGAGGCAACTTGTCAATCATATTTTCTGAAAATGGTTCCAGAGATGATTAATAATAAAAATGTTGTTTATGATATTCACAAATTAGTAAACATCAACTTTGTGTGGTAAATGCATCAGTAAATGTCGATAATTATCATTGTTTATGTTAATTTCTTTCGGAATGTTTTATAAATCAGATAGAACTGATTTCATCGTTTTTAATTATGTTAGGATTTTTTTTTAATAACCAAGAGATAACAGAGGACATGTCAGGCCTGTGCTAGTGTTAGATAGAAGAAAGTATGGCTAACCTTGACCGTTAGCTACTAGACATCATAACCCATCCAAAAGTGCAAGGTCTCAGATTTGGGATACAAATACCGTAAATAGAGGATTTATTATAAACATATCTGTGATGATTCTAAAGGCAAAGGCATATTAAAAATTTGTGTGTAATTTGTGTAAATAATCATTTAGTTTCGAAATTTTCGTGAAAGAACACCAGTTACTGTGTAAGTCAGCTGAAACATTTGCCCTCCTTGATTTGGTTTTAAGGTCAGGCGACACATTCCTAAAAAATATATAATTTTTTCTAAGAATTTGTCATTGAAGTCCAGGTACTTTAACAAGTTTCCTCACAAAAAACTAGGGTACCTTACCAGGTATTTGGACAACTCACAAGATACCACAGGGTCATATTTCTTATATATAACCCTTATTTTCTGAATGGCCTATATTACAATTTTTGGTGTACTTATATTTAGAAATATTTTTAAAACGATGTAGATATCAGAAGAGAATGACGAATTTGAATTATTTTTTTTTCATATAATACCAAGAGATACAAAACATATATTTTAGAAACGTGTCGTCTGACCTTAATTTGGTTTTGTTTCTTTCTGCACACTGAACTTATCAGTAAAACATGACATAGCATATTGTTTCAGATCATGACTAGCTCTACAATGAGCTGTGCATCCCTGGTTCATTAGATTTTACTGTAAAGCCATCATTTAAAAATTATTTCTTTGCCTTATCTTGTCTAAAACTAGTCCAATTTCCAAAGAAGACCAACTATCAGATAATTTTGAGGCAAAAATGTGATTCTTCAGGCAACAATCAGCAGTTCAATGGCTTTTTCTTGCCCGATTTTCACCTATTTTTGTTAACCACTTTTTGTCCCCCACTTGAAAAGTGGGGGATATTAATTTGGGTTTGTCCGTCCGTCTTTCTGTCTGTCTGTAACGCTTTCGTTTCCACACGATATCTCGAGAACCCTTTGAGCTTTTGCAATGAAATTTAGCATAGCAACTCCCTGTAGACTAAAGAAGACCCCTATTGATTTTGAGGTCAAAAGGTCAAAGGTCAAGGTCATAAATAAGCAAATTCTGTCTGTTAAAACAATTTCGTTTCCACAATTTCCCATTTGAGTTATTGGTATGAAATTTTATATAACAACTCCCTGTGGCCTAATAATTTTGATCTTGAAAAAAGTTCAAGGTCGTAAATTTATACATTCTCTCTGTGTGTAATACTATTATTTCCGGGCGATATTTCAAGAAGATTTTGAGCTTATGCAATGTAATTTTATATCAAAACTCCCTAGGACGTCTCTCGCCCTCAAAGTGCCCCGCCCCGTTTGTTTTATTAGTATTTATAGTACTACATGTCCTATTTTTAGCTTTATTGCGTATAAAACAGGTTCTCGGCGGACTTTATGTTCTTATAACATCTATTAGAACTGTTTAATAAAGGTTAAATAAATCAAACACCATGGATTGTGTAAAATTTTGAGAATACCGAACATGAAAACATGAATATATACATGTATGTGACTTCACTTCTGCATATACTTCCCATGTTAAGCTCCGTGGTCTAGTGGATATGTCTCGCTTCAAACATGAGGGGTCTCTCACATCATTACAGTGTGATAAAAATTCCATATAAAAAAATCTTCTATATACACAATGAAGCATAAGCAATCAAATCTTTATATGCATATTGACATACATATATTTTATTTGCTTCAGTATACATGTATACATTTAATAATTCTACAAATTCTCTTTTTCCCTAACACGAATTCTCTGAATTAGCTTGTTCAATACTTGAACAATACTACTTCCCATATAATTCCACATTCTTCCCACTCTTAAGTCTCCTACTACTCTCACTCCCACTTGAATGGGATAATTTCCCATACATTTACATCTCTTCAAGTCTCTTAGACCTTCCACTTTACAATCTTTAACTTCCCTGAGACCTTTTTACTTACATCACTGTTTTTCAGACAATGGAGCATGATGATTCTTATGACTCTGTGGAGAATCCCATGGTGAAAATGGATCATAATGGGGGGATAATCTCAGAGTACCACCACCCAACGGATGGTAAATTAACATTAAATTGATATACTTAGTATTACATATCACCACCTTTCAGATGGTTAAAACATGAACATGAACATGATATACTATACATAGAATCTCCACTATCCTCCAGCCTTCCTTAAACAAAGCTCATTTTCCGTGAAACATATGTATTAATTTTTCTATGAAAGTTCTTTTGATAATAATTTTTACGATGTGTTAATTTTTAATAGAGCCATATGTAGAGATTGTTGAGCAGCCTCAGGCCCGGGGATTCCGATTCCGATACGAATGTGAGGGACCATCTCATGGGGGACTCCAGGGAGAGAAGAGCGAGAAATACAGGAAAACATTTCCCTCCATCAGGGTTTGTCTCAAAATTAAATGTTCTGTAATTAGATTAAAGTGTACATTTCAATTTGGTTCCTAACAACTAACTGTCACTGATTGTAAAAATATGAATATATTATACCAGATAACAATAAGCCCTCTAATAATGTATTTAAAATGAATAAACTTATTTTTTTTAAACAGATACGAAACTACAGTGGATCAGCTCGTATTGTGGTCAGTTTGGTGACAAATGAAGCAATCCCTAAGCCTCATGCTCACAAACTGGTGGGCAAAAACTGTTCGAATGGATCGTGTATTGTCGAATTAAAGCCCAACCAGAACACAGTCACGTAAGTCGACATTGAATCACGTGTCTATTTAAGTAACACATTAAAGAAAGTGATTTGATAGTTCCCAGTAATTCTGATATAAAAAGGAAAAATGCCTGTGAAATTGTTTTTAATATCTTGTATAAGGAAGAATTTAAAATTCTAAGGTTGTATATTAATCTAAAGAAAGAGGTTTTATTGGGAATTTGCACTTGTTTTAAGGAATTAAATCTTCTTGTTATACAATTGCATAAACTCTTTATTGTGAATTCTGTTCAAACTTAAAAGATTTTTTAAATGGAAATATTCAAAATTAATAATTCCTAGATTTTCTGTAAACCCTTGATGTACTTCATGATAATATTATTGCTAAATAATTAGCAAGGCGAAGGATTCTTTCCCTGAACCACCATGACCACTGAGTCAGAAAAGAAGGCATGATCATTACAATGTACTAGACTAGTGTGGATTCAAGACCCCCTAGGGCCAGGGGTTATTATAGTTCAAAAATTGTATTCTCTCCCACACTGTCAGATCTGTGTTATACAAGTTATGACATTTGCCTGTCATTCCCTTTTAGATTTCCAAACTTGTGTATTCAGCATGTGACCAGAAGAAAGGCCAGTGAGGTGATAGAGTACAGAATACTAGAGTCCATGAAACTCGATAAACAAGTCAAACTAGGAAATCTCAACGCCCAAACGGATTTATCAGGTAAAAGAAGAAAAACAAGATGTGTTTGTGAAGCACTGTATGGCACCTTATGGTGAGGATTGGATTTTCTCAAAATGCATGTCAAACTCGAAAGTTTAAGCTTTAAGGTCAAAAGGTCAAAATTGTTGGTATCCAAAGGAAGGTCTTGCGACAAGGAATACACCTGTGAAATATGAAAGCTGTAGCCCCACCCACTCAAATCTTATGAGCACGGTTAAAGTTTTGCAGACAAAGAGGCGGACAGAAAGACAGACAGACGGATGGACAGGGCAAAACCTATATACCCCTGAATCTTTGATTATGGGGGCATAAAAATATATATAGTAATATACATGTATACCGTACTCATTAAATTAGATGAAATTCTACTTAAAGAATTAGTGACTGGAACTTCAGGTTAACTTTGGCTTGTCTGTGGTAATCATGGTATCAGTTCTGGAGATACCTAAGTTCAACTGTATTTTCAAAATGTTCAAAATCTTTTTCGCTTAATAAAAAAGATAATGAAAAGTAAAGTTTATAATTTATGCATTCAAAGAAAAGTTTTTTTTTTAAATCTTTTTTTCATATTATTGCAATGCAAATATAACTTTTATGATGCCCTTTCCACTGTAGAGAGGGCTTACAAAGGCAATGCCTGCTGTCCAATCCGTTTATGTTTTATTACCTAACATGTCCCAATTTGAACTTTGAAGATGATGAAAAAAGCCAGGCTAGCAGTCAGGCCAGTCAGTTAGCCAAAGACATGCAGCTGAATGTGGTTAAGCTGTGCTTCCAGGCTTATCTCCGCGACGAGAGCGGCAAAAACTTCCACCTCCTCCCACCTGTACTGTCTACGGCTATATACGACAGCAGTAAGTATTACCATAACATACAGGGAATCATCCTCAGGGAGTCAATGATTGGGTTATAAATTCCGTTGGTTGATGATATTAGTGTAAGTATAAACTGGAATAATGTTTGCTTTCATTAAAAATGTTAGAGTACACATATTCATATGATAATATGTTCGCTTAAAACAATTTAGCTTTTATGTAGCATGATCTGTAGTATGTTTATACACACAATGAACTGAAAATTGATTTGAAATAAGGGAAAACATAATTTTTATCTTGACAATCCTTTTTCTAGAGGCCCCTGGAGCCAATGCCTTGAAGATCTGTCGTATGGACAAATATGGAGGCTGCTGTACTGGAAATGAAGAGGTCTTTCTACTGTGTGAAAGAGTGCAAAAAGGTCAGCTTTGAAACGAACATATTGTAACATTGTTTCCTAATTTCCTTATATCTTTACTAAGGTCATCTGGAAAAGCTAAAGATCAATTTTCTCCACCATAAAATGAGCTCAAAACCAAGCCTTGGCTGTTTTGCATAAAAATTCTGTTTATCAAATAATATACATGTACATGCTTTTAAAAGATTAATTATAAGGATGCTATGTAACACAATGCCTGTTTTGGTTTAGTTTGGTTTATTTCTGCAAATATAATGAGTATCTGTATTGTTTACTTTGTAGATGATATCCAGGTTCGTTTTGTGGAACAGGACGATGACGGAAAGACAATCTGGGAAGCGTTTGGGAACTTTGGTCCATTTGATGTACACAGGCAGGCAAGTCTTCAGAGAATTCTGTTTTGCAGTGTGCTCCTTTTAAGATTTTACTTTTGATTTGTACTATGTTCTGATTTCTTTTGCAGTATGTTTATTTTGTGTTATACATACATGTTAACTCTCCCGATTTAGGCAGAAATCTACCCCTTTTTCACTCCTTCTCTCGCCTACCAATTTAATTCAGAAATCTACCGCTTTTCTACGAAAGTTGCGTCTAAAGTATTTTTGGTTCGCTTGGGTATCCATTTTTGTGCCACTCTCATAAAATCTCGCTAGATATCGTGATTTGACTTTGCAATCATACAAACGCTTTTTTTGTGCATAGATTTCAAGCACGGATTTGACAACGACAACAACATAAGACTACCAGTGATTACATTGGTTACGATAAATTTATCAACATCCCTGCCATGAAAACGGAGATACAGCTTTTAAGAATTAGATGAAAACATTTGGCATCGTCTTTAAAAGCACAGAAGCTCACAACTTTATCAATAAAGTCAATAGAAATCACTCGATTGACCAAGCCATGTGGCACATATCTACTTTCGTTTTCGATCATCGCGGGAAATCTGATTTATATAACGAAAGATACGAACTTGTTTTAGATCTAGATTAAACCATGCCATCATTTGTTTTGTTTAAAAACGGAATGAACATTCAGAATTATTGCTTCTAGGCTATTTCAGCAAAGATCACTCTTCAAAAGGCTAAGTAATCCGAGATTCTTCTGAGTCCAACCCACACTTTTATATTGTGACTTGTCCGCACAAGTCACAATATAAAAGCGGGGGTTAGAGTCAGAGGAATCTCGGATTAAAGGCTAAGTAAAGCAGCCAATCCAAGCAAAATGATGAGCATGAAAAATATTTGAATTTGTACAATTCATGTCAAACTTGAGGTGTTTCTGTCTTCTTCTTTGCTGTTGATATTTAAGATTAATTAGTGTAGGTACCTGATTTCATTTAAGGCTTATAATATACATGTATATTACATGAAAGATATCGATAATCCAAGCGTTAAACAACACGCGCGCAATGCTACCGCTTTTGAGGTCTGAATCTCCCTCTTTTTCATCACAATAGGTTAACATGTATGGTGTTATAACTATGATGTGATTTATTTTGCAGTATGTTTATTTTGTGTTATAACTTTGATGTGATTTATTTTACAGTATGCCATTGTCTTTAAGACTCCAGCCTATAAGAACCCTAACATAGACAGACCAGTGTCTGTGATCATCATGTTACAGAGAAAGTCAGACACAGAGACCAGCGAACCCAAATCCTTCACCTACTACCCACAGTCATTTGGTCAGTCTAACCATAATAGCCAACAATGCTTTAATACAAAATTGTTTATACTTATACTTTGAGATACACTGTAAATATGCTTAATTTAAAGGTATTAAATCATATTTTAGCACCTTTCACACTACTGGATATTCACAAATTTGAGTAAAAAATACATTTGTTTATGCCTGGCTGACCCTATTAAATTGTTACATCTGATTTTTTTTTCATCAAGTGTAATCAAGTTTAATAAAGAAATTATCAAGCTACAAAATCCAATTTTATCCAAATTCAATTTTATCAAAATGGTTGTTTTCATCTAAACAAAATGGCAACACAACATGGTCACAGAAAATTACACTAACATATTCATATACAGGTGGCTCTCGATGGCTCGAACTCCGATCTCTCGAAGTTCTTGATCTCTCGAAGTGAACCTCTGGTCCTTTTTTTTCCTCTATATAACAAAGCAAATTTACTCCTAATCTCTTGAACTTCTATCTCTCGAAGTTCTCTATCTCTCAAACCAAAACATTGGTCCCGTTACACATGTTTCATTGAATTTTATTATCTATCTCTTGAAGTTTTGATTGCGCGTGTATACACGCCAATCAACGAGGTAAATTATAAACGAATTCACAACTTATTTTGACTTGAAACCGAAACAATGATTTTTAGAAAATAATTTATATACGTTTGTTTCATTAAGTTCCCTTAGACTGTGAACTTTTATTAGGGTCTACATAATCCCAGTATGGTAAATATTGCACAAGAAATTCCTTTCTCAGGGAATGAGAGGCGTTAAGGAAAATCTGATAAACAGCGGTGAAGACCCGATCAAGCCGCGGAATAGCCAAACTGACAGTTGCTATTCGCGTTTCTTGTAATAATGAAATAAGAACAAATAAATATGGAAACTTTAGGAATTCGTTTTATTTATTTGAAATACGATCATTGTTGTTGATATCAAGTAAATTACCTGTAAAATACGATTGAAAACATGCAATGACTTTATTTACATATACTTCCGGTATCTATAATAATAGAACATCGAAGATCGGAACTGAAAATTCTGGATTTTACCGTATTTATTTTCTATCTCTTGAACCCCTCGATCTCTCAAACTTTTCTTGCGGTCCCTTGAACTTAGAGAGATCGAGACTCACCTGTATGTTTACAGTATGTGAAATGTATGTATATTTTCTCTTTGCAGATAAGGATGAGATTGCCAAGAAGAGGAAGAAGACCCTCCCCAGCTACCCCGGTAGTAATGGCTTTGGGGGAGGTACAGGGGGAGAGGATGGTCGTACTAACTTAAACAGCAGCTTCCACAATGGAGGTAAGGCCATAGAAACTTTACATCCTCAGAAGGAAAAGGCCTTAGTTTTCAAATGTATACTGTAGAAGAAATTTTCCTGAGGTTTGCGAGAGCCTCGTCATCATGAATATTTCTCGCTACAAACGGTCCCTGTGAAAGTCTCTGAGTGTATTAACAACAGACCCAAAAAGGCTTTATGGTAAAAATTAATTGTCACAAACTAGTTTACACCTGGTAAATCACAAAATAAAGTTGTAATGAATAAAAGTTGGTTTACAGTACTCCACATTTCACAGTCTGCCACCTCACTCTAACACATTGGATTATCTCATCCAAATTACAACTCCAAATATAGCAAGAACATGTGTCTCTTGACAGAAATGTCACTCAAAGAAATCTATTTTAAAGATGTGTACATGTACGTAATGCAACAGCTCATCTAATAGGTTTCTAACATCTCATCTCAAATATATTCCCCCTGAAAAAATTACTGTAAACGTATTACATTTGGCGGTGTATTCTTTTTAGCGCTTTTGGCGGAAAGATACTTCCGCTAATTCAAGTACATCGCTAAATGTCTTAAACATTGATAAACGAATAAGAATATCAAGAAATGCGCTAAATCAAATTTACGCTAACTTGTTAAGAAAACACTTTCCGCTAAATATTGTACACGCTAAATATAATATATTTACAGTAACTCTGGTTTGAACTGATACATAAAAGTAATAGACCAACACCATTTAGAATAAATATCCTAAAATACCACCTAACACTCCAAACAGTTACTCAGGTACATACTGTAAACCAACTTTTATTCATGTGCGAGAAGTTTTCACCAGAGCCTTGTCATTGTGAATATTTCTTGCCCTGAACAGGTCCTTAATTAAAGTCTCTGTGTCTTTTTACCAAAGATCCAAATAGGCTTGATCATGAAAGTTAATTGTCGCAAACTACAGTGTAGTTAACCTCTAGTAAATCGCGAAATAAAGTTGTCGTGATTAAAGTTGGTTTACAGTATATATAGCTCTAAAGAACTACACCACTTCAAACAAAAATACACTGCTTAGGTCATAAAAAATTAATTTCTTGGTTCTCATGCCCTCCCTCATCTCTTCCAAGGATGCCTCATTAACCCTTTTTATTGCTAAATCAATAAAATAAAAAGAACATATCACCTCCCTCATCATTTTTTGAGGTTTTATACAATGTAAAAAGCTGCCTCATCATGTTTGGGGGCAATGAACAAATAAAAAAAAAAAGCCTCCCTCCCTCATCATATTTCATGAATAAAGGCCTGAGAACCAAGGAATTAACTTTGAATGGCCTTAATACACAGAAATCGCCTAACGTACAGCAGGTTTATTCAATTTTCCAAAGTTACACCACCTTTTATTCCACCTTTAATGTCTACACGTCCTCCACAAATATACTGGTATATTTTGTTTGAGGTGCCAAAGTTTAGAAATGTTAACATATCTGACTGTGGTTTAAAGGAGTTGTTTGGATGTGAGGCTAGCTATTGTTTTATTTGCATGTTTTCTTTTAGCACTGAGAATATGATAACATTTTTAATGTTTAAACTCAATATTAGATTTTATCAAACCTATGTTACATTTTACCACAAGCATAATCTGTCATAAAATTGAATTAAAAACCTAAATTAATGTTATGTATAAAACCTTAAAGCCTAAAGAATTCAGAGAAAACCAACCCAAGAATTTAAAAAATATATTGGTTACTTGATGAAAGCAAAGACCATGAAGTTTCCTAAAAAGTAACTCTAGCCAAGCAAAACATTGTTTACAAAAACAGTCGTCTCCCTCTGTTCTCATGAAGGTACTGTAGATTCCTCAATATACAGGTGAAAAGTTGTTTCTTATTTCGCAGTAAGCATCACTCACAAATGAAAATATACATGTACTTGTTTTTACTTTTATGGTACTTAAATCTGTATAAAATCTCTTGATCAACTGACCATTCACAAATTATTGTGCTTGCAATTTGATGTCATGTGTACACGATGACAATAAGAAATTACGTACTACAGTATACATGTATCTATACTACCTGGATCATGTGTCCAGGAATCATAATCAGTAAGGGATAGTGACAGCCAGTGAATTTAAGGGAGAGTAAATTTCTTATTTTCTCTTCTTGAACTAAAACAAGAATGGCTCTTCAAATGTTGGAACCTTTTAGTTTTTATCACACCATGCTACATACTATAGTATATGTTATCTTTGCCATGATAAACAAAGTGCAGTGAGATTTACTTTAATACAAGTTCATCAACTTTCAAAGTTGCTTGACTGCTCTTTGTTTTATATTCCCATGTTGTATGACCTTGACCTGTAATATACAGTAAAACTTGTCTGACCTGCACAGGGAGAAAGATTTTGTGCCAGAATAGACAGGGTGCTGATTTACAGTGTAAAGAACATAGAAAATTATAAAATGGGTATGAAAAAATGTTGGAACTCACAACAAAACCAATAGTACGGGTGTTGATTGGGATATTTTTCACTGTTCTAAACCTGGCAAGGCTTTAAGAGATATCATTTCAAATAAAAAAAAAAATCAAAAATTGATATCCAAACAGATATATAACTAACCATTGTTTAGTACTTAATTAAAATTTATTTTTATATATTAGTACGTAAAAGTACTTTTCTGTGTATGGTATTGGAGTATATTTAAAATGAGTTACAACAGTGTACAAGATTTAATCCTTTGTAATTGAAATACTGCAGAATTGACCAGCCTTTACATGTTTGATTTAACTAAAAACTAATACTGACAGAACTTATAAAGTATTATATTTGCATATCCACTGCTCTCTCCCACTATGAACCTGCATGCTTCACCTGCGTTCATAGCACTATAGACGCAACTGCTTCTACTATGAGTGCAATTGCTCTATCACACTCGTATAGAACAAACTCTACTACACGTAAACTCCGAGTTGAGAAGTATATATATGAAATGTTTCATAAGAGGAATAAAAATAAGTTTTTAATAATATTATTTGAAAAAAAGGAAATTCAGAATATTTAAAATTGCTGATTCATATCTTTAAAAATTTAATTTTGGTTAATGTATTTAATTGTATAATAAAACTTTTTAAAATTTTAGAGAACTGCTATATTCGTATTTTTTCGTATCATGCATATTTGTACAAAGAACGATCTCTTCATACTTGGGTAATAACATTGAAAAAAGAGAAAAATTCTTTAACTAGTATATCTATTTCAAGAATGATTTCAGCTATTAAAAATGAATAGAAAAACTAAAAAAAAAAATCATAGAAAAGCATTCTGGAGTAATAATCATTATAAAAGCATTCTCATTTTTCATCATAGATTTAAATTATTGATTTTTGTCGGAGGGTTTAAATAACGTTGATCGATGACGTCACAACTGCATCAAAACAAAAATTAAGAGAATGTGATGACGGCGCTGCTATCCAGATAACTGTGTTTGAGTGGGAAATACTTAATAAATTGTTTGTGATTTATTAGAGAAAAGGATCATTGATCAGGTGTAGTGATTTTAAAGCCGTATGTTTTTCATTACTAAAGACAAGAAGCTGCGTCCTTATGTAAGTCAGGATTTCCTCTGATATTCTTGAAAAACTCAAAGAATGCAAATATAAGTAATAAACAACGATTATTCAGTGAACATGGCATTATGAATAGCAATAGCTCTGCTGGCATATTTTCCATGATGCGCTAGCGCGCATCATGGAATATGCCAGCAGAGCAATTGCTATTCATAACGCCATGTTCACTGAATAACGTTGTTTATTTCTTAAATAATTGCACATATGCATTGTGCATGTGCAGCAAATATGATTAAAACCTGACTTCCTGGATTACTTCAGTGTTTTTAATCTATTTATAGCTCTACCATTCGGGCCACCTCAAGGAAATATACCTGTAATGGTGAATGATTCAGGTAAGTTAGGGGACATTTAAAATATTTGATAGAATTGTACATACCAGTATATATGCACTATAAGTGGCTCAATTATCCATTAAGGAAGTAAAAGTTAGACACCTGTAAGGTTTTTTTTTTTGTTTATTCTATCTTTGGGCCATTTTTTTTCCTATTAAGAGTAAACACTTGCATTGATTTTTAAATCTTATCTGTTTTCATTTCAGAACAATCTTTGTCAAATGATAGTCTACATAATCCTTCACCAAAGATTTCCAATGCCACAAAGAGACGCATTAATAAAGCCAAGCGACAGGGCCTGAAACCGGTGGATATAGAGGTAGACGGGGGGAGGATTCAGGGACTACCCACCATCATCACCGAGCCATCTCATCTCCAGGTAGCTGGACCACCTGACATTCACGTGACTCAACCCAACTTCCAGCAACACCCCAACATCAACCTGCAACACTTCGCACAACTCACAGCTCAGAGTTTCCCACATCAGATGTTTGTACCCCGTGGGGGAGGGGGAAGACCCACTAGTGTCGTGGACGCTTCTAATGACAGTTCTTCTTCAGGGATGGATGAGGTGGATGCTACAGTGTATGATGGTAGAAAAGATATACATCTAGATAGGGATGATTCTGTGGTTCTTCGTAAGGATATCATGTTGACTCAGGATACGAGCCCCGACTCAGGGCGGGAAACCCCGGATGACATTGAAAGCGATGCTCCTGTAGCAGTCCACAGTGTGGAGAAAAGTGACATTAGTGAACTTAAATCTTCAGATATTTCTGTTAAAACTGCAAACCTAAAGCTAGATAGTGTGGCTGCTAGTGAAGAGGATGTTCTTGTTGAACCTGTGGAGCCAGACACAGTAGGAAAATCTGCAATGGCAGCATCAGAAACATGTGACCAAAGTGGTAAGTTCATTGATAATTATTTACTGTATACAGAAAAATTGTCCTTCAAGTTCAGAGCTAGCTTTATTAAAAGCAAAAAAACATAAGAAAAAATTCCCAGGGACAACCTAATTATTAATGTTACAAACACATGTATTGGTAATTCATCGCATCCAGTTAAAGTTTATTAAGCAGAATTTGTAACTAAAAATGGACAGTATTCACCACACCCAAATATATAAGCTTCTGCTAAATTTCCTTGTATATTGAAGAAATGTAGGATTAAATTTTGTTTTGACTCAGGCCTAAATAGTCATGATGTGTGTGATTTATCTGTTGACAGTTCAAACAGACAAGGATGAGGTGGTACGCACGACAGAGAGAACGGTGAAGGCCCTACAGACGTACGCTTCAACTGGAGACATACGGCAGCTATTGTTAGTACAACGCTACCTCACCTCAGTACCGGACCAAAATGGGGACATGTAAGAAGGGCTGATCTTTCTCTAATTATAGGAGCAATACAAAACCAAAACATTGTACTACATTAACCTTATTAGTTTGGTTATATTTTTAGCTCACCTGAGCTGAAAGCTCAAATGAGTTTTTTTCTGATTACTGATGCCTAGCATCTGTCTGAAAAACTTTCACATTTTCAACTTCTTCTTAAGAACCACTGGTCCATTTTTAACCAAAATAGGTACAAAGCATCCCAGAGTAAAGATGATTTTAAATTCTCTAAATGAAGGGTCAAGCCGCCTTCCAAGGGGAGATAACCAGGGTCATCAAAAATCTTCTCAAGAACTACTTGACCAGAAAAGCAATGCAAACTGGGCCATTGATGAAGCTTTTCATGCCTTTAATTCAAAAAATGTTGACAAAGATCTCCTACTGGCTTGTTATTAGAATTAAGTTGTCTTTTTATTACTGTCTCATTATTAGCTAACCTTTACACTTTGACTTTACAGCCCCTTGCACACAGCCATCATTAATGGTAACAAGGAGGTTGTGAACAATTTACTGGATGTGATGCAGACCATGTCAAACCTCTGGCTTAAGATCAATGCCTACAACAACCTTTTACAGGTAAAAAAAATAATAAGAGCTTAGAATCAAAAGTTTTACATTTAGCAAACATTGGGAATATACTATATTCATCTGCTGAGTTTTTATTTCCAGACGCCCCTCCATCTGGCTGTCCTTACTGGTCAGGAGGAGATCATTGACCGTTTGTTGTGTGCCGGCGCCAACACTAAGTTACCAGACAGAAACGGCAACACTCCTGCTCACCTGGCAGTGCAGACTGGCAATACCAGCTGTTTGGCTAAACTTCTAAAATATCAGCGACCATTCTCCACTCCTCAAAATCCATTTCCTGAACTCAACATGAAAAACTTTGATGGTACAGAATTATTTACAAATTTTTGACAGATTTATACAAATCCAGAATACTATAGTTTTTAAAGAAAAATCTATACTTGTGGTGCATGTGTATTATGTTAAAAACATCATTTGCAGGATTTACACCCGCTCATATAGCTGCACAGAAGGGAAATCTCCAAGCCATAAAATTACTAGTACGCTGTAAGGCTGATATCAACATGGCAGATGGTAAAAGTGGGAAAACCCCTCTCCATTATGCTGTGGAGGAGGACGACCTGTCTGTCAGTAGCTACCTCATTCTGGAGGTGAGTGTAAAATCAGACCTCTTGAATACCAGAATATACTTTTTGAGATTTGTTATTGTGCTTTTGGACATGCCTTATTTTGCTTTCTAGGCTGGAGCTTCTGTGGACTCTGTGTGTTTTAATGGGAACACAGCTTTACATATAGCCTGTGGTCGACAAAACAGTGGCATGGTGGCTCTATTAATGGCCGCAGGAGCCAGTCCAGAAATAGAAAACTCCGAGGCTTTGAAGACTGAAATTTCAAGTGAAGATGAGGAGGAGGATGTAGAAAAGGCTTTACCAGGACACAAACCTAGACATTACGCAGTGGGCAACACCAGGGTAGGTAAACAAACCTTGACATTACGCAGTGGGCAACACCAGGATAGGTAAACAAACCTTGACATTATGCAGTGGGCAACACCAGGGTTTGTACACAAACCTTGACATTACACAGTGGGCAACACCAGGGTAGGTATACAAACGTTGACATTACGCAGTGGGCAACACCAGGGTAGGTATACAAATCTAGACATTATGCAGTGGGCAACACCAGGGTTTGTACATAAACCTTGACATTACGCAGTGGGCAACACCAGTGTAGGTATACAAACCTTGACATTATGCAGTGGGCAACACTAGGGTGTGTATACAAACTTTGACATTATGCAGTGGGCAACACTAGGATTTGTAAACAAACCTTGACATTATGCAGTGGGCAACACCAGGGTATATGTACAAACCTATACATTATGCAGTAGACAACACCAGGGTACGTACAGGACACAAACCTCAACATTACACAGTCAGCAACACCAGTGTATGTAGACAAATCTATACATTAATAGGCTACACCAGGATAAAATTTTAATCATGTCATACATGGCACAAAGATTAGATTCTGCAATCTCTTACTGGACAAATACTTTCAATTACAGGCATATTACTTTTGTTATTTATAGATCCTGAAGATTCTGAATGGTGAGCCCTATGGGGGAGACTCTGTTAGCAGTATCAAGAGTCTGTCTGGAAGGACAGATTTTTACCTGGAGGCCAACAGTCTGCTAGCTTCGGAGGATTTCCAGACTGACACAGTTCCCCCCTCTCCCCCCTTGACATCCCCTCCCTCCTCCCTCACCTGTCCACCTGCCATCAGTGTGGTGCTCTCTAGCAGTGAAGGTCTGTCTGATCAAATATAAATACACATACAATAATATACATAGTTAAGAGCCTAGGAAAAACCAAGGTGGCATACATTTTGTCAAAAGCATGTTATAATTTAAAGCAAGATATATATAACAATATGTAGATCTACATATTAACAGTACCGGTATGTAACAAGTGGCTTTGTTGTGCATTCAGTAGAAATTTTTTAGCATGCACACAGAATAACTGGTTTCCGATTAGAAATATTCACAGTTAAAAAAAAAGTGGGGAAACTAAAAAATATTTCTAGAATGCAACTAAAAAAAATGATTTACAGTATTTCCATAGTCACTGTTAAAAGAACTTTTTGCATGTCTATAACATCGTGACTTATATTATCTTTCTATAAATAGATGGAGACATTGACAGGATCAGCTACCCTGTGCGAGTACAGCTGTCTAAGCTGTTAGATCCGCTACAGAGCGGCAGTGACTGGGTAGCCCTGGCAGAGCGACTGGGACTGCGGCAGTCTGTGGAGGGACACCAAGGGGGATTCAGTCCCACCAGACTCCTCCTCACCTTCTACGAGGTAAGCTGACCTTCAGGATACTGTAAACCACTTTTTATTCGAGAGAACTTTATTTTCATATAATTATGCAAGACAGTGTGCTCACAAAAAATTCAATTCTGGCATATAATAGTATTCCTTAAAATTATGTAGAGCAATAACCATAATTCATGAAAAATTCCGTCTCGCATATCATGAATCAATTACTATCTCGTGAAAATAAGGTATTACGAAAATTTAGTGATGTACAGTATATATTTTGCAGATTTAATGTATTATTTCCTTTAATTTGAAGTTGTTACTAATTATAATGCCAAAAGAAATGTATAGAAAAACCTCTTTTAGTTCAATTGCTATAGAAATTTCTTTTAGATCATTCAGATTTACCATTACACAAGTAAATGTACTATATTGTACTTTCAGTCGTGTGGAGGCACGGTATCCAAGCTGTTGGAAGCATTGGTTGCTATGGAGAGATATGATGCAGTGGAGTTAATTAATTCAGCACTAAGTGTTCAAACAGGTAATGACATTAATGAGTTTTGTGAGAGTGTCATGCACTATGCTGAAATTTCCTCTTAAAGAAATATTTGAGAAATTATTTTTTTTGTTGACAGATGATTGGAAAAGAAGAGCCATGCAAAGAAGTGTTACAGGGGGTCGAGGTGAAGGTCATTTACAAGTCACACACTAGCAGCATAGTAACCATGGCACCAAGAAGTGACACATGTCTCTATTGCTAATTTAAGAATCAGCATTAACATTTCTTTGACTGTGTGGTTCGGAATTGTACATACAATTATTTTGAAATGTTTATAATGTTACATGTACTGGTATGAGGCTATATATTTACCATTGTAATACTTGCCTGATAGTAAAGCCTTGTATTGTATTTTTTACTGTATTGGGACATCTGAATGATTGCAAAGCTTAACTGTGTGAGAATTCCTTTGTTTGCTTTGTTTGTTGAGAAACCAGCTGTTACCAATGCATGCAAATTTTTAGACACTGAATTTTCTAGTTTTTGTAACACAAAATGCTTAAAGTAGGTTAGATTGTTCAATATTTTAACCTACATAGTTTATATAGATAAAACACAAAAACAAATTCACATCAGATGAGAATAAGCTGTTATCATTGAGAAATCAGCAGTAAAATGAATTATTTGCTTTCAATATAATGATTCAGTATTTTGCTGTATACATGTTTGAATCCTTATAGCAAATACCACTGGCTGGTATGATTTTATTGATGCAGTAACTAGTAGAACAGGAAGCAAGTAAAAAGAAAAGATGTGTAACAAGAGAGGATGGTTCTTATTTATGTTATGTATGCCTAATATATAATAGTTTATCACGATGCATTTAGAGCCAACATATGTAAAGATATTAGGAGGTGGACGGGTTGGAATAAATTGAGAGGGCATATTTTTTTCTTCCAGTTTTTTGTTATTTTCTGTCCATAAACAATGTACAATGGTACATGTACATGTGTTACCTCTATGTATAGTTATATGTGCTAGGCAGATTTATCATATTCATCTTATCAATAAAGCTTGGCTGTAAAGTGATAGTGTTTATTTTTATTGTCCCCCAGCTTTCGCAACACAAAAGCAAGGGACATTAAATCTCATTTGTCTATCCATCTGTCACAAAAACATGAAGCTCTTTCATAAATTTTGAATGAGAAGAGAAAGGGCTTTTATAGTTGGTTTGTACATTACCTAATAGAAAACCTTTTCAAATATACTATGATTTTAAACCCTGTGACCTTGACTTTAAAGTTTGACATAATTTTCAAAAATGTTGACACTACTTTAGATTGGTCATAACTTTTGAAAGAAAAAAGATTGGGCTTTCATATGAAATATGTATATTACCTGTGGCAAGACCTTTTTAAAAATAATATGATTTTGATCCTTTGACCTTAAACTTGAAGTTTGACCAACTTTTCATAAATGTTATCTTTCCATGTAACTTTTGATTGAGAAGAGATGGAACTTTCATATTTGACCCATGCATTACACGTGTCAATATAGAAGGATATGGAGATAACTAACAGTGTTCAATATCAAAGTCCATAAAACAATTCAAAATAGGAGCAAACACAGACCTCTGAAACATCAGAGGTGGGATCAGGTGCCATGGATGAGTAAGCATCCCCTGCTGACCGGTCGCACCCACCGTGTGCTCCTTGTCATGATCGGGAAATAACTGAAAAATACATCGTCAATTCAGTGTATAAATAATGGACTAATAATTAGTTTAAAAAACGTCAGTCAAAATTTGTCTCAATCATATATTATGATAAATTAATTGTATTTGCTGACAAGGTCATTGTATCGACCATAGAATTAATGAAATGATGACTTTAAACGAGACTGTTGATATTCTTGTTTCATCAACTTGCTTGTCAATAATTTACCTCGTTTTAGAAACTGTTCATAGGTAGAGCATGCTCTTGCGTATTGAATCAACCGAGATATGATTCTGAGCATGCTATGAATTTGACCCATTGATCATGACTTGCATGTCTAACCTTATTTTCAAAAACTTAATCTTCGGTGATTTATTTTGAATGACAAATGATAGGGCATTCATATTTGACACAATATGCCATGGCATCCCATCCACTAACACACCCCTAGCAAGGGACCACAATTCTTTGAATTTGCTTGTTTGTTAATTTATCATGTTTATTATAACAGAAAAAATTGTTTGTTATGGATGGATCCTGTGTAAACCTTCTGGTAATTTTTGCCCATTGCAGAATAAATAATGTCTACTTCAGAATCCTGTCTTTAATCTGGCCATATGTTCTAAAATTGGAATGAGTGATGTCCAGGTTAGACAAGTTTTACTGTATATATTTCATTTTCAATCAGAGAAATAACCCTTAGCCATAAAATCTGAGATCAGGGTCAGTGCTAGTGCTTTCATAGTGTGCCTAGTGTATTGCTTGTGATGATACCTTCCTTTAGGTTTGCAAGTATTTGACTAAGAGATTGACCTTGTAGTTTGACTTACTAAATTTCAGCTAAACCAATAACACTACATCGTCGCAAACCACGGCCAAAATGTACGCTCCTCTCCCATCTGGTCGTGGTTGAACAAGAAGAGAATTCTTCGTAGCCCATTAAATTATTGACCAATGCGAGTAAAGTGAGTAAAGCATAGTCAGATGATGAACTTTATTGCAACCTTTCAATATCCAATCGCAGCATAGGAAATATTTCTTGTATACTGTTGACAAATTGCGATGTAAAATTACTTAATGCCACTGACTGAATATGACGTTACAATAGAGAGGCGTAAATATTCAAGATTACGACACTTTTTGTGATCAAGCAGCCACGGGTAGGAGAGAGCTGTATATGCGGACTCCAGACCGTGGCTTGAGACAATGATAACACTATAGTTTTGGAACAGCTCTTTCTAGGGCTACGTACCATATATATTTCTCATGTGTATTTCTTGTCTTACAAGATTTTTCATTATATAGTACAAACATGTAAAATTAATGACATTTGAGTTTGCAATACTCTTGAAACCTTAAACCGTAGCAAGTTTTGAACAGTTTAATTAGTACTATATAGCTCGATCCTCTATATTTCATGCGACAAGCTCTTTATTTTGGCACCAATAATTTAGACCCAGGACCTCGACCTTACTTTTGAGTAATACTTTCACCTTTGTCATAACTTTGGAAAAACTGTGCGAGGGATTTTTATTGCATATAGTGTACTCAGGATCACATTACCTCTTTAGTTTAGAATACGAAATTCATTCGAATTAGTTTAATTTCAGATTTTGAAGTTCCTTCATCTTTTAGACATTGTTACAGTGAACGCGTACATAGTGTTTGACATTTGTGTCAAGAGTTAAATTTATCATTAATTCACTATAAATTTTAATTCGTGGACAAGTTGAAGCTGCAAAAGACAAAGAGAAAGTAGAACCTTGATTGTGAAAGTCGTCTGTGTCATTTTGACGCTTGACATCGATAAAAAGATGTCTACATTTGTGGATGTGAATATCATTAAATATCTTTGTTCTTGTGGGAAAAGGCATCCAATATGTCGTTTATTTTTATGCCGACATTGTTTGAAACTTAGATGTGGGGACTGTGTACAGCATGAGGTAAGCGTAAACCTGGAAATGAAAAGTTTAGGTAGCTAGGATATCTGAAGTTATGTTGCTGGTCTGACTAAGTGACGTATTGATTGATGGATGGACATACTCTTAAGCAAAATCCATATGCTGTTTCATCTTATACCGTCTTCAATAAATACCCCAGTCATTTTTTTCATATATGTCAAGAAATTATGACCTAATGCATAACACAGAACGCCACTTCCCCCTGTTTTGATTCTGGAAAACAGGCACCTGTGACAGTCTGCAAATTATTTTCTGTAGTCTTTCGCCTACATCCACTTCCTTTCCCAGGCCTTCATGTTTTGATTCTGGAAAACTAAATTACAAATGTAGCCAATTTCCCTTGCCCACGGTCTGCAAATTGCCTAAGATATTTCTGAATATGCGTAACGTAAAGACATGTTTTAATAACAATTTTTACATATTAAATAAACTCAAATGTCTATAGAAAAGGAACATTTACAGATCTTTTACCCATATTTACAAGTGCTAATTCCCATATTCAAAATAATGCTTTTCTACGACACAGTCAGCAATTCTCAATGGAGAACTTGCTCCTGGAATGAAAAAAGTTTTGAGTCAGGCCATTTTTAGTCAGTCAGTTGGGAGAGAGCAACCAAACAATGTTTAAAAGATGGTCCGGATGCATATTTGTTTGATAAGAGACTTTGCCTTACTTATAAATTTGTTAAGGTGTGATCTATAATGCTTGAATATCTCTGTTTTTCTTCAGGTTGACACACCATACTGCCCAAACTGTTTGGAGAACATGCCATCTGCTGAGGCCAAGCTTAAGAAGAACAGGTAAAAATCTCCTGCTACCACGTAGGCCCATTTGTATCATACCTACACCCTCTTCTTTAAACATAAATTAGAGCTTTAGGTTTTTTTAATGACTGCTTATCTTTTGAAAAGAAGAAAAAGCCAGAGCTCTTTCAAAGTGCTGGTAATTCAATTTATTCAACTCTTTTTTTGGTTGCATATTAACTGTCTATTTTGTCAAACTCTAAGGAAAATAAAACAAATCAGCATTTTTAACTCGGATCAGACAGATACACTGTATTTACATTAGTGTCCATACAGAAATAAGTCGTTTTGAAAGAGGCTTGTTTCTAACAAAGAAAAAAAATAATAGACCCTATTGAAATAGTTCAAATATTTTCTCATGTCTACCATACATTATGACTTAGCAATTTCTTTGTAAAATTATACTTGTATTCTATTTACTACAGTTCAATTTCATGTATCTGTAATTTTGTATATAACAGTGTACTTCAGAATCTACATTGCATTTTTGTTAACCAGGTGCAGTAACTGTTTTGACTGTCCAAGCTGTGGACACACACTGACGACCAGGGCCACCAGTACAAGTGTACCTGACCCTGAGGATCCTAACAAGACCACCCCCAAAAAGATGTACTACATGGTGTGTGGCTTCTGTAGGTGGACCACCAGAGATGTGGGGATCCCCGACAAACCAGTCGGTCAGTTAACTACTGACTCATTGTCTAATGATACATTTACAGCCAAAAAGAATAATTAATTAGTACATTTCAAGTTTTAAACAGATCAATATGCACGAGTAAATTTTACAATAAAAAAAGTGAAGGAAGTATTTATGTATTCTTGTCATATATTGACAAAATATTTAGGATTTTCTTTCTGAGGAGATGATTTATCTGTTTTACAGCCAGTGGTGGATGGGAAGACTTGGAGAACAAGGACGCTAAGCAGGTACAGTTTACTTTAAAAATTTCATTTGGATTTAATTCCAGTCTATAAGACAAACTTATACTCAGAGGATATGGTAAATAAAAGTTTATAGATTACCTACAAAATGAGGTCTGAACTCAAAGCAATGCTTAACAGTAACTTGTGTGTAATTTAATTGTTCAATTTTTTTGACACCTTATTTTTCCAAAATTGTTATTTGGTATTTATAAGCAAGACAAAATTTTTCACAAAATTTGGTTGTAAATTGCTCTTTAATCAGTCAGGGGCATAACTTAAATAAGTTATTTTCAAAAATAACTCAAATGAGTTATTTTTTTGTCTCAATGAGTTACTTCTCTTTGCTATGATGTAATGCAATATCAATAAAATAATAACTTGTTTAAGTTATTTTGTGTCTTCCTTCCTAACTTACATCCCGTGCACCAAAGGATTTTGACACAAAAACAAATGTTTGATTTTTCCAAATATACACCATTATAAAACCACAAAATAAAGTGTAAATGCTGTTTATTCCTCAACAATTCTCCATAAACTCCATCTAGTATTACATAATGGAATCAAAACAAAATTTTTCACAAATTTTGTTATTTAAAAAAAAAAATCGTGTGTGTAAAATAACTGATTTAAGTTATTTTTTTAATAACTTGTTTGAGTTATGCTCCTGACTGTTAATACTAAATATTTAAATATGCATTGATGAACTCTCTATGAACAGGATATCTAGCATAATTTCCTGAAAATAAGTGCTCACTGTATATTGAATGTTTGAAATGAACTTAAATTTGGCAAGAAAAATAAAGAACAATACCTCTATAATATTATTTGCTACAGAACTAGTCATAATTATACATGTAAATTTTGCAGATTTTCTCTTTGCTGGAAACGTATGAGAAAATTGCTCAGAAGGAAAAAGCTGAGAAGGAACGGAAGAAATATGTCAGAAGAAGAAGTTACCTTAGCTACACGGTACGACAGGAATAGAAATCCTAGATAAATCTTAGTGAAGGCTGATGTTTTGTTTTTATACATTTTTGTTTATCTACAGAGATGTCAAACTTTTTTCTAATATCATTTAGGCTGGCATGGATAAATATGGAATGGTTTCTGTTGCTGCAAAGAGGAAACAGGGCAATTTGGCCAGTCTAACGTAAATTTATATTTTTTGAATATTTATTGCTTTTGATTAGTAAAATCTGTACTATTTGTACTATATATAAGTATTAAACCATTTTATGCAAAAGATTTGAAAAATTACAAATTTCATTATATTTCAGCATCAAGGAAAATGAAGAAGTCAGCTTTGCTAGTGTAAAGCCATCTGAGACTGTCAAAATGTTTGATCCACTCCCCGAGAGCATATTTACTGAACCAATACAATTAGATAAGAGTGAGTACTGTTTGATTGTTTATTACACATGTATCTGTCGACTTGGTACTACTCCTCAGATATATTATACTATTGGTAATTTGCTGTTGTCTTCAGTGAGTACAATTAGCCAGAGACATGCCTCCCCTGAGTTCCAGCCCTGTGAGAGCAGTTCCCTGTACCCCCTACATAAACACCTGCTCATCAGAAGGTCCCTGAGGTGCAAGGTCAGCTACTAAATGTCTAAAGGAAAAAGGAACTGATTTTATTTAGAATATGTCCAGAATTTTCACACAACTCATTAATATGATAAGTAGATAAAACTATGATTTTTAAGTGCCAGCAAATATTAACAGCACTTGTATACATATCAGATTTAGAACTTGTAAGGATTATAGTTCTCTTGGTTTTATATTCATAGCTAGTTTTATTCTTTTAGGCATATTTGTCCTCTGTTAACATAAAAGATTATAGGTAGAAGTTAATGTGCAAGTATTTTCATGGAAAGAGGAGAGAGATGAATGTGTAATTTTATCGACAGTTTTAATATTTCACCATTCTTTAAACTTTTCCTTGATAAATTCAATTTAGGCTTGCATCTTACAAATCATAAATAAATAGGTTATATTTATTTAAACAGGAATGTGAGCACAACTTAAGCAAACCAGAGTTCAACCCAATATCCATCAAGTTCAAGATCCAGCTTATTGCCTTGTAAGTTTGACACAAATTCCATTATTGCTTAGAATTTTATGTCTTTTGGTCAATCGAGGTTTAAAATATCCTTTTATATTTATCAGGCACCATATACCAGAGATAAAGATTTTCTCTCCCCCAGAGCTGGTTGTGAAGAAGGTAAGAAAGATCCAATTAAATGATCATTTCCAAAATGAACTGAGATATGAACATAAATTATGCTCATGTCAATTTCTTTAATCATAGTTGAAAAGCTGACTTTTTTATGTGTGTTTTTGGACACTCATTGTGTAAATGTTAAACTTATAACAGGATTGTAAGGTGATCTTGTCTGTGACAAACCCCAGTGTTTACAACAGTAGTATTGCTTTCTTACCAATGGATCCTAAAGAGGACGACTTCAGTACTGCCAAGGTAGGTCCCTAAATGGAGGTAAAAACAATAGGCCTAAAAATAATCACAAAATGGAGTTCCGCATAATTATGATTAATGCCATGTACATGGTCACAAATCTTCCACATAAATTTGTCCCAGTGTACTTAAACTACTATTAAATTGATTCCTGTTTAATGTGGCATGTATTGTAGGTAGAACTGCCAAAACAAGCCATAGTTGTTGCCCTTAGAGATGATGCAGCCTTGTATGATGATGCAAGTCAGGGTCAAGAAGCATTCAAGGATGATTCAAGGTCAGAATGATGTGTCAATTTCCTGGTTTATTCATTTATACCCATAATTCAGCTGTATGATTGATTTTCTAAAGTTGTTCTTTTCCAGAATGTCTACATTGTTTAATTTTTTTTCATTTTTAGTGTGATAGCATACAGAAAGTCAAACAAAGTGGGCGTGTTTATCAAGGTGAAGCCTCAGAATCCAGAACAGGAGGTCAAGGTAGTCATTAAAGTCAACATCAAAGACCTTCTTTTAAAGAAACATTTTATATATCCTTTAATATGATTATTTATCTGTGTTTTAGGTGTTTTTGATGCTTATTTATTTGTGTTTTTAGGTGTCCTTTGTGCCGATTTATTGTTTTATTTAGATGTCCTTTATGCTCATCGCCTGATTAATCATTTATTAGCTATCCTTTATATTGAAGTATCATTTTATGTAGCTATTTTTTATGCTGATTTATCTTTTTGTTTAGGTGTCCTTTATACTGAAGCATGAGTACAGGAACACTGCTATAGCGCTCCCTAGTGAGAATCAGGAGCCTCAGATTGTCTCCCTTCAGCATCAAGTCTTCATCAACCTGGGACCTGTCAAGAGGAAGTGAAGGCCAGGGATCATAGAGATGTGTTCCCTATAATTAATTAAACATAGATAAAAAATATACATTATGTGCAATATGATATGAACACTGAGGTCATTGGTTAACTTATGTTCATTTTGATTGTAAGGTCTGTATGTGTTATTAAAATCTATCTACTCTTTGTAATCATTGGTTACCGTTGAGAGAATAATGTATTAGAGTGGCTTTTGCTACAATTGAAAGTATTAGTTATGTAAAAGTTATTTATAATTGATAAAACAATGTAGGTAAGGTCTGTGCTTAAGTAACTGTAAACCTGCTTTGCTTGGATAAAAAAAAAATGAGATTCACACCCTTCCTTCACATATTTTACTTTATCAAGCAGTCAATTTATGACCAAAGGAAATGAATTGCTGAAGATTTCAGTTTAGATTTATGTAATCACAGCTAAAAATTGTTTTTTAGTGTATTATTATACACTGCAGTGGTCTTTTCTCTTTGGCTTAATGTTGGTGAAGGTGTAAGTGCTTAAAATAAAATGATCAAAAATATTGCTTAAAATGAGTTTTGTTATTATTATTATGAGAATACAATACATGTGCGTATTACGGTATGCATGCTGCATAAATTTTGCTTAAAACTCAACTGCACTTGAGTGGATATTATACTTATTGCCAATCATTAAAAAATATACATAATTATATTAAAAATTGATAAATTAAAACTGGTCATACAGGAACAGTGCATGAATTTACTTTTTAGCTCACCTGAGCCGTCTGTCTGTCTGTCTGTCCGTCTGTCTGTAAACTTTTCACATTTTCGACTTTTTCTCATGAACCACTAGGCCAATTTTAATCAAACTTGTCACAAAGTATCTTTGGGTGAAGGAGATTCAAGTTTGTTCAAATGAAGGGCCACGCCCTCATTCAAGGGGAGATAATTAGGAATTAATGAAAATTTGGTGGCATGTTTTAAAAATCTTCTTCTCAAGAACCACTGTGCCAGGAAAAATGAAACTTATGGGGAAACATCCTCAGGTAGTGTAGATTCAAGTTTGTTCAAATCATGACCCGGGGGGTAGGGCGGGGCCACAATAGCCGACCAAAGTTTTACATAGAAATATATAGGAAAATTCTTTAAAAATCTTCTTCTCAAGAATAACAAAGCCATAATTGATCATATTCATATGGAAGCATCCTCAGGTAGTGTAGATTCAAGTTTGTTCAAATCATGACCCCCGGGGGTAGGGCGGGGCCAAAATGGCCGACCAAAGTTTTACATGGAAATGCATAGGAAAATTCTTTAAAAATCTTCTTCTCAAGAATAACAAAGCCATAATTGATCATATTTAATATGGAAGCATCCTCAGATAGTGTAGATTCAAGTTTGTCCAAAACATGACCCCCGGGGGTAGGGCGGGGCCACAATGGCCGACCAAAGTTTTACATAGAAATATATAGGAAAATTCTTTAAAAATCTTCTTCTCAAGAATAACAAAGCCATAATTGATCATATTTATATGGAAGCATCCTCAGGTAGTGTAGATTCAAGTTTGTTCAAATCATGACCCCGGGGGTAGGGCGGGGCCACAATAGCCGACCAAAGTTTTACACAGAAATATATAGGAAAATTCTTTAAAAATCTTCTTCTCAAGAATAACAAAGCCATAATTGATCATATTTATATGGAAGCATCCTCAGGTAGTGTAGATTCAAGAATGTTCAAATCATGACCCCAGGGGGTAGGGCAGGGCCACAATGGCAGATCAAAGTTTTACATAGACATATATAGGAAAATTCTTTAAAAATCATCTCCTCAAGAATAGCAAAGCCATGATTGGTTATGGGACTTTTTTGGATTTAAACTTTTCAATAATAAACCAATTCTACTTTTTCCTAGCCACAGTGCTCAGGTGAGCAATGTGGCCCATGGGCCTCTTGTTTAGCTTGCCTGAGCCAAAGGCTAAAGTGAGCTATTAGGATCACATAATGTCTCGTCTCGGCTGTCTAGCTGTCTGTTCGTCTATCTGTAAACTTTTTCACATTTTCAACTTCTTCTCAAGAACCACTGGGCCAATTTTAACTAAACTTGTCATAAAGTATCCTTTGGTGAAGGAGATTCAAGTTTGTTCAAATGAAGTGCCACACCCTCTTTCAAGGGGAGATGATTATGAATTAGTGGAAACTAATAACATCTCTTAAAAATCTTTCCAAGAACCACTAGGCCAGGAATTATGAAACTTATTATAAAGCATCCTGCAGTAGTGTAGTAGATTCAAGTTTGTTCAAATCATGACCCCTGGGGGTAGGGTTGTGCCACAATGAATGATTAAATTTTTACATAGGAATACATGGGGAATTTAAAAAAGAAAAAAAAAATCTTTTTTCCAAAAACAGAACATGGGACTCTAATTGTGGCTTTTTCCCTAAAAGCTTGAACTTTCATTGTGGCCCCAAGCTTCCTGGAGGTCATGATTTGAACAAACAAGTATACATGTACTTCCATGTAAATATGACCTGTAATTATCAGAAGATATTTAAAGGTTTTTTAATAATAAAAAAAGGATCTGCAAGCAGTAAATAAATTCCAGACAAGGGGTACAACTCTCTCTTGGATACATTAGATGAGATGCGACTAGGGGGAGACAATTACCATTTTAAGTTTACAGCATATGGATATTCTCGGGGAAAATGGGGACAAGTCTCTCTACACAAAATTACGTATTCTAATCCAGAAATCTGTATTAAAAGACCATGGTAATTTTTTTTCTTATTTTGTGCAATGCGAGTTCCCTTTGTTCGTTGTTAATACCTGCAGAATGAGGTTATGTTGGTCAAATATTTTTAAAAATCATATCTTTTTAAAAAAAAATCTTTACCCCTGAGCATGCTGTAGACAGTATTTTTGTATTCTGTAATAATGAATTTTTTAATGAAAATTGAAATGAGTGTCAATTTGGTCCGGAGCTCCAGACCCATTCTGATGAATTGTATACTTTAAAGAGAGGCAACTAATGGGTCACAATTTTCAAAATCGATGAAAAAAATATACTCTCTCGACGAGACAGAAAGGCCACCACGCGTCTTATCTTTTAACCTTGGCAGCTCATTTTGACAATTGTAATACGAGTTTATTGTTAGGACAACAATTGTTAAATAGCTTTCATCCAAATTTTTATTTTAAATTTTATGTTTTGAGATAAGCCAAATGTTGACTGACATGGTTAGAATTACTCATTATTCATGAGCGTCTAAGTTTAATCACTCCCATGCACAAAGAATATTACAGAACTATTGTAGACATTGAAAATAAGACCAATTATTATTTCCATGACAAAATTATTAATGGATTATTGCGAAAATGGCTATGTTCATATTACTTGTCAGATTTTCCCATGGGATTACAATCCGGTAAATCGGGTTTACCGAATTCCAAATCAACAGTTACCCCATACAAATGTACAGTTTTAATTATTGATGCTATTAAATTTCCATGTTCTTTGCAAACCCTATGTGTTTCATCAAAGATGTATCATTATTTTGTTCATTCTATAAAAGTTTCCATGTGAACCACAATTCAGTCATCTTATTAAAGTGACTCAATACGAAATTTGAAACACGTTTTGTTTTCGTCGTTTTTGTGCATTATACTTGAACTTTTTGGCATGCGTTCGATAGCTCCAGAACTACTCAACCTATTTCTACCAAATCACAAGTCCAGGTTTGCTCAAATGAACAACAATGTTTCTCCAAAAGAAACAAGCAAATTCAAAGAATTGTGGTCCCCCGCTTTCGGTGTCTTTGTGGGCGAAATATTATTTTTTAGGGTGAAGGTCAAAAGGTCAAAGTTATTGATATCACATGTAAGGTCTTGCCACAAAGAATATAAATATTTAAAATATGATAGTCCTATTTCTACCGTTGTGACCAAGGTTAAAGTTTTTAAAAAGTAGTTTAAACTCCAAGGTCAAGGTCAAAGGGTCAAAGTTCTTGGTATGCAATAAAAGGCCTTCTCACAGGGATTACATACGTGAAGTACGAAAGCCCTAACCCTTACCGTTTAAAAGTTATGGTCAAGGTTAAAGTTTTTCAGAAGTACGTAAATCTCCAAGGTCAAGGTTAAAAGGTCAAAGTTGTTGATATCCAATGAAAGGTCTTGCCACAAAGAATACATATGTGAAATATAAAAGTCCTTGTATCTACTGTTCAAAAGTTGTGACCAAGGTTATAATTCTTAAAAAGTAGTTAAAACTCCAAGGTCAAGGTCAAAAGGTCAAAGTTCTTGGTATCCAATGAAAGGTCTTTTTACAAGAATAACTTATGTGAAGTATAAAAGCCATAGCCCTTACTGTTCAAAAATTATGGTCAAGGTTACAGTTTTCACATAAGTACGTAAATTTCCAAGGTCAAGGTCAAAAGGTCAATGTTGTTGGTATCCAATGAAAGGTCTTGTCCCAAAAAATAAATATTTGAAATATGAAAGTCCTAGTACCTACCATTCAAAAGTTATGGCCAAAGTAAAAGTTTGGAATTTTTGAGTAAAAGTTGGTCAAACTCCAAGGTCAAGGTCAAAAGGTCAAATTTGGTGGTACCCAAAGAAAGGTCTTATCACAAGGAATACACATATGAAATATGAAAATCATAGCTCCACTAAATCAAAAGTTATGGGCAAGGTTAAAGTTTTTGTGACGGACGGACAGACTGACAGATGGACAGACAGACGGACAGACGAATGAGATTTAATGTCCCCTCGCTTTCGCGAAAGCAGGGGACAACAATAATGAAGGAATCGCAAAGAGAGGGAGAGTACAATGCACGAATCACTCTAGCCATTATTAATTTCAGCTAACTCCCCTTCCATCCTGCAAAGCAGTGACCACCGTTTGGGCATAATATTTTAAAAAATTGTCATCTAAAAAAGAAATAATCTGGAAAAGGGAAGGAAATTTTTATAATAATTCTAGTATTTTTAATTTTTTTTTTGTATAATAAGCAGACTGAATTGCTATTTTATAGACTACTTTCTTTCTCCATTGCGAAAGATCACAACAAAAACAAACAGACTTTGTTAGTATCAACACAGGGACAATCTTATCTTTTTTTGGACAGGTCATGGGGACCACTGGGCTCAAATTTTTAATTCAAAACTTTCTTGGAAAGATGTATGACGTACATAAACTAGAAGAATTATTTTGGCTACGTTAGCGTTTTTTTTTTTTTTTTTTTTTGGTTTACCTTGCTGTTGGAATATAAATTAACCACACCATCTGCTGAAATAATTTTCTTTGAAAATGAGAATTCTAGCATGATTTGTGGTTTTAAAAATAGATTCTCCCTATTAAATTATAACCGGACACTCGATCGTTGTAGGTGATGATTTGACAATTACAAATATTTCACTAGGGTAAAGTTACAGTTCAATAAATTCGCTGTTATGTGGGTTGAAAAGTATATTATGGAGTTGGGGCAGGTGGATGAATTTTATTGTGAGGGGGGAAAATAACCCTTCTTAAATACCGTCTGAAAACTGAATGCAATATTCAAAAGATCAGTCTGGTTAAAATGAAAAAAAAAAATTGTGTGAAAAATAAAATTAAAAAAAAAAAAGAAACAAGAAAGAATAATGAAATGTGCATGGTGCATTTGCACAAATCTAGCATTTAAAAGCATACTGCCTGTTCATATTATAGTAAGTATGAAAAATATATTCACATTCCAATTGACTTCAAATTAAATTTGATGAAGATGAAGCGAATCGTACAGATTTCATATTTTGTCTTCGATGACAGTCGGAATTCAATCGGTTCGTGTTAGCTAATTAATATTAATTATATACCCTGGTGATGTATTCCAAGCTCTGAATTTTGAACAACAAAAAAATTACGATGCATAACAAATAATGTCTCTGACAAAAATTAAAAGCATTGATCCGGGAATCAACTCGATGTTTGTCATAAATTCTATCAAAATATTCTCTGTTAGCATTCGGACTGAACAATGTAAACGAAATCTTGTCGACTGGTAAGAATTTATATTTACAAGTTCATGATAAGTAGAACTTCATTCTATTGCAACTATATATACTTATAAAAATGATGGTTTTGTGTTAATTTGGGATATTTGGCTATTTTTTTTTTTCATTTAACGTTGGTAATTATTTTTTTTTCTCCAATCATGGACAAAATTATGGAACGCAAATATTTACATCTCTTTTAAGTTTAAAACGGTACAAAATCATGGAGCGCAGACATTTATATTTCTTTTAATTTAATAACGTCACTTTTTACAGGTTGTGTCATCACTGTGTTAAACATGTTTTTCACAGCGATTGTTTTGGTACTCATAATTGGGAAATCAAATGCCATTACCGATATACTTAGTTCTTGTGGATACATGGACAGTGGTAGCGTTCTAGAAGTCAGCTGTGAGGTGCGTTCGGAGTGGAGGTTTTCAGAATTCCGCCAGTGGACCCTGTCACAGAGCCGCCCAGCGATACATTTGAACATCGCGTGTAAAGGTGGACAACTCGTGCTCACTCATCCAATAAATGCCAGGAATCTGACAGAACTGCGGATAAGAGATTGTCTTAAAATAGAGGGGATGTTTGCAAACTTTGAAGAACGAGATCTGGGGAACGATGCCACTGAGGATTTAAGGGATACCAACATGACATTACGAGTTTTGGAAATTACAAATTCTTCGTACTTGTACAATACCACAAACGTTCTTCAGCATTCAGACTGGTTACAGAGACTTTACGGTTGCGTGACCTTCTTTCCTCGAGGGCTCCGTGTCTTAAAACAGAGTAAAACAAGTTTTGAAGGCGATTTTCCCGGATTTCAAGACTTACCTGTCGGAAATGACTGTGATTACAACGATTTGGAAGTGTACGAAAAGTCAGTTTTTCAGTCGAAGTATGCCTTTTTAAGCGAAGAGTCAGAGAATGAAATATTTTATTTTCTACGTTCTGGAAAGTTTAAGAACTTGCGTATTGCAAATTTCTCAAATGCGAATTTACACTTTGTACCAACCCATTTCACGGAGTACAACTGGTTTCGACGTTTTGAATCCATCGAAATAATTGATCTTTCGTACAACAGAATTAAGGAAATCCCTTATCTAAGGAGACCAAACCGAGGCGGTGTAAAAATCATTTTACATCACAACAATATTTCCAAAATTACCATGACCTTGATAGACAAACTTAAACAGCTTAATGGCATGCTAGTTGATTTTTCTAAGAACACATTTTTTTGCACATGCGAGAACGACCAAGAAAGGATACTTCGCTTTGTCAAGAACAAGATTGAAAAAAACTGGGCAAAGCCCTACCGATTCCTTGCAAACGAAACTTGCTCATTTCCATCAACTTTACAAGGGATGACCTTCAAATCCCTTGACGCTAAGCTTCTCTGTCCAGAAATATCCGAATACCCGAATATGACCTTCAAATCCCTTGACGCTAAGCTTCTCTGTCCAGAAATATCCGAATACCCGAATATCTCGTTCATCATTCTAATTGTTCTGGCAGTTGTCGCCCTTATTTGTATTGTTATTATGTTTAGGAGGGAAATCAGAATGTTGTCCTACACGAGACTTGGGATCCGCCTCTGGAGACAAAGAAGAAGCGCCACCATTCGATTGAAGGAGTACGACGCCTTCATATCCTACAGCACATTGGACGAGAGTTGGGTCTTAGGAACTCTTTGTAAGCGCTTGGAAAAACTTCGGCTTTGTCTTCACCATAAACACTTTGTTCTTGGGGCCTGTATATCGGACAACATCATTGAAAGTGTTGAGAGAAGCAGACACACGATAATTGTGTTGTCCGAAAATTTTCTGCAGAGCGAGTGGTGCCTTTTGGAATTCCGAAAAGCTTTTCATCAGACTCTACTGGAAAGGAAACGTCATTTAATTGTTATTTTGATGAACAATGTTAAAATTGATACTCTTGAGCCGGAAATGAAACATTTCTTACGAACTCATACCTACCTTAAGCTGAACGACTTCTTGTTTTGGGATCGTCTTATTTACGCTGTTTCGGACGCAAAGTTTCAATCGTCCAAAAAACGGGAACATTCTGGGAAAGAAAATTCCTTGTCTGTAGACAAAATGGAGGTTGATCCTCTAAAATCAGACTCTGTAGTCACGGTTGATTATAGTAACTAAGGAACAATGAATAATGTTAGCAACTTTCCCAACTTATGTACCATACCGGTTAGATTGCACTGCAATTTAAAGACGATGGCATTAGGAATAACTTAAGTTTTCTTTGTTGCTTGCCTATAGAAACTCTTTATCAATAACTGTTTATCTCACGAATCTTAGGTGAAGTAGATATGATATGCTGAAAAAAAATTGCTTAATTAAGGACATGCATACGCAAGGTACCTTACCTTTTCAAGATATTCTTTTTAACTTACAATACCATTACATGTTCTTAGACAAAAAATCATCATGTGTTACCAGGGGTTTTGAAAAGATATCAAATTATGAAATGTTTTGTATTATTGAAAGAAAAATGTACAAAAATCACAAAACATCAATTCCAGATTTTTTTTCATCAAAATTTGGTTTAGAAGAGGTGTACAAATCCATATATATAGACGTTTAAAGTATTTGACACAGGTCCTTCTTTTAGTGGAACTCTTCAACTCCAGGGAAGAAGCCAATAAAGCTCAAACTACGTTGCGTATGACCTTATGATTGTATGTTAATTGTTGTACATCTTATTCGAAAATTTACACAAAATTTAGTAAATTAGATATTTTTTTATGATTACGTTTTGTGCATGTTGATGCTTTATGCCCATTCTATATCTGTCTTTTGATGTATATATATAAAAAAGTTATTTGTTTCATGATACCCCCCCCTAGAAAATTTAAGATAAATAATAAATTACATTCTTTAATTTTCAAAGTTCTGCTCTTTCATTACTTGATTTCTCTTTTCTTGACTTTGTCTGGCAAATGTAGAATAAGGAAGTGATAGAAGCATATTTGTCTGTAGAATTGAATTATAATAAGCATCAGCAATAGTACATGCATTGAGAAATAAATATAAAACTAAAGGCACTGTGAGCACTAAGCTCACTAAATGATACACCCGCCTCCCATATGATTATAATGGCACAGTCTATGATTTGCCCTCGGAGACGACCCGAAATAAGTGCCAGATCAAAAAGTTAAAAAGGTCACACTGGCATTATGTAATTAAGAATCTGTGAAAATGTCATTAAATTTCATTCAGTGGTATTACTTATTACCGTATAGGAGGAGTTGCGGATAAGAGATGGAAACCCTTCAATATTATAGTAAGAATGGCAGTTTCCATGTTTTGCTGTGGGAAACCAAAATATGTTTTCGATGAAAAGGTAATATAGAAGATGCAAAAGGTAAAAAATTTCTGTGAAAGTTTCATTAAAATTCAGTGGTATAGGAGGGGTTGTGGATGAGAGATCGATACTCCAAAACATAACAAACGGACTTGCGTATAAACAGACGTTACTATTTTACCCCCCCCCCCCGCCCTGCTTTTCAAGCGGGGGTATAATAAAAATAAACTAACACATTTTTAGTCACATACCGACTAAACCAAAGGGGACTATAGGGTACCTTTGAGTCTGTCCGTTCCTCTGTCTGTCTGTCCGTCCGTCCGATGCAATACAATACAAAATTCTGAATTGTTTTAAATGAAAATTCAATATCTTTGCCCAAATGTTATGAGATATTAAAATCGATCTGCTCTTTATTTTGTGATTATGAGCTTATCTTTGACGCCCATCGATAATGACATGCACAAAACGTTTGAAAAACAATAGAATGTTCCGCAATCTTAAAAAAAATATTTTCAATATTTATGCCGATCCTTTTAAAAGCTGACGGTCGCGCTTTGCAGTTGTTCAAATTATTTTAATTTTTTGCTATTGTTCATTAACATTTGCTAAAAGAGTTATAATAAAAATAAATAATGAAAGACATTTTTCAGTTTGATCTAAGAAAATTCAGCTAAATAGGAAGCAAAATAATGTATTTAAAATGATCAAAAACAAAATTTTATTATGTCGTAGATATTTTCCTTTTTATTCCTTTTGATACTCTTGTGATAAATAAAGTTATGGTTTTAATTTTTAAGTTCTTCGATCATTTCAATTTAAGGAAATAAAAGGATTGTCGCTCTGGATATAATAATGTTCGAAAAAGAAATGTATTTTAAAGGCACAATAAAATGCAAAATGATGTATTAATTTTTCCACTCGGTTGATTTGCAACACAAAGAGAATCAAGTTTTCAAAATTGTTGCAATTCAAAAATCATTGAAGTAAGATTTATTGAATTTATCGCAGTAACAATAACCTCCATATGACGACATATTTCTTCCCCCTACATGCAAGATAAAGTATGTTAACATTAAACAGAATTATGTAGACATGCAATATTTATGTAGACATGCAACTGATGCAAGTTAGATATGTTGACATGCACATAACTAATCTTGTAAGAAAATATAATTTATTAAATTTGGGTAAATTTTCTAACTTACGACCAATAATCATTCTTTAGAGTCCATTTTAACATTACAAATTATAGTTAGAGTCAACACGCACTGACGTTAGAGGAAGGATCAACTGTCATGGAAAAGTAAGCATCCCCTTCCGACTCGCGACTGTTCTCACACACGCCGTGCGCTCCTTGTCATGACCGCGTAAAAAAACAGTGGTCAATTCAATTTTGGGATAATGGCTTCGCAATTTGAACGAAAGAAGTCTGTCAACATGCAATTGACCCAACGACAGAATATGAAAATAAAGTCATCGTTTCGACCGTGGCAATATGGATCTTGATATCCTTGTATATCAACTCATTTGTCAAAAGCTTACCTCATTTCAGAAATTGTTCGTATGTAGAACATGCTCTTGAATATTAAATTAAATTGGGGATATGAACTCCATATGTATGTGATAATGGTATAGTAATTGCTATATAAATAGGGGAACTTGGCAATACAAATTTCATTTTATCACGTTTTTTTTTATAAAGTCTGGTGAGTTGTCAATTTGTCATTAATGCTTTCCTCTAGTTTGAAAAAGGGTCAAAATTGTCGGTACCCCATGGAAGGTCGTATCACAAGAAATACAACAGTTACTGTGAAATATGAAAAGCCATGGCACTAACTGTTTAAAATTATGGCAAAGTTTAAAGAAGACCAAACTCAAAGTTCAAGATCAAAGGTCAAAATTCCAAAGGAAGGTCTTGTCACAAGAAACACACCTATGAAATATCAAAGCCCTAGCACCAAGATTTCAATGTTTAGGGCCAATATTAATTTTTAGGTCCTTGAGTAAACTCAGGTGACCTATTGCTATCCGTTTTCGTCCGTCGTCGTTCGTTAACATTTGAACATTTTTTAGCTTCTTCTCTGAAACCACTTAACCAATTTCAACCAATTTTGGCATATAGCATCTATGGGTAAAGAGAAACAAAATTGTCAATTTCATGGTCCCTCCCTGTCCCCCCCCCGGGCCTCGGGGGTGGGGCCAAAACCACTAAAATTAGTGCAATCTTTAAAAATCTTCTTTACTCCTGGACATCTAGCAGTCAAAGTGTTAGTATGATTGTAATCAGCATTGAGTCTTCTACCAAAATTGTGAAATTCATGGCCCCAGGGTCAGGGGTTCTAGTACTAGGACGCGGCTAAGTAGGTCATATAGTGCAAATGCATTTTTTCCTTGAAATTCTTCTTTTCTGCTCCTGGGGATTGAATAAACTAACCAAGTGCATAGTTGAGTTGAAAATGACTGCCTCTTCCCAAATTGTGAATTTCATGGCCCCAGGGTCAGGGGTTCTAGTGCTAGGGTGGGGCTATATAGATTATATAGTGAAAATGCACAAATTCTTTGAAATTCTTCTTCTCTGTTCGTGGGCATTAAATAAACTAACCAAGTGCATAGTTATGTTGAATAAGGCTGCCTCTTCCAAAATTTTGAATAGCATGGCCCCAGGGTCAGTGGTTCGAAAAATCTTACGTTTTCCAGGCCTTTTTTACGATTTTGATATTTTACATGCCTGGATAACGTCAGAAACGGCGCCATTACGAAAACTGGAAATTTCACCGTCTCCTACCGAAGTTGATTTTTGATACTTGCGAACCGAACTAACTTCAGAAATAAGAATTTATCAGTAGCACAATGCCTCTTGTACTCACCAATATCGATGAAAAGAAAATATTACTCCACATTTCGTCACAGGACTTGCAAGATTTAAAATACACGAAATGAAGACAAATCTTGACAGTCTGCAGGGGCGTAGCCAGGGTACTTTTGATATGGACGCCTGAATCGGCGGGGGGTTTGGGGGCCGCCTTAAGGCCCCCAATAGGTGGGGGCGAAGCCCCCCGAAGCTGGTGAATTTCCGACGATTTCGATGTGCATATTTGACCCTTCTGATAGCATTTTTCTTACATTTTTTCAGTTTGTTACGCAGCCACATTTGAGGTCCGTTCTTTCCTTGTACAAAATGCGGACAGTCACTCAATAAAGAGAAAGGATATGTCCAAAAGCTCTGTTTGACGAAACCAACTAAAACAATTTTAGACTTTTGAAGCACGACAAAATACTTATGGTTAACATACGGCAGTTGGTTAGAGTAGTTGGCTGGTTTAGACAGACCGCTTTGGCACGCCAAATTCACAAAAATGAGATAAACCTAGTTTCACAATTGATAAACTAGGTTTATCGACTGTAAACTATAGTTTACAAACCGTAAACTATAGTTAACGATTCGTTAAGTATAGTTAACGATTCGTTAAGCATAGTTTTCATCTGTAAAACTATATTTAACGGTCGTTAACTATAGTTTACGAATGTTAATCTAAGTTTAATTGTCTGAATAAAGCGTTAACAATAGATTTTGTTGATAAACATAGATTCACGTTTGTAAACTATAGTTTATATTTATCAGATCGTTAACTATAGTTAACGGTTTGTAAACTATAGTTTACAAATCGTGAAACTGCATGTATTTATCAGATAATCTATGTTTTGCAATCGCAAATGATCGTTTTCGGTGTTAAGTATAGTTTACGGTTGTGAAACATAGATTATCGCGTTAACTATGGTTTACAAATGTAAAATATAGATTAACGTTGTTAACTATAGTTTACAGTCCGTAAACTATAGTTTACAACCAATAAACCTACTGTATCGACTGTGAAACTATGATTAGCTCATTTTTGTGAATTTGGCGTGCCATAGACCGCGTACATTGACTGATAGTCAGGCTTACATTACCGGTAATATTGAAAATACGCCTCTAAAGCTTGAAAATAACAAAGAGAGGAATTCTTTTCAACTAATTTTCTTGCACATTACCTATGTACATTGTATACATTTTAAAATGAATGTTCCTAAATATTCACAAATCTGGTACTTTTTGCAACATTTAAAAAACTTGTAAAATACTCGTATATGCTAAATGTTTTAAGGTAGTATCACGGATGTCAATACTTGAGAGGACTTGTTATTTTTTTTAAGGTAAAACTAAATTTTACTAATTTATCGATTTTTACTGTTTAAGGAATGACTTTAATTCTTGGCCATATTATCGAGTATAATCTGGTTTGGGTCAGTTTACGCTTTATAATCCGCGAAGCGGATTATAAAAAAGCGTAAACTGACCCAAACCAGATTATACTCGATAATATGGCCAAGAATTAAAGTCATTCCTTATAATTTAATTTTAAAGTAATTAAACAACTTTTGATGTAAAATTGTGTTGCTTTTTATAAGTTCAAATTTACCGCGCAATAATACAACCGTAGTAACGGAAGTGATTTGAAGCGAGGGGAGGTAATGACTGATACATAGA